TTAAAATATATTAAATATTATTTGGCAATATTTTCCTCATCTGCATGGCCTTGACAAAAAAAGTCAGAGAAAGTTATTACACTTGATAAAAAACTAACAAGAAATGCTCTGATAAATAGATAACATTAAGATGTGTATCAAGAAAGTAGATGACTAAAATCATTAATCTTTAGCGCATGAGTCCCACACACTCTAAAGATCACATTGCTTAATCAGCCATCAATAAGTTATATGGATTAAATTATTTATCAGCAATTCATTGATTGTTGATTAATCGTTAGCATCCCGAGTCACCACTCACCAACACCAAAGAAGAGCGGGCATGTGAAGATTGCGGTGGAGGGGCCGGCGCAGGGGACCAGCATGGGAAGCATGCATGCCCGAAAAACCAGCTCCTCTGTCAGTGGCGCTACAACCTGGTTCCTCAGCCAGCGCATGTCGCTCAGACACAGCGTCCAGAAGCATGGGTCTGCAAAAACATGACGGATCAATCACATTTACAACAATGACACTAAAGCCTTTCTGATTCTTTTACGGCAACAAAGATCAATCTAGTTGACTGATAGTTGGCCGCCTATTCCACTTCCCCAAAACAGATTTTGAATTTATTTAAGGGTACAGATTCAACTCCCTGACAGTAATCATTTACAATAGTTTAGCATCATGACGGCTCACTAACATTATAAAAATCCCAAAATAGCTTTATAAATAGAGAGATTCACAGGAGAACTCACTGGAAGAGGAAAAGGCTGCTTACCGACTACAACTTTTATCCCATCAATGAACCCCCAGGGGCAATCCATGGTTAGCTGGATCAGAGGGCCCAGAAACAGCACCTGACAGAGAGGAAAGTGATAAAATGATCAAATAAAACAGCAAAAATCTGCCAGGTCAGATGTCCGATGTAATCTCTTCTGCAATTTGAAGGAATTTGGATAACACTTTGCTTTAGGCCCAAGGAAAACTGTTGTTTGCTTGTTGTTTAATACCAAGTACAGACTTTGTCATTTACTTACCATGGTCAGTACGAGCGGTAGGATGACAGCAGGAACGAGCCCCTCCAACCGGATCCCCATAAGGGCCAATAATGAGGGACCAGGCTATAGGGGAAATCAAACACGTCTGATGTTTCACCATCAAATGAGATTAAGCGCAAAGCCAAAAGCAAAATGTTTCACAATAAAATAATAAAAAATAACGTTTTATTTTATTATAACTATATAAACAGGATTGTATGATGCAGCGAGATCTTGAACCACAGATCATATAATAAGGAAACAATGTCAGAAATTTCAAATTGATGTTTTTACTCATCTGATTCATTTGGTTAGCATTTCAAAGCTTTAAAACAAGTCTCTTTACAACATCCCTCTATACCCAACACCTTTTGACATATTAAAGTTCACATAACCTGAAATGTTTAAAGTCGGCATGAAATATAGCCGTTACACTCGTAAACAGCTTCGCGAACAAGAAAAAAATGAGGGGCGGGACTTGATTTTTGTCCATTGGAAATTGATGTTTTAAATCAGCACAAATTGAAATTATGGATAAGAAAAAAGGTTTAAGCCACCAGGAGTCTAAATTAGGAAAATGATGAGGGGAAACCTGCAAAAAATAAAGATATGTATGCAGCGATCATTATCATCTCATTATGAGTATAATTTTATGCATATACCTAAATAGGCTAATATCAGTTATGTTGCTTGCTATGCAATTACACATAGGGCAACAAAATTCCTTTTTCTGTCCAACTAGCTTACGCAACCAGACAGAAAAATGACATGTTTGTAACATCATAGTGTTATATTTTTTTAAACAAACGTAATGTCACTAATTATATTCATATTTTTACTTCACTGTTGTGCATTTTTGGGGGATTTATGTTTTTTTTTTTTTTTACTTTGCCTCAATTTGTAATAATTTAAATATATACATTTATATAAAATAGCAAAAAACAAATGTTTTGTTAAATTTACTTCTCAATTTAATTTTCATTCATGGCAAAGTGCCATGGTTAAAATTAAAATAACATGAATTTTCAACTACAGCCACTAGATGACAGCACTATTCTCAAGTTTATCATTTAGATGTATGTTTATACATTATAAAATCATTATTATAACAACAACATAACATTTTAGCATATTTTTTTTTACTAAAGAGTATCATTTTGTTGTAGTTATGTCAACATTGGAGGAGTTCTGACCTAATGGTTAAAGAGTCGGCTTGTTATTTCCTTTATTTAACCAGGAGAATCACATCGAGATATTACTCTCTTCTTCCAGAGAGACCTGCGACCTTGTAACCTGAAGGTCGCAGGTTCGAGTCTCAGTACCGGCAGGAAATGTGGGTGGGGGGCGCTCTCTTACACTCTTATTATCCACAACTGAGATTGGCACCTTATAATTAATAATTAATAATAATAATTCATTACATTTATATAGCGCTTTTCTAGACACTCAAAGCGCTTCACATGGAAGGGGGGAATCTCCTCAAAACACCACCAATGTGCAGCATCAACTTGGATGATGCGACGGCAGCCATAGTGCGCCAGAACGCTCACCACACACCAGCTTACTGGTGGAGAGGAGACAGAGTGATGAAGCCAATCAGTGTATATATATATATATATATATATATATATGGGGATTATTAGGAGGCCATGATGGACAGAAGCCACTGGGCAAATTTGGCCAGGATGCCGGGGTTACACCCCTACTCTTTCGAAAGACATCCGGGGATTTTTAATGACCACAGAGAGTCAGGACCTCGGTTTAACGTCTCATCCGAAGGACGGTGCTCTTTGACAGTATAGTGTCCCCGTTACTATACTGGGGCGTTAGGACCCACCAGACCACAGGGTGAGTGCCCCCTGCTGGCCTCACTAACCCCCAATCACTCCCCAGGCGCCACAGCAGTTTGACCGGGGTGCCATACAAGCTAGAACCGCCACTGATAAATACTACAATATTCCATACAAAATGTGAATTGTCAATTTTAATTTCAGCAAACACATCCAGCAACTGTAAGATTAAACATCTGTGTTGCAGTACACTAACCTGGATGCCTGTGAATTCTTTCCATGCCCACACAAACAGTGGAGACAGAGCTGACACAATCAGTACACTAGTGAAGCGCCTCTTTATCACTGCAGGATGATCCCTGTGGGTGCAAACAACCATACAAAAACAGGCAGTGTTGTTTTAATGCATTCCTCAGTAATACGTTTGCATCATCTAACCAGCAGCTTATGTTACAGTAGGGGTGGGGAAAAGACAAGCTTCACATACGGCTGCCACAACAAATTATCGACAAAAATAAATAAATAAAGACAAGAAATATAGCTAAATAAATCGTTTAGAACGCTCCATTCGACCTGCATTTTTAACATTCTATTCGAACAGCAATATTGAAATGTTTTCGACTCAAACAATACTGAACGTTCGATTCATGCTGTATTTGAACATTCGATTCAAACGGTATTTAGAACATTCGAATTATATAATATGATTTAAGCGTCGAATCGAACGATGATAGTCAAACAAGATTGTCTAGTTAGGGACCTCAGTATGTTTTGTGACACAGACAAAGTCTACAAGCCACATACCTTGGTAAATCGCTTTTCCAAACGTATAAACTTCCGACATAGGAGCACGCGAGCAGTAAACAGGAGAGGATTGACACCCAGCAAAGCCCATCAGGAACAGCCGCCACATTAGCATGGAGTTGTTGAATTGAATGAAACCCTGCCGTCAAACCATCGTCGTCTTTCATGGCGAAACCGACAGGGGCTGAAAACCACAAGACGCGCTGAAAAACTGCAGGTGTGGGTGACACATTAAACACCGCACACGGGATTTTGTTTTTAATCCTAGATAAGTGTATGTCCGCAATGGAGGTATTCTGGAAAGAAGCTGAGAACAGACTGTTTTGGCGCCACAGGATGACGCCATCAATGCGAGACGGTCCTGCTGGCCCATATCCCATATTTCCATTCACAACTCGTGACAGCTGCTGATGATGATACAGTCACTGTACATTAAATGGGGTAAAGGAAAACGACGGATAGTTTATAAAACTCATAACTGGGACGCTATGACGCTATAACCTAATATGTTTTGAATAAATCAATTTCCCACCGTGCAATAAAAAAATATTTTATAATTATATAGGCCTGCATGTATGCATTCTGTATCCTACGCCATTCCTGGCATAATTGTATCTGTATAGATTATTTGGTGCATGCATATTTTGACTGCTTGTCTATGTCTATTGTCAAGTGGTCTCCCCAAAACGTTTTTGGATTTCCATAAAGACATAACTCTTGTCAACAAGTCACACGTTTTTAGCTGTTAATTAGCTATTGATTCTGTTGTGAAAATGATATAATGATATTATAATTATTTGTTGTTGTATTATAAAATGTATAATGGTTTTATTATTATTATTATATGCTTGCAAACCGTACAGAGTTGAAATTATTTGATATACAACTTTGAAAATTATAGTTATGTAGCTTTCTTGAATAACATGCGCATCATCGCGCAAAGATTGTCGTCTTAATTAAGAGGTGAGTGACAGCACTGTCACTAGCACTGCATATATTACAGGTGTAAAGGACTGTTCCACAGGTGTAGGGATACACCGTGTATCCCTAAATGTGGAGAATGCGGAGGATTCCACGAGCTGTCAGATCCCTCGCTCGAGCGTCACTGAGCGCGTATTACTATTAACAGCAGTGCTGTGTGGCGGTGCCAACCCCACGAACGCCATCCTGAGGTGAAATCACGAAGCCTACGCTTAACTCATGAATATTAATTACGCCGAGTAATCTTCTAATGGCGAAGCCTGATTTTAGAATATGAATTAGCCTCTGCTGACGTCGCGCTTTAACAGTCCACTGGCGAGGGTTCTGCTCGTGAATATTAATAAGCCTCCTACCGTATTAGGATTCGTTAATTCACTTCCGGGGGCGGGGCTTAAGCGTGTCGTGGCACCCGAGGCGCATGATGTGGGCGAGGGCAAAACCCTTCCTCGGATTTCTCTACCGACAGAGAGAACTGCGAGGAAGAGATGAGATGGGCGTGACAACGGAGTGTCTGGACTAGACTGAAAACACTCTTCTCCTGGATTAAGATCCGCGCTGGTTTCCGTGCAACTGATGACAACGGAGTGTGGCAATGCAAACCACACGACGTGATGCGCGTGCCATCCAGTTTAACACCGCGAGTGATGAATTAACAGCACGACGCCCAGTTTTACGGCCACACGGGGATTGACAAGCCAAGGATATTCAAGGCAGGGGTCTATAACATCATCAGGTGCGTATTCGGATAGTTTTTCCCCCCTTGTTCTGGCACCAAAATATTTTCCTCTTTTTATTCGATCACTTAAATAGTCCTCTCGTTCAGTGTCCATGTCTAGATGCGTGCGTTCTTCTGTAGTTGGTTATTATTTTATTTCTAAGCAATAATTATTTTTTATTTAAAGTGTTTTATTTAAATTATACGAATTATAATGAAACTGTACTATTTATAATGAATGAAATCAATAATGTATTTATTTTCTGCGGAATCCCTTGTGTACTTCCCGGGCCTCATATAGGCAGCTGTGAAATGGCTCAGTATAAAAAGAGCATCTCAGTTCTAGTGGGATACAATTGGCTTGTAGTGATGATTCTGATGAATAACAAATAGGTCTAGTAGGCTAATATGTAACATGCATTTTTTTAAAACAGTCTTTACTCACGGATTAAAAATTAAAATGGGAGTAATGCAAGTGTGACACTTACATCAAGGTGACACCTTATAAATTAATCATTATTAAAAAAAAAGTATTGCCAGACCTTCACATTTCATCTATAGTAGGCTAAACGTCTCGCGTGCGTGCGTGCGTGCGTGCGTGTGTGTTTCCCGGGGTGAATCAGTAGGCCTAAGATTAGGCTACGTCGTGAAATTCGAATTAGACATCGAACTATAATTCGGATTTTAGAATTCGAATCTTTGGATTCAGAGACGCAATCCGCTGCAATCTGTCGTGTGAGAGCACGGGCTGGTCCACGGGTCACGCTGTCTCGAGTAAATGAGCAGAATACGAGCAATGCAATTACATAATCCTGCTTATAGTTTCTGATGTCTCACTATTGCTTTTTCTATTGTTTTGTTTGTCATTCAAATAAGTTGTAAGAAAGATAGCTCAGCAATTGTTTAACTAAAATTAACAAACCATCCAATTAATTAATTATAACAAATATTATAATAAAAAAAATACATTCTCAATTTTTAATGTTCACTCAACATTCTGTGATTGAATTTAACCACATTGTTGTGCAATTTAGATTTTTTTTTCATTATCTGTCCTATAAATGTAAGAGATTATTGTACAGATAATGAAAAATGAGGGGCCTGTTGTAAATCTTTGCACAAGTAACATCACAGAATGTTGAGTGAACATTAAAAAGAAATAATGTATTTGTTTTTAAATCATTGTTATAATTAATTAATTGGATGGTTTTGTTCATTTTAGTTAATAAATTGCTGGGCTAGCTATTGTTTACAACTTTGAATGACCAATAAAACAGTAGAAAAAGCATTAAATAGATAGACATTCCGATAAGCACAGCATAAATGAATCTTTCAAATAATAAACGATCAATATTTGTCTCATAAACCTTCAGGTAAGCTACAGTAATTTGTTCATGTTCAGATCAAAATACATGCTTAATCAATCTGATCTCATAAACCTTTCCCATTTACTTATTGTCTGACACAACATATTGAACATTCATTTAATAAAAAGATGCTTTGATTTAGATGTCTCCTTCATTCTCTGATGTTTATGGATGGGGAGTAGCCACATCCAAAACCAAAAATAAGTCTTAATAATAATTTAGATTTCCAGCCAACATCTTTAAAACAATATAGGCCTACTGCACATTTACTAGAAAAGGATAATGAGTTTCCAGTGAAATCTAGAAACAATATCTTGTTATTTTGAATGTCAAGTACCGGTAGATCTGTTTTGTTTTAAGGAAAACGAGACAAACATGATGATGATTAAGAAAACGATTTTGTTTTTCCCATTGTCAGCCACGTCTGAGAGGAGACATTTCTCAATTATCATTAGTTTGAAAGGGATGAGTGCTCATTTAACCGAATTGAACATCATTTTTAAATCTAGTTATTTCTTAATACTTCTTAATGTCTGAAAATCCCCATCAATCCCTCAGACTCTTTGTATGGATTTTTAGAAAGTGATGTTATGAGGTTGGGAAAGTGCAACGAAGTTTGCTTGTGTTGTTGAGGTGTGGGAAAATTATTACATGTCTGTTTAGTGTGCGCCTCAGTAATGCTTTTTTAATATTATCAGTTTGAAGTTGAAATATTCCTTTTCATTCATCTGTAGTGATTGTTTATGACTTCCCAGATTGTCTTTATGCGCTTCATAGTAATGCCCCTTGGAATTGAGAATTGGAATTGTTGGAAAAAAAACATCATTATTATTCATTTGAATCATTAACGAACGTCTTTGCAATGTCACATAGGTGACCCATATACGATTTTGCTGACGTGCGCCTGTGAATGCTGATGTGCTGTTAGAACAGGAAGGGTGTAAATGATAGAGCTTCTGCGGAGGTCCCTGCTCTGAAGGTCACTATCATGTTTCACAATCACGGGGAGACGATGCCAACGTGTTCTCGCTCTTTCTCTCGTTCCCTCCCTTCGGTGGCTGCAGCTCTTTCAACCGCTCGTCCAGACAGGAGCAGCGGGGTCAGACAGCACTGTAGGACACTCACTCCATCATGAGTCGCACACACACACACACCTGCTGCAGACCACAGCTATGACATCCATTCAACAAGCTGCTGCGGAGTCGGAGATAAGGACATTATATAGTGTAGTGTGCAACACTGTTATATAGATGGTGTTTTCGCATTAATTATGCAATATGCACCACTGTTGTAATGGTGCAGACTGCAGTCCATTCAGCTCATCACCAGAACAAATAAATGGTGTTATTCTGTTAAAAGACAACGCAAAAGACAACATGGTGCTAATGTAGGACATAGTGTACTGTGCATACAAGAGATTTCTATCTTCATCACAGTATTGCAAATATTTATTTAGCCTAACGATTTATAAGAAAAGCCCTCAAAGATAGAATATACATAACTTTTTTGTCTGATTTGTTTATCTTGGAAAATGAATTGCGAAAGAGAACGTCACAAGACACAAATATTAAAATTAAAAGGTACACTAGCATGCAAAAGTTTGGGGTCAGTTATTTCGAGCAGTTACGGTTTCCACAAAAAAAAATATTAAAGTGCCCATATTATGCTTTTTCAGCTATTACCTTTCATGCAATGTGTAATATAAAGCAAAAGGTCTGCAAAGTTTTAAAGATCAAATTGCATAAGTTATTGTCTCACAAAAAAAATGCCGAAATGAGTAATTGGTTTTTCATTAGTAATTCCAGTGTTTCTTTCGTAACTTACATACATAACGATGTAACACATTTGCATAATGCTCACCTATGCTCTTCACTGGCGGCTCGTGGACAACATCTACTCGACCTCAAACACTGTAGCTGGTTCGTGTTGTGTACATGTCGAGAAGATGCTGTTTTCTGCTCTCCAAAAGCAAATTCTCTTTGTAAAGTATTATAAAGGATAAGGATGTGAAGAGTCAGTGGTTAAAATGACCACAGTGATACAACACCAGTATAATCTTCTGACGATTTTAACGATCGAAATGGGATTTACAAAATGCTTATCCAATAAAGATGGGACATAACCCACTTTATTTGGACCAACTTGCTCCTCAGAATCCCAGCAACCTGTAATTATGATCAATTATTGATGTGTGTAATTTCTACCGGTTGTTCAAAACACGTAGTTTTGTGTTTTATATTGTGAAGGTCTCCAGCTAACCGGCTAACTCACGTTATTACGGTCTTACTGAAACACTTCTGTGGGCCACTATTACCTAAAACTGTCTATTTATGCAAATTTTCCATTGTTGTAACTGTAATGATAAAGGATGGAGCAAGATTTGATGGGCTAACGTATGGTTATTGATACAGTTAATACAGTTCCCACATGTGCAGCGCAATAAATTAAAAATATATACATCGGTTTATTGATGGAATTAATCTGGAATTACTGAATTACAGGAATTACTGATGGTGAGGAATGACAGCTGCAACATCTTATAATGTACCTCATACTGAGTAGCGTATCACTGAGAAAGGTCCTGCTCGAGTCGTCCTTGCGATGGAGGTTCGGGTTTAATAAATAGTTCTTCCAATCGGACTCGCGCTCGGATTGATATGGTAAAACCGACGCCATCGTTACTGTCTTTACAGTGTGTGCAATCTCTGAGGATTTAGAAAGTCTCCGGAACCGAAGTTCAGTGACGGTAGTGGGCGTTTAGTTTCTGACACACGCTGTAAGCGGTTGACCAATCAACAACCTGTAAACCTGTTGTAGGAGATCTCCAAAACAAAATTAGGAACCTTTAAATTAGCATAATAGGGGCACTTTAAGCAGCACTGTTTAACTGTTTTCAACAATAATACCAAATGTTAATTGAGCAACAAATTAGTGTTATGGGTAGTCAGGCGAGGGAGAGGAGATTTGCATCTAAATGCAGCGAAATGACTAACAAAACAAAGAAGAAAATCAACAGCTAATAAACAACAGCTTTACAACACACAAAGACAAGAACTGACAAAACTGAACTGAAAACACAGGTTTAAGTACATTGGGAAGGTGAGGGATTTGTCCTCTCCATTTAATCCATCCAAGTTATGCACACACATTAGGAGAAGTGTTTCATGAGAAACAAAATAGCAGAGGAAACCAAGGGAACAAAGAACACAGGAACTAGCTAAACACAAGAACAGAAACCGAGAACTAAACCTGACCATTGGCATTTGATTTCTGAAGGATCATGTGACACTGAAGACGGGAGTAATGATGCTGAAAATTCAGCTTTGTCATAATAGGCATATATATATATATATACACAAAAAATGATTCCTATTATGACAAAGCTGAATTTTCAGCCTCATTACTCCCATCTTCAGTGTCACATGATCCTTCAGAAATCAAATGCCAATGGTCAGGTTTAGTTCTCGGTTTCTGTTCTTGTGTTTAGCTAGTTCCTGTATATATATATATATATATATATATATATATAATTATATGTATATATATATATATATATATAATTATATATATATATATATATATATATAGGCTATATATTAAAATAAAAACAGTTGTTTTAAATTGTAATAATAATTCATAATATTATTGTTTCACTATATTTTTTTAGCATTAGAGACTTAGGGTACATTTACACGACTACAATGTACTAAAAACTTTGCGTTTTTTTGCTTTTAGAGAGGACAGTGTTGTCAAAACGACCCCCGGTCACACGAATGATGATAACCATATGTTTTTCAATAACTTGCTCTTTGAATCCCGTTTTCAAAAGTTTGCGTTTTCAGGCAACCAAGATGCCATTGTTGTGTAAATGAACGTCCAAAACACATAAAAAGTGTTTAGTTGAAATAGGTGTCGTTGTAAATGCCCCCTTATTTCAAAAACATTTAAAAATCATACTGACCCAAGACCTTTGAATGGTAGTGTATATATATACAATATAACAGGCTTACAGGGTTACAGTGATGGACAGTCACTCAGCAGACATTTTAAACAATATCTAATAGCTATTATAACTATAAACCTCAAGTAAGGGTTAACGTACAGCGAGTCATTATTACAAAATAAAACCGTGACAGGGTAATCGGGACGTACCATCTTGAATTTATTTTGCAATAATGACATACTGATTGTACATACTTTACCTAAAAAATGTTTTATGTGGGGACATCTAAATTTGAAGATTTTATTTAAGTCAAAAATATTATTTAGCATCACTAAACCACCTAAATAAATTAGATTACACCAATAAAACTAAAGGGTTAGATCAGGTAGAAGTAGTAACAATGGTAGGTTTCCACTTTTTACTACTTTTTACTACAATTAAATAAACAATATTACTCTTATTATGTGTAGAACAAAGAGACCACTGAGAGATTTCAAACCTGTGGAAATTGCTTGTTATACAAATATATTTGACCATAAATTGGTGCAATTCAGAAGCAAGTACTCCAGAGAGCTGTGCAATCATAAACAATAAAAGACCATTGTAGACACATATATCATTGTATCATTGGATTTATGAGATGCCAACTGACTCCTTCACTTTACAATAGAATCTCAAATGTGTAAAAGCATAACAGAAATACTATTGTTTGCAGACAGAACAACAATGCAGACAGAAATTTTTGCAGCCCTACAAGTATTCAAGATGTGTCCATTCCACAAAAAAAGCTGCGAAATAGCTAATGATCTGCTGAAAAGCAGATATAGATTTTGAAGAATTGAGTTTGGCAAGTCCGGACTCGAGTAAGCCTCATAAGTTATTCGTGAGATCATTTCCTTGCGCGTGTATATTTAGAACTCACTTCATCTGGCTCCTGATATAGATGGATGAGGCAGACTCGCTCTCTGTCTACCCCGCTCACACTCATACACACGGTCTCACACACCACACTCGCTCACCCCGCTGCAGAGGATTGTGGGAATAAGGAGAGAAGGTGATGGGAGATGATACAGTAAGACATAAAATCAGACCGAATGGAGGATGTGGTGATCTGAGAAGGGTAGATGAAGGGAATAAAGAAGGTGAAGTACCTGCACTATGGGACTTGAGCCTTTTAATAAAGGCACTAGAAGTAAATGAATTATTAATAAGCGGCATAATAATGTGTAGAGAACAGTTAGAGCTCAGAGACGGTGCTTGTCATTTTATTACCGCCATGCACTATACGCTAAAGTTGTTGTGTCTGGAAAGATCTCATTCCATAATGGCGCGTCTTCACCTGCATTCCTGTTGATCTTCTTCCCTATATCTCTCTCGTTCCCTCTTTCCTCCCCTAGGTTGCGGGCTGATTAGAAATTGCGTGGCACAGAACAGGCAATCCATCACCCTGCCAAACCTAAGCACACACACACACACACACATGCGCAATCTCTTCGTAACAGTGCTTGTTCATCTCTAGTAATCTTCTGTTATCTACAATCTGCTGTTTTGTAAGCACTATATATGTAGTACACCTTCTCCTCTCCCCTTCATCACCTGCACCACCATGCTTTTTCTATTTTTGTCCTCTCTCAATTTCCCTCCCTCTCCTTGCTCGCCCCCTCATCCTCCAAGTCCACCTCTCACCATTGCACACCCACAGTCATGCAGTGCCATAATAGCGCAGAGATTGGCTCATCTGTGCTGTCCGTCATCTCTAAACCAGTGTGATTCCTGTGAAGGCGAGGTTCAGATTCATTTGCTGCATAAGGGAGCCTGGAAGAAGGAAATGGACATATAACCAGTTGCTGTAAATGTTTGTGCACTGCAAAGGTTTTACATAATTGTTTTATATTGTTAATTTACTTCAACTCTACACAAACAGTTCTGCTAAAAAACAAAACAAAACTGCACCGCAAGATGCTTATAATTAAAAAAATGAATAAGAGTGAACATACAATTGCATTGTTTTTTTTTATTTTATTTAGTGCTACAGTGAGGAAGCTTCTTATTAGACATTTTCCAGACAAAAGTAATTGAAATTAGACTGTAGATCCTTATCCTCAACAGGGTCAAGTTCAACTGATATTTATGTTTTTATGAATCATTTTCTTAGGGTACGTTTACACGACATCTATATGCTTAAAATGGAGAAGTTTTTCCTTTGAGTTTTCCGTGTATTGACGAAAATAACTAAAAACTGTATTCTGCCGCCAGGCCGTTAGATGGCGATTAAACACTATAGACTGAACATGTAATACGTATGTGCATGACGTCATCCCCGTTTTCAAAAGTTTGCGTTTTCAGGCATCCACTACGCCGTTCTCATGTAAACAAACAGACAAAACGCATACAATTTTTAAGTTTTTACTTGACTTGGTGTCGTGTAAACAGCCCCGTAGACAAGCGAATCTACTGAAGGCTACGTAATAGCTAGGTAGTTTATTCATTCACAAAACGTGCACATTCAAAATGAATCTTATGCTTAATATGATGAAAATGGCTTTGTTAATGTTTCACCTCAACACATTGACAGTTACGAATTAAATTGCACGATTCACAGAAATGATATTTTTTCAATTCAAAATAGCGAAATAAGACAAACGTTAATTAGTTTGCATCCCTGATTATTTCTGTTGGTTGTTTAACATTTCTATTGTAAAACAGCTGTCAAATATTAATTGTTTAGTTAAGCTACGTCTTATCTCACACTTTTTGACCGTTAACTGAAGTGTGGCACTGGATATCGATACAATGGGGAAAAACCGCCATATAGATATTTTTTATATTATCTCATAATTTATTATGCTGCTGTCACTTTAAGAGCTGATGCACGGATCCATTATACTGTTACACATACTTTTTGTTTCATTCACTTGAAACATAATTGAATGGTTTACATGAATACTGGTCAAGACCAGCATATTGACATTATTTTGTGTGTATTTGACTGTTTAAGCAAAATAAGCAGCGAAAAATAACTAAATTTTGTACTGAGAGGCGGCTTTATATGTGCGAACTTTGGGTGTGAGCACAAAATCTGCGGGAATGTGTAAAATTATGTGTGCACAATACATTCAATCCCACATCAAAAATTAAAGCCCTGTAAACCAACTATATTCATCCAGAACAAATGAAATGAGTGAGAGAGGAGAGGCGGTTTGTGTGTCAAATCGCTGTCGGAGAGATGAGAGAATTATTATTATTATTATTTTTTGACAGTAGTCTTTTTCCCTGAACATAGCACATACCAAACCGTACCGAAACTGAGATACTGTGATAAAAACGGGAACGTGAGTAATTTGAACAGTTACACCCCTTATTGGGCAGACAGACTGAGAAACACGGCAACAGACAGATAGATAGATAAATAAATATATATATATATCAATGTTTTCCCCCAAATAACACACATTAGGCACTTAAAGTAATGACCACACCAATTTATCTAACAGTCAGTATCGAACCATTGAAATGCCACTGCTATGACTGTGTTTCCAAGTCTGTATGAAAAACAACAATAAAGTCCTTTGCGCTGGAGCACTGTGTGTTTGCAGAGAGGTTGTTACTCTCCTGGGATTGGTTAAATCTCCTGTTCCCGACAGGTTGTCAATTGATGGTTGGCTGCTCGTTGACTTCAAAACACTGCAGAGACAGCCACACTATCTCAGGCTGTTCTCACAGGATCAGCCGTTACATAAATACATAACAGCTGATCCATGATACGCCTGTTATTGTTCGTTACAGGTGAAGTAGCTGGTGTGGAGGAAGGGTTGGGAGGCAGATAATAATAATCATGCCGTTTTTCCATTTCCTCTCCCTATTGCGCTTATTAGATAAAGTTGTCATTTCACTGTGAGAAAACAAGAAAATGTGAACAATAATCTCAGTCTCGCATTCTTCCCTTCGCTGTCTCTCATAGCTGCGAGTTGTTCTTGTGGATATGGTTTTGGAAGGGAGCTCCGAAGCTCTTTGCCCTCCTCCGTCCCTGGAGCTGCGCCCATCATGCAACAAGAACCAGCCGTCTCCTCCTCTGGGATCAGGATCTCAGTCCCATGATGCTCTCTGCCCTGAGGACAAGGAGCCCATCAAGTACGGGGAGCTGATAGTGCTGGGGTAAGACAAAGTCCACAGCAACCCCTGAGGGATTTATAGTAATATTAAAAGGATGAAATTAATTAAGCTATCTATATATCTATATATAAAAGAAGTCTCTTGTGCTCACCAAGGGTGCATTTATTTGATAAAAAAAAATGATATTATGAAATATTAGTACAATTTAAAATAACTGTTTTCTATTTGAATATATTTTTAAAACGTTATTTATTCCTGTGATGCAAAGCTGAATTTTCAGCATCATTACTCCAGTTTAAATGTGTCACATGATCCTTCAGAAATCATTCTAATATGCTGATTTGCTGCTCTAAGTAAATGGGGTCCAATGTAGCAAAGTATCTTCTCAACAAAAAAAAAAGAAAGTCATAAAGACATGATGTCATTTACCACAGAAAATTTCAAATTTCAACTTAAAAAGCAAACATTGTAGTAGCCAATACCATAAGGCAGGAGGTAAAGTCTAATAATAAATAAATAAATATTAAAATTCACATAGAGCCACGACACCTAAACATCGTCCATGTTAACTAACTTGAGTGATAGAATTGACTACTAACCTTGTAAGTTATATCCATTATTACATCATGATCATGTAAAGCTGGTAAACCCTGTAACTTTGATGATATGCGGAAGGATAACGGAAAAGTTGGTGAAGTTAAATCACCTAAAACAAAGACAATGTTTTAGACAAGTCAAGTAATACATTTTTATCAATTTTCAATTCGTTGCATTAACAAAACAAAAAAAAACATGACATTAGTGCTTTAAAACTCTCTGTACTCTCTTGCCTTAGATTTCCATTGTTAGTGCATTAAAATGGTAATTAATCAAAATGATTAATATTATACCAAACAGTTTGTTGAGTCCAGAACATGCATTGTTGCAAATAAAAGGACACCATAAAATGATTCCAAAGAGATTAAGTATTTAATGGATTGTGTCTGAACATAGTTGGTTCTGATTAAATAAAACCGTTGACATCAGCAACATCATTCAGGTTTTAACTGTACCCACACGAGTTAGAACTGTACAATACTGTCTCAGATTCCTGAAATCCATTTATCAAAATTACAGCTGCTCCACTCAGCCAGCGTTTTGCTGAATGCAGGAGTTCAGTGGGAGTTCAAGGGTAAAATTACCCTCAAATAAATATGACTTCAATTAACATCTTTTCTCACGGATGAACGAACACCACGTCATCCGGGCCAATTGGTTCCCCTGGTGTACCTGCAGCCGGTTTCCCTGCCTTATCTTTAGATTTCAGCTGCGGATGCAAAACACTTCATTTGACTGCCAACAAAGATGTCATTCAAATCACACAGCCATGGAGCGGAGCAGTGAATGTTTTCAGTGCCAGGAAGGGGAAGAAGTTTAACCCCTGAGCTACAAGAAGTGGGAAAGAGAAAGCACATAGTGATGCTTGTATTCCCTGCAAACGTGTTCATCTGTTTTGAATCTATATTCAAATATGTCAGGGAAATAAAATCTTCAGTAAAATTTGACAAAAATGTTTGTTGACAGACTATCATAATATTCAGAAATGTTTCTTGAGCGGCAAATCAGCACATTAGAATGATTTCTGAAGGATCATGTGACACTGAAGACTGGAGTAATGATCAGCTTTGCCTCACAGGAATAAATGACATTTTAAAATATATTCAAATAGAAAATAAAAGATACAAATCTTACCTACCCCAAACATTTGATCTGTAAGGGTAAATGAGGTTAATCAGCTACAGTAAAGTAAACCCAAAACAAACATAATATGATTATTTACATTTGCAAAGACAATTAAAGGTGACATAATTTACATAAATTAAAGACAATTTTGAGGTGAACTCAAAAGTAAAATTAGTCTATCACAGCTTGACATGTTTTTGTTATTTTTGCACATTATCAACAATTTTAAAATGATGTTTTTGCAGGCTAAGATTAACTAAACTGGCCTGCATTTCTCAAAAGCAATCGTGAGCCTAAGTTGATCGTAGAACAATTGCCACCAATGGTCTCCATGAACTAGGGGTGGGGGAAAAAATCGATTCTTAGATGCATCGCGAATCGCGATGCGGACGTGGACGATTCTGAATCGATTTACAAATATCAAAAATCGATTTTCAAAAAAAAATTTGTTTTATATATATATATATATATATATATTTATAATAACGTAATATTGACGGAACGCAAAAGACGGAATCCTAAAGCGCGGAAGTGCAGTGCCCGGACCATCTGTGGGCGTGCACATAACAGAGACGCGATGGCTGAGCGCGAAATCCAAAGACCCTCCTCGTTAAAAGCAGACGTGGAAATATTTTGGCTTCTATGAAGTTGAAGGGGGAAAGGAGCTGGACAAGAGCCACACTGTTTGTAAGCTTTGTAAAATAAAACTAAAATATCTCGGAAACACGACAAATATGAGAAGCCATATGGCACGTTTCCACCCAGAGGAGGAAAAACACTCGGCTGTACCGGTCGTTGTTATATTATTAATTTACTACAAGTATGCTGCTAGTTCAGGCACACATTTATTTTCCTGTTGGTTCTTTGTAATGTTAATAAAATATATTGTACGTTAATTCTTTATGGGTCATTACTTGGTACTTTTAAACCAAAGTATTTTTACTAGTCACACAATCACACAAAAAAAAGATTCAGATAATCGATAATCGCTTTAGCATCGAATCGCAGCCCTCTGAATCGGAATCGAATCGTGAGGTGCCTAGCGATTCCCACCCCTACTATGAACAATTTAGGCTTATGATGCTTTTGGGAAACTCAGCCTTGGGCAAATTAGCGTGAGAACGCAATTCCAGAAAAGCTAAAAGCGCCGACGGGAGTGGAAAATTAAAGAACACAGACGCAGCCGGATCATTTCCATAATGACCAACCCGATCTACCAAGAGCAGTGCAAATTAGTGTCTGGTTTAAGACAATGCTTTTTTGGGCAGTAAATAATGGCACAAATACCAGTAAATGGACTAGTGCAAACCTTAGTGAATCACCTTGAGTGATTCATTTAAATACTCTCCTCCCATAAATGTTACGTCTGAAAGGGAAACTCCTACTAATGCATATGCAATAACGTCAGCCACAAAAATAACCCTGTCCACGCCTTTTCAGCGCTCATTTTTCACTGCGTGCCTTACTGTCTTTAGTAACTCCTGACAGTATTTTTTTAACGGCAATAGAGGGTTTGCGCTGGTGCAAGCTGTTAGTAAAATTTTGGCCGATAACCCTTTGTATTTGAAAGCCGATGTATTGGTGAAAAATCTAAATCCAATTAAATAAAAAAAATTGACAGCCTGATTAATTTTTTTTTATAATTCTTACCATTAAAAACCATGACCCATGCACACAATTATAATGTTCTCATTATAATTTTATGTAGCCTATATGACAGACTTAACCTTATTTTCCTTTTTGAAGTGATTTCAATCATATTTCAAGCAATTCAAAACCATCATGGCGAACGGTGCACATCTAAAGTTTCTCAGCTGAAGGAAATAATCCATTATTTATCGGCTTTAATATATCGGCCAAATTTTCTTACCGGCCCGATAACGGTAACATATATCAGCGAATACCAATATGGTGGCCAATATGTCACAAGATACAACAGCTGAAACAAAAAAACTGTAAAAATTAACACTGCCTCCCAGTGAGATGAAAGGAGATATAGAGAGCTCATTTAAGTGTCTGGACTATTGATCGTTGTCTAGATGAATTATAAGATGGCTTCGCCTCCTCATTGACAGACTCTCAAAGGCCTGCATCAGCCATTTTGTGGACGGATCATGACTCCTGTCATAGTATCGACGGAGAGATAGATTAATGCCACTTAATTATTTTTAAGTACACGCCAATGCTCTTAAGTGAAAAGAAGTCATTCATGCCTAGTTTTTTTTTTTTTTTTGCCATCCCCAAGACAATAGTCTGTCCTCAATCTGTCAGCTCTATCAAAATCAGACAGCGGGCGAGGTGCTGCTTCTAAATTAAGCATCAGATGTGTTTTCATTAATTCATTCTATATTGTTCAAAGCATTTGCAAAGCTTAGATTGTACTATTGTGGATTTGCTACCCGCAGGCATAATGGTTCGCTAGCTAGCGGGGATAAGGGCCGCAGGAGGAGTCGGCTGGCCCTTTACAAACGGCCCAAAGCCAATGGCGTCAAACCTGATGTCATCCACAATGTCTCCACACCTCTGGTGTCCAAGGTAAAAGCTTTTGCATAAATTCCTTGCTATTTCTATGCCTGGTTTAAAAATATAAAAGTGTTTAAAGTTAAATAAGTGCCCCTATTATGCTATTTTACAGGTTCCTCATTTTGTTTTGAAGGTCTCATACAATAGGTTTACATGCATTCAATGTCAAAAACACTTTAATTTTCTCATAATATACACTGCACATCACCTCCTTTCTCACAGTGTCTGAAACGATTCAATCAAGGATTCAGTCTCTCTAAACTCCTCCTTTCTAAGACTACTCTGCTCTGATTGGTCAGATGGCCCAGTCTGTTGTGATTGGTCCACTCTGCTCTGATTGGTCAGAAGGCCCAGTCTGTTGTGATTGGTCTACTCTGCTCTGATTGGTCAGATGGTCCAGTCTGTTGTAGGGGTGTAACGGTACATGTATTCGTATTGAACCGTTTCGGTTCGAGGCTTCCGGTTCGGTACGCATACAAACCGAACGATTCCCTGGACCATTTTTCCTGCCGACAAAATTCGCGCTGGCGCGATCACCACAACGTTGCGCAACATCAAATGGCAAGCGTAATGAAACCGGAACGAAACTGCGCTATTGTGCTTCACGGACCGTTTATCAGTTCGGAGCAGAGCAGCAACATCTGTGCAGCGTGAGCCGATCTCGATCAAGCGACACTGTTACAACTGTTACAACACAGCGCCAAGAGATCCAATAAAGAAAACATTTGAGTTCGCCACTGAAATAATAACATCGCTGCGAGATCTAGTGAGAAGCATTCAAATTTCTCCGTTATTAACCGTAGATCTCTATTAGATCAAACAGCGCTGACGTGGACACCAGGAGAAACATTGTGCCGTGAATGAACTAGTAATACTTTACGTCCACAGACCAGCAACATTCACCATGGATTTAATATAGTAGGCTAACACTAACTGTAACCAGTTTGGCTGGAATAGTGAAATGCTTTCAAGTATCAAGTATTCAACACATCTTTTTCCAGCACTTCAAAACTCAAATATTATATAAATAAATAGCCTATTGAAGAGTTCAGATGCAAAAGCCTCTATAAGTGCCATTTGAAATTTTCTTCTAGAAATTAGAATGATCATTTTTATGAAGCTTGTACATTTAAGTTCAGTAATTTCACTCAAAAGACAATTAATAGGCAATCTTCATTGCCATTTGAGTGAAATTACTGAACTTAAATATACAAGCTTGATAAAAATGATCATTCTAAGAAAATTTCAAATGGCTTTTGCATCTGAACTCTTCATATATTTAAATGTTATTTTTAATGTGATGACCAAAACATTATTTGTTCATCCTTCAAAGATGACACCCATTTATAAACCTGAAAGTTTCAAGATGTAGGAAAACTCACTTATTTAAAAAATATTTTTTCTTTTAACAAATAGGAAATTTCTCTGGCATTTCTTACTTTTTGGCTGTATCGAAAACGTACCGAACCGTGACTTTAAAACCGAGGTACGTACCGAACCGTGATTTTTGTGTACCGTTACACCCCTAGTCTGTTGTGATTGGCCTACTCTGCTCTGATTGGTCAGATGGTCCAGTCTGTTGTGATTGGTGTACTCTGCTCTGATTGGTCAGACGGCTCAGTCTGTTGTGATTGGTCTACTCTGCTCTGATTGGTCAGATGGCCCAGTCTGTTGTGATTGGTCTACTCTGCTCTGATTGGTCAGACGGCTCAGTCTGTTGTGATTGGTCTACTCTGCTCTGATTGGTCAGACGGCTCAGTTTGTTGTGATTGGTCTACTCTGCTCTGATTGGTCAGACGGCCCAGTCTGTTGTGATTGGTCTACTCTGCTCTGATTGGTCAGACGGCCCAGTCTGTTGTGATTGGTGTACTCTGCTCTGATTGGTCAGACGGCTCAGTCTGTTGTGATTGGTCTACTCTGCTCTGATTGGTCAGATGGCCCAGTCTGTTGTGATTGGTCTACTCTGCTCTGATTGGTCAGACGGCTCAGTCTGTTGTGATTGGTCTACTCTGCTCTGATTGGTCAGACGGCTCAGTCTGTTGTGATTGGTCTACTCTGCTCTGATTGGTCAGACGGCTGAGTCTGTTGTGATTGGTCTACTCTGCTCTGATTGGTCAGATGGTCCAGTCTGTTGTGAGTGGTCTACTCTGCTCTGATTGGTCAGACGGCTCAGTCTGTTGTGATTGGTCTATTCTGCTCTGATTGGTCAGACGGCTTAGTCTGTTGTGATTGGTCTACCTCTTACAGGGCGTGTCGAAAACGAAACGTCTATTAGCATATCTGAATTACAGCTTCAGAGGCTTCCGCAGTACTTAATCCACAATGATACGAACAGTAAGAATGGCGTCAAATTTACCGGTTCAATTCGAACCCAAGTCCGCATCCTTTTGAAGTTCATGGGGTATTTGCTTTCACAGTGCAGAAAACAGTGTCTTCTCGACAGGTTGACAACATGAACCACACTCTTCCAGGCCTCATCAGCTACAACTTCAGTGTTTGAGGGTCAAAGTAGACGTTGCACAAGGCACTCAATGCAGACCATAGACTGGCATTATGCAAATTTGTTACAAACCTACGTAGGTTCGTACAGGAAGTAAGACTGGAATTACTGACGAGTTGTTTCAGGAGAAAATAACTCCATTTATACTTTGATATTTAAAACTTCGCAGACCTTTTACATTCACAAACAGCGATATTACACACTGCATAAAAGGTAATATCCGAAAAAGCATAATAGGGGAACTTTACTGTCTTAATACTGACACTTGATAGGACAAAATACTATATCTCACAGAAAAAACTTTGGATGCCATTTTTTATGTCTTCCAAAAGATGTGAAATCTGTTCCAGCATAAGTGTCCTCTTGACCCACCCACTAAATTCTGTAAGAGTTATTGCATAACATTGCAACCAACCAAGTGTTTTGCCAATCTATTGCATAAGGTTAGGGAACCTGAAAGTACCTTATGTTCCTCTGACTTGTTAAAGGATGCATAATGCAACAAAGGCCATTAGTCAAAGAGTTGTTTGTTTGTGTGTGTGTGTGTGTGTGTGTGTGTGTGTGTGTGTGTGTGTGTGTGTGTGTGTGTGTGTGTGTGTGTGTGTGTGTGTGTGTGTGTGTGTGTGTTTGCAGGCCCTAAGCAACAAAAGCCAACACAGCATCTCCTACACATTGTCCCGGAGTCATTCTGTTATAGTGGAATATACACATGACCCCAACACCGACATGTTTCAGGTGAGCAGAAGAGAATTCTTTCATTAAATATGTCTACAAATACATTTAAACTAATTGAATACTGTCTTACTATATTTGTGGCCTCAATGATGTACAGTGTCTTTGTTTTTTCAACAAATGTTCACCCAAAAATGAACATGTTGGCATCATTTATTCACCCTCATGTCATTCCAAATCTGAATAACTTCCTTTCTTCCTTTCTTTGAGACACAGAAAAGAAGCCAAAAATCAAGCTGATAATAATAAACCTGATAATATATAACTGATACAGTAATAACAATATGTAAATATTTTAATTCTACATTTAAAAAAAAAAAAAAAAATTAAGACCAAAAAATAAAATCAATATTCATTCAGGCATTATAGCCTTACAGTATGAAAGATGGATGTTCATTTGAAATTTGCTGAAGATTATGTTTAACACTGTTATTAAATAATTATCAATAATACAAATTAAATGTAAGTAAGCATTAAGGTGTCAGAAATCAAAGTGTAAAAATAGGAGGAAATGAGCATGCACAATTAATATCCAATATTGATTGATTGCAATAACTTTACAGTAAGGCCCTGTTAGTTAACACTGGTTAATGCATTAACTAACAATATAAGCAACACATTTGTTACAGTGTTTATTATTCTTTGTTAATGTTAGTTAATGTTAGCTCAGGTCCATTAAATACTTCTAATTTAAACAATGCATTAGTAAATAATTAACATTACCTAAGATACTCACCGAGGCTGCATTTATTTGATCAAAAATACAGTAGAAACTGTAATATTGTGAAATTATATTTACATATTTAAATATGTTCAGATGTAATTTATTACTGTGATGGCAACAAAAAATGTTTCTGAATAATATCTCTCAAAACAACAAATCTTTGGAACCGAGTGTGACGTGTTAAATTACAGTGAAGCTTTCAAGCTTCAAAAATAACACCGAAGCACCAAAAACACATCATAAAAGTAGTTATTTAAATTGCACGGAAAAGAGAAACCAGAACATTATGAAACATTTTTTGTTTGTTTGTGTTGTTTACAAAGGAAAGAAAGTCAAAAACATAAGGCTGAGTAAATAATGAGACGAATCCTTTTATATCTCACTTACTCTCGTCAATGTTTCTTTAGATCGGCCGTTCCACAGAGAGCATGATAGACTTCGTGGTGACAGACACAGCAGGCAGTGGCACTGGAGGACAAGGGCAGGGGGGCGCAAACGGAGAGGGAGGACAGTCGGCCCAGAGCACCATCTCCCGCTACGCTTGCCGCATCATGTGTGAGCGTAGTGCTCCGTACACAGCACGAATATATGCAGCGGGCTTTGACTCTTCCAAAAACATCTTCCTTGGGGTGAGTCATAACACGGCCTACTGAGTCATAACCACGATTTCTAATGCATGAATCTTTGCCAAAGTATAGAAGACAACTCGGCTCAATATGATTATTTACACTGATGTCAAAGAAAGTCACACAGACGAAGAGGACACATTATTTTCCTACTGTTTTGCATGTTGAAGTCTGTTTGTGTTGCCTTAAAGGGATAGTTCACCCAAAAATGAAAATTCTGTCATCATTTACTCACCATCATGTCGTTCCGAACCCGTAAGGCTTTCTTTCATCTTCGGAAATGATGAGTAAATGATGACAGAATTTTCATTTTTGGGTGAACTATCCCTTTAATAGGCAATGAGAATTAGGGTGTGTTCACACTTGGCAGGTTTGGTTAGATTAAAACGAACTCTGGTGCGATTGCTCTTTTAGTGCGGTTCATTTGAATGTGTGAACGCTGCCATCCGAGCCCTGGTGTGCACCAAACAAGCGGATCGAGTTGAGACCCACGGAACCAAAGACATCTAAACGAACCAAAAACAGGATGTGATGTCACAAGATGTGACCTTAAAAGTGACAGAATGCAAAAGCATACATGGACTGTGTCCGAAACAGGTGGTTGCCAGTCAGAAGAAAATAGCACACCTCTCCTCTACAAGCATCATTGCTGTCCATAGTTCAAACAGTGTTTGATGGGTTACTTAGTGCAAAGGGTTTGTTTAAACAGGTTTGTTGTCTTAGCAAACACCGCTAATTACATTCTGTAGGTCTATATTTACAACATTAATAGATGCATTTACATCACAGACATCAGTGTAAACATTCTCAGTGTAGCTTATTGTTTATTGAGAAGCAACCAGTGAAAGCAGATAAAACCATCCATCATTCATGTCCTCTCAACCGTAGATATATTATACATTAGCGGTGTGAGAAACTAGATTGAGTTCATGAGAACGAGACAAGATTTTTACACAGTGTTTTTAAGAAATCCTCGATTACTAAATACATAGAAAATAGTCTGCAGGTGCATTTGAAATGTTTTAACTAATCATCTTGTAATGAATGTCATTTCAGTTCTGCTTTCTGAGTATGAATTATCATATGCAGTCAAAGACAACAATACTCAAGCACTGTAAAAGGTTTTGCCACAAACTCGACAGACTGTCTCCTGTATGATTTCACACGAGTCTCTTCAGACTTAGAACTGTACATGATTTATGAGCTTCTAAAACTTTTGACCTCCTACCTAACTGAACTCCTTTCCACAAATTAGGGGCTTTCGCACAGGAGGAACATTTTCATAGTTCCGAGAACTATAGGTGGAAGTTCACGGTTTTGGGTGTGTTCGCACCGCAGGAACTAGGAACTAAAATTTTTTGTTCTAGGAACTCCTTTTGGGGGAACTAATTTAGCTCATACTTCAGAGTCGGGTCTAAACCAGCACTATAGGAACTACCAGTGACATTAGTGTACGCTGATTGGCCGAACACACGCGGAACACCAGCACCCGCCATTTAAAAAAAAGATGTGTAAACACACAGATTATAGCCTATATATTTACTCCAGAAACTAACTCTACGAACATGTAAAACAGTGATAGATGGGCCTCTTAACCTTTACGCTGAGGAGAAAATCCAACGCAACTTTGAGGAGACCAAAAAGGGAGACACTGGACATCAACCACACGGCATACGCTTATAACTTTTCATTACTGTCTACTTTCTATGTATAACAGTTCTATCTAATAACGTAATAGACAGAACTGTTAGACAGATCGTAAACGAGTGAACATGGAGGATGCGAGCACTGTGAGCTCAGGCTTTGCTATTATCAGCGCCGTCAGAATAAAGGTCCATCGCGCTGTCAAAATAAAAGTCACAACAACAATTGCGGCTTACACGTTACTTCATAGTTCCTACTGGCGGTGCGAATGCAACCAAAAAAAATTTTCCTAGGGGAACCATTAGTTCTCGGAGAACCACCCTAGTGGTTAGTTCCTAGAACTATCCGGTGCGAAAGCCCCTATTGATCATAGAAATAAATAACAGTCTTAAGTGCAAACAATAAGTGCAACCACAATCAAAGTACTCTCTCAATATTCAAAGTGCAAAATCTGCAAATAGAGACCAAATTTTTCTTCAAGCATGATACAAAGCTAAGAGATGGTTACGACTACACCGCCCAGCCTAAGATAGCTTTCATATTGGGAGATATTTCTCTTTTTAAGTCATTAGAGGATATTTATATGGGCCTCTCTACGCAAGCCATCCGCCATATTGGAACAGTCAAAGCCAGTCGATGAACATTCGAGAGCAAAAATGACCATAGTATAAAAACCTGTAATATTAAGTTAATACATATAAAAACACAAACCAACACATTCTCACCATCTTATTTCTTTGAGAGTTTAAATCACGGCGGTTTCACCCGCAGAAGATGCCCAATAATGTGCCATCATTGATTCTTGCTGTTAGTGACGACACGTTGACCGTTCCAAGATGGCGATGTGCCGACGTGTCTGGAGCGGTCGAATGCGGGATCTACATGCTCACAACCACCAGGAATTGAAACACTAGAACATGCAGATACAAAAAAATGTGCTGAATTCTGAAGAGACGTATCATTTATAACAAACAGCAGGCACATTATGGAGGTTTACACTTCCCGCTGTCACAGACGGAGATGCTTAAGATCAAAATGACTCATTTCCCACCAGGCCACATCGCTACTCACATTTCATGCGCTTAATTAAATGATCGGCAAGTTTATGTGACTCAAAGCGACAGTTCACCCAAAAATTAAAATTCTGCCATTACCTAATCATCCCCATGTCAATCCAGATCTGTATGACTTCTGCAGAACACGAAACAAGATATTTTGAAGAATGTTGCTCGTACAATTAAAGTCAATGGGGTCCAAGATAACACTGAACCCCATTGACTTTCATCGTATAGACAAGAAAAATGACACGAGGTTGTAGGAAGTAAGAATATCTTGCATTAATCCATTAGTATTTGTATGCTTTCATTCCAGGCCTTTTCAAATTGTGACCTTAATATTTCCTTTGACCTTGATTTAAGGCCAATTCAATAGTGAAGATCTACGCTTCTCTTTTACTCTGAGAAAATACACGGACACCTCGAGGACGGTAATGGTCCAGTTGACGGCAGTGATGCATGACATATCAACACACGGCTTCGGCCTCACACAAATGTCCTTGACAGGCTCTCTGCCCACTGCTGTTCTGCGGAGGTGGAAAGAGAACGAGAGAGAAAGAATGGATACTGTATTCCAGTCGGGTATAAATATTTTAGACTCCCACTTTATAATGCAACTCCAAGTAGTAGGTGTGTTGTGTAATAGCCAGCGGCTATAAACGGAAAGCCTACAGTGTCTGTCTGTGCAGTATAATCCTCTAAGCTTGGTTAATAGTCAGTGATTTATTATATAACACACGACTTATATTACAAACAGAACCGTTATTAATCTGACAGTAAGACACGACACGATTTGAGTTCATCTTGATACTCTAGAGATTAGTGAAATCCTCTTGATGTGCTTGATTTCCAGGAGCGAGCTGCTAAATGGAGGACCTCAGATGGTTTGATGGATGGACTAACAACCAATGGGGTGCTGGTAATGCACCCGGCAGGGGAGTTCGTATCCGAGCCCGCTCCAGGGGTGTGGAGGGAAATCTCAGTGTGTGGGAATGTGTTCGCCCTTCGAGAGACACGGTCCGCCCAGCAGAGAGGAAAACTGGTGAGAATTTGCTAATATCAGTAATGTATCGGCAGTAAAAAAGTTTAAAAGGTACACTGCGGAACATCTGCGGTTGAAGGTTTGAGGTCAGTAAGATTTCTTTTGAAAGGAATTAATACTTGTATTCATCAAGGATGCATTAAATTGATCAAAAGTGACTTTTGTAAGACACTTTCGAATTCTATATCAAATAAATGCTGTTCTTTTGAACTAAGTATGAATTAAAGAATCCTGATTTTTTTTTTTTAACAAGGATTCCACAAAAACATGAAGCAGCATAACTGTTTTCAACATTGATAACTGTAATAAATGTTTCTTGAGCAGCAAATCATATTAGAATGATTTCTGAAGGATCATGTGACACTGAAGACTGGAGTAATGATGCTGAAAATTCAGCTTTTTTGATTTTTAAGATATATTAAATTGTAAATAAATTGTAATTATTTATATTTCACAATATTACTGTTTTTACTGTATTTTGATCAAATAAGTGCAGCCTTGGTGAGCAGTAGAGACTTTCAAAAACCGTAAAAAAAACCCAAACTTTTGAACAGTACTGTATATAAAACAATGACAAAATTTTTAGGGTGGCATTTCAACTATCCACTATGGCCGATACACTTTCAAACGTGAAGGCTTTTTAAACGTTGCTTAATCCAAGGTTAAAGAGGCCAAGAAAGGGAATTCTTGACCAAGTTTGCTCGTCATTTTAATTCTAGTTTCTTACAGACACATTTGAATAGCACTTCTTCAGCATCCTGTTTGCTACATCAGACTCAGGAATTCAGTTTGTATTTTATTCTCAGTTTCTATGATTTCTGAATGTCTGAGCAAGCAAGTAACCAGAACTGTTTTTCTTTAACTGAAACGAAGCAAACACGAAAGGATGTAAGAATACAATCAAATCGAACATGACAACTCTGAATAAGGCAAGAACAGTTTTGAGTCAAGATTTATTAATTTCTAACAAAAAATTAAACCAATTTATCTTTAAGTTTACATAAATCATTTTTTTTTTACATTAAACGTGCACTATGTAACTTTTGGCCCGCTTGTGGTAAAAAAAGAAAACTGCATGCATTTTGCAGAAGAACATTGTTTTGGTTGTGCTTTGCATGACTGTGTGGATGAAAATGGCTATCCACTGCTCACAAAACATTCACTACTATAAGAGATATGACCAGTTTAGATGGAAAGGATCTCAAGCTGACTAGCTGAAGACGTTAGCTTTACCCATTAGACACAGTACAGCACTACAACAACCTAAATGAAATGACCCTGCTTTACAATGAACTCTGTTAGAGAGCGACATATGGCAGTTTATCTGTTCAATAAAATACCTTTCTCACCTGAGTAATAAACACACCATCTCCACATCGCTTTTACAACATTTCAAATCCCTGTTTCTCGCCATCTCCAAAAAGCTTAGCCAATGTTGATTCTTGTTTTATTACGAGCTCTGTCGTAATACTAAACTTTAAAAAGCTTAGTGTCTGAAGTAGCATGGCTCTATCATCTGTTAAATGGCACAAATGAGTTGGATATTATGGCACATTAGCTGCCAGTTTCAGGCTCAAAAGTCAAGTCAAGTCAAGTCAAGGTTTATTTATATAGCACAAGTTTAACACAACCGTAGTTGATCCAAAGTGCTTTACAGTATAATAAAAATAAAATAGAAAAAGAAAAAGAGAAAAGAAAAAGTAGTAAACAAAAGGCAAAAAATAGATAAAATGAAGGATCAAACCATTCAGTTTATACAAACAGCACATACATAACGTAGAACACCAAATTATTTAAAATTTACTCAAATGCGAGAGAGTAAAAATGGGTCTTTAAGCTGGATTTAAAAGCAACCAGAGATGGAGAGGTCCTAATAGTTAAAGGTAAATTGTTCCAGAGCTTTGGGGCAACTACAGAGAAAGCTCGGTCACCTTTTGATTTACACCGAGAGCGTGGGACAGATAAGAGTGACTGATCACAAGATCTTAGTGACCTAGAGGCTGTGTATGGCCTAATAAGATCACAAATATAATCTGGTGCCGAACTATGTAGGGCCTTGTATGCAAAAATAAGGATCTTAAAATCGACTCTAAATTTTATTGGTAGCCAATGCAATGAGGCAAGAACAGGGGAGATGTGATCCCTTTTCCTAGCTCCTGTCAACAATCTGGCTGCTGAATTTTGAACCATTTGTAACCGAGACAGTGTAGTTTGAGGTAGGCCAATATACAGAGAATTGCAGTAGTCCAATCGAGAGGAAATTAGCGCATGAATCACAATTTCAAGGTCTTTACTAGATAGAAAGTTTTTCACTTTTGCTATAGATCGTAGTTGAAAAAAGCTACTCTTTACAACTGCATTTACGTGCTTATCAAATTGGAGAAGAGGGTCAAAAAAAGACTCCAAGATTTTTTGCATGATTGTGTAAGTTATTACTTAAAGGACCTAACTGTGTTTTAATGGAGTTGTTGGTAGCAGCAGGACCCAGTAAAAGCACTTCGGTTTTATTTTCATTCAGTTGCAGTGAGTTATTTGTCATCCAGGTCTTGACTTCGTTAAGGCATGTAAAGAGGTTGTCTAATGAAAAGTCATTTCCTGATTTGATTGGGAGATATAATTGGAGGTCGTCGGCGTAACAGTGATAATTTATGTTATATTTTTTGAATATTGAGCCTAAAGGTAACATGTAGAGGGAAAACAAAAGGGGTCAGGTCACCCAAATATGTACATTCTGTCATCCTTTGTCATTCCAAACCTGATTTTTTCTTTCTTTCTGTGGAACACAAAGCATGTCCTGAGTGAATATATATGTGTGTGTGTTTACCTCACAGGTAGAGAACGAGTCAAACATGCTGCAGGATGGTTCTCTCATCGATCTCTGCGGGGCCACTCTGCTTTGGCGGACCCCTAGCGGTCTTCGTCACACCCCGACTCTCAAACAGCTGGAGTCTCTACGTCAGGAACTAAACGCAGCCCGTCCCCAGTGCCCCGTGGGCTTCAACACGCTCGCCTTCCCCAGCCTGGCACAGCGCGCCACCATCGACAAGAAACAGCCCTGGGTCTATATGAACTGCGGACACGTGCACGGATACCACAACTGGGGCTTTCGTAAGGAGAAAGCGGGATCCTCCGCGGTGGCATTAACCGGAGGAGGAGGAGGCACGGCTCCGGCTACGACCGGAGATCGCGAGTGTCCCATGTGCAGAGGGGTTGGTCCCTACGTGCCCCTCTGGCTCGGGTGCGAGGGGGGCCTGTACCTGGATGCAGGGCCCCCGACACATGCGTTCTGCCCCTGCGGTCACGTGTGCTCGGAAAAGACGGTGCAAGGCTGGAGTCAGATCCCACTGCCGCACGGAACGCATGCCTTCCACGCTGCTTGTCCTTTCTGTGGAACGTGGCTGACCGGGGAACAGGGCCACATCAAACTCATCTTCCAAGGGCCCGTCGACTGAGAGGAGCAGTGAGATGTCGAGACTGAATCACAGAAACTGAGAGTTTGGACTGTGGAGGGTGGACACAAAAGGAAGAGCTTGTGAAAAAGGCAAGGATGACAAAAAGGGAATATACTTTGTTATGCGATGGAGAATGTGTAAATAAAAGTGATGAAATAAAAGTTGAAAACATGGAATCATTGTGTGTAAGAAGAAGTGAATGGAAATACATATGCATACATTTGCATATGTAAAATCTTCTTGGATGGCCTTCAATTATATAATGTGTCATATGTTGACAACGCAACTGCAGTCAGCATTCAGCAACTGGGTTAAACACATCTGGGTCACGTTTCACCCCCTAAATCACGAAGAAAGAAGTATTATAGGACCATTAAGACTTTGCATTGTGGCATTTGAGAAATTGAAAATAGAAAAAGCACATTTCCCATTTCCCAAGTAATTTTTAATGAAATATGATCTGTCCCTGCACTGAAAGTCCAGGTAACCAAAAATTAAAAGATCCAAAAAATGTCATAAAGACATCATAAAACAAATCTGTATGAACCAAGCAGTTTAATCTAAGTCTTGTGAAAAGATACGGTTGCTTTATATGATGAACAGATTTATTTTAGGCTTTTATTTACATATAAAAAATAAAAATAAACTTATTTTTTTGAAATATATTAATTTGTGTTTCAAAGATGAACCAAAGTCTAATGGGCTTGGTACAACCTGAGAGTAAATGACATTTGTGGGTGAACTATCCCTTTAAGAGTCCTAAAAATAGCTTATGCTTATTTCTTTCTTCTATGGGGTGAAATCTGACCCAGACAAGCTTTTGATAGTGAAATTCACATAATCAGCAATTCAAGATTTTGTGCTAGAGAGAAAGCGAGAAAAAATAAAGAGGAAAAAGACAAAGCTATCAACCAGCTCTCAGCCAGAAAACAAGTTTAAATTTAGCATCCATGTGTGTGTGTGTGAGAACTATACAGGAATGCTCAGATCTCTACATTTTTCAGGGTCTCACTTAGGGATTCTGATGAGCTGGCACAATGAGAAATTAGGGAGAGGGATGCTGCATTCGCTCTTACCCTCTCTCTCTCTCTCAGGGGAGTCTGAGCAGAGCGGTACAATCCTGCATACTGACTGCAGCTACTCTAACTGCCTATAAATAACTCAAGGTCATTTGCTCACCCCTTCTACACATGCACACGCCTCCCTCCAAATGTGTGTCTGTGCACAGACAAAAACTGGCTCACAAGATATAGTAAATCCATCACTAAATCAAATATGACTTCAAATGGTTTCTATTTATGATGTAAAGTCATACTGTGAGTCTGTCTGGAACAGTGTTGTTATTGTTAACTAGTACATTAATCAATTAATCTATCCACTCTCCATACCGCTTAGGGTCACAGGAGAGCTGCCGCACTCACATGTTTACAGTATTTTTCCAATTCATCTGCAGTTTATTCCATGTTTTTGTGAGAGAAACTGAAGCATCCGGAGGAAACCCACGCTTGCAAAGGAAAACATGCAAACTCGCTATTGAAATTGTTGGATACACTTTATTTTAAGGTGTCTTTGTTACAGTGTAACTATACATTTAAGAACCAAGTAATATTAATTAACAACATGTACTTACTATGAAATGAGGGTTAGTTGCATGTAATTATGCATAACTAACTGTTATTAATACAGTAAGGACATGTAACGTGTAACAAGGACATGGTAAAATAAAAAGTGTTAGCAAATTGTTTTTGGCAATTGAAATGAAGCCGAAATAAAATAAATATTAGATGAAAAACGAATTCTAAAAATTTTATAAAAATTAAAGCTATATAGAAAGCTATATATATATATATATATACACACATAAAATATGATATATATGAAGTGTGTGTGTATATATATATGTTTTTATGCACATATAATATATATGCACACATTTCATAGATATTTATATATATATATATATATACACACACTTCATATATATATATATATATATATAATAGATATTTTGTGAAATGTTCATTGATTTTTTATTTTTACATTCTGACACTACTTTCATGACAACTATCCACATTTCCTCACCCAATTCTCATTACAATAATGCATCCAGATGTTTTAATGTTGAGTTTGTCTGTAATTCTCATTATTCTAAATAATGGTCTTCATTACTTTCTACATTATACTGTAATTCAATGATGTGAATCATCCAGTCCAGACAAAATGATTTGTATCATTAAAATCGCCATGAATATTTTGTGCTTCTGGGGTGAAACATGCCACGTTCATGTTCTCGACAGGTTTTTATGAGATTCAACTTTCAAAAATGAGCAGTCATCACATTTCCAACTAGCACAGGAAGTGATACTTACCTCACCACCCACACAATAGTACTCTTCACACAACAGAAAAGCAAGCAGGAAAAGTCATCTTTAAGTCTCATGTTGATCATTTTATTATATATATTTATAATATGTACAGAGAAGAGAAAACGAGATCAAACCCAGCTATGAAACAGCACCGGGTTGAGCAAGCAAAAGGGGGGATAGAGAAAGAGCGTGTATATTAGACAGGGAAACTACTAAAGAGCTGCTTGCCATTTTACCATCGCCGTGTCTTAATTCAAATAAATGAGATGTGCAAATGACATGGGTAAAAAGTAAAAATGAAGACGCACATTCATAAGCAACGACCCCCCCCCCCCCCCCCCAACCCCCATAACCCTTCATCTTTCCTCTAACCCAACACATTACCACAAAACTGTAAATTCATAGATCAAAAGACAGCAATCCATCTGAGAAAACAGAATGCATCCAAAAAAAGCACTTGTTTAGTGTGAATGAACGCAAATGAGACTTTCATATACTGCTTATTTTCACGCAGATGTAACGCAGGATCCACAACGGCCCCGTTTTTAAAAATCAAAGGAATGTTCCCAAACGCAGTTTCTGCAGTTGCCCCTTCCCAGCCATTGCACGCGCACCCATACCCCTGCTACTGCTCCCTCCAACCCGACAACACCAGTTCACTTACAAAAAGTACAAGCAAATCCACCACACAACATTAGTGATGAGAATGTGCGGTTATGTTAGCATTAGCAGATGTCAGTGGTGTGAGAACAATTACACTGGCTCAGTGAGTGAAAGTGATCTAATGCCACGATGGCAAGACTATCCTAATTAAGACAGAGTGACGCACTAATACTAGTGAAGTTCACAAACTATCTACATTTTCTAGATCCACGTTGTACATGATAAAAAAACATTCATCAGGCCAATCGTTTGCAAATAAGAGGTCGAACCATGTGGAGGGGCTTTAGGTTGCCATGTGGGATCCATAAGAACCTCTTGGATCGCCAAAGGCAACATCTGAATGACACCCTTATTTTAAGAAAGGTCCATCAGTAGGTAGATTGGAAAACTATAATCTATGTGTACGAATATTTTTCATTAAAGAACATGGGAGGTCATATCCGGTCTGCGACACTGGACCAGTCAATCCCAATACTCCTAGATGTAATACACAAAATTCCCACACAAACACACAGCACACTGAACCGGATGCATGGAACAACCACGCTTTCATTGGTGGCGAAATTAAGGCCCTTTACAAATATATTTACCGTATGTAAATAAACACAAAGCACACGCAATGCATGATGGACCATTTTTGGCAGCAGCGAGAACTACGGGTTGGCTTTAATTGAAGTCTGGCTCAATGTGATGGTAAAATTGCACACTTGAGGTTTCAAACCGAAGCCACAAAACTTGCTGACCACAGGAGGAAACGACCTCAACGCGAGTCAAGATGGCGTTCGTTCATTCGCTTTGAACTTGTGATGGCCGAACACTCAAAAGTAGCAGAGGTCGTTGAGGTAATAGAGGGAACAGTAGCTTTCATCATCGACCAACCTAAAGCCTAGACCCCCGTAATCCTGATTATGATCAAAAACCCAACTCTATCTGTATCGTTCCCCAACCAACAATGCCATTGACAGCAGTAAGCCTTTGTACAAGCCTTCATTAGAAAAAAAAAAACCTAAAAGAAAAAAAAACAAACAAACAACAAAATCAAATCAGTCTTAAAAATCACCATAATAACGATAATATACTAGTAGGATGTGAACAAGTAGAGAATATTGCCGACTTTGTATGCGGTTGACTTCCTGTCGACTCAGCCTCAGAAGCCATGCTTTCGCACACAAAACCTCATTCAAGTGACAATGTGTGAGAGATTTAGAAATACTAGAGAGATAGGTAAACTTTCTGAACGCAACCTCGCTAGTCGTTTTAAAAGGAGGATTTGAGGATCGCCCCTAGATCTGCTCTCATTATAGACATCTATACATGGACATATGGCTGTACCAAAGCTCCACTTTAAGTACAGGGGGGCGTGACTCTGGATGTGGGCGGGGTTATTCATGTGCACAGGGAGGAAAAAGGGGTGAGGTGTCTTACAAAAGGGGATAATAATAAAAACAAGAAGACTATGATGTCATAAATGAAGCCATAAGGCTGTTAGAGGTTGGCTCTTAATGCAGTGGTTCCTCCCGTGAGAATGCTGTTTTTTTTGGTGTGTGTGAGAAAATGTGTTTGAGGGGGAAAGGGATGGTTTTGTGTGCATGTGTGTGTGTGTGTGTTCAGGCTCTTCAACAGCAGCCGCCGCCAGACTGCCGCACAGGAGTGCTCTCGATCTTCAGGTTGGGCTTGTCTCCTCCAGTTGTGGCTCCAGGGCCCATGCGCTTCTTGATCTCGGCAGCCATAGTCATGAAGGCCTGCTCCACATTTGTGGCATTCTTAGCGCTCGTCTCAAGGAAGGGGATTGCTAAAGAGTCGGCAAATTCCTGGAAGGTAAAGAGAACCAGAGTGAGACACTTCAGAACGCTTTTTTATTTTGCCCAACCTCATGCTTGGCACTTCTGTAAAAAGGCCCATTCATACCAAGCATGACAATACTGTCACAATTAAAATACATTTTAAAAATACTTCTAAATGTAAGAGAATAGCAGAGTCCACACCAGAACTATAATGATAACGACAGAGATTTTCACAATGATTTTTTTCCAGCTGATGAATGATAAAAAATCTTGGCAGCCAATCAGAATCCATCCTGCTTTAAAGAGCTTGAGCATTTAAAGTGACAGACGACATAACTGCAGCTTACAATAAACAGAATGATAACGTGCGTTGGACGCTAATACAGTTATAGTTATCTTTATAGTTATTGTTCTTGGTGTGAACAGGCCCACTGAAGTGCCTTGAAACGCGCAGAGGTATTCAGTGTGTGTGTTGGGTGTAATTACCACTGAAACATGAAGACAGGGTGGGACATGGAGCAGCCCCTCCCCTTTTTTAAAATAGCCAATAGCATTTCATTTATATCACAGCTTGGTCAGAGCCGTTGAGGTTGGCAAAACCACATTTGACAGCTTATGAAAGCCACAGTTTAATAGAGTCCCCTTTTAGATGTAATATGAAACTGTTACTAACAACACAGTGATCATAATCATGCTTTATGCTGGTGCAGTGCACGATGTTCTCTCTTCTACTCGTCAGTGCTGTTTCTAATGTTGAGTCTGTCCGGAACAGCGTGTGCGCTGCGGCGGTTTGCATGACACTAACCTGACACCAGACTTCACTCGCATATTTACACTGTCTGAATCGTTCCCTGTCCCCTATATAGTGCACTGTGTGCCATTCACCATGTAGAAAATAGTAAATGTGTGAACAAGTGACCGATTTCAGCAGAAGCTTCAGCATCTATTTATAATGTAGAGGCAGAGCTTCAGACAGAATCTAGAGAGCATTTGATTGGACAGAAAATCTGATGAGAAGCTAAAGTGCAGAGTGATGTCATTAAAATCATCCATATTGGCAGAAGTGAGCGACTAAGTTTTAAATGCTTAAATCTTCTAAATGCACATTTTGACATGGTTTTGAAGCACAGTGAGGCTAACGTTCATACTAAAAGTCAAACAACGTACATTGATTTCACGAGGACTAGCGCTAACGTTATTTAAAAGTCGCCAGCCAGAGCCAGCATTTTTTATAGTTTTCACAAAGTTCTCATGCGACATTTCATTCAGTAGTTTATGTCTGTTCATAATTTCCCACCATAAAATGTTGTAAGTGGTTGCGAGGGTGTTGCTATGCGGATGCTAAAATGTTCAGAGTGGCTGTTCATGCATTGCCATGCTGTTGCTAGGGTGCCCTGGTTGGTTGCTAGATGGTTACTTACTGGCCAAAACCAAAATGGGCTCACTGCCAAGTCTTCATGCTATTCTGGCCTCTAAACAAGTGTGGTTGCCTCTTTCAGTGCAAGGCTATGGGATTTTTGGGCCTGTTTTTATCTGCTACCAGGTAAAGTCATAAATCCCAACGCTGAGAACAAGCCCCACAATTTGACATATAATTCACGTTCGTAAAACAAATGGTGCAAGACGGGTAAAATATTAGGTTGGGGGTTTATTCAAATCTCCAACAGTTAGCATGAAAAGCAGGATTAGAGATGGAAAGTATTATGCTACCAATGTCACAAAAATGGGAAGCAATTGGGCTTGTAAAGGTCACTAGTTTTGATAAAAAAGAGAACAGATATTTAAACTCAGCCACTAACACAGATTAGACATGTCTATTTCGACGGATTAGTACCTTGGCTGTTGTGTAGTCCACTACTTTCTTGGTGGTGAGATCACATTTGTTCCCCACCAGAAGCTTGTTGACATTCTCGCTTGCATAGCGGTCTATTTCCTGTAGCCACTGTTTCACATTGTTATACGATTCCTTTAGAGAGAGCAGGACAGAGAAAATAACTTTCATGTGATGATAAAGCAATGTTGTTATTGTTAACTAACTTGAAAAATATCAATAAGTATTTTAATAGTACATAAATGATACTAAACTAACACTGGTATATTAACACAAATTTCTTTGACAAGCAGGTCATCAAGTAAGAGAGGATAACATCAGCACAGTTTGCACAGCGATCAGTACCACAGAAATATGTGGGAAATATCTCTGTGATTTGAAAATTTCCATTTTTATAGATGTCAAGACATCAGATATTTTCACTACATGGTTTTCATAATAATGATATATCGCGACATCTATAGAAATCTTGAAAAAAGATCCTCCGGCGTCGAATATGAATGAAACATAAATGACATGTGAGGGTTTAGCTCTCCATAATGCTCACGTCGCCCTATTTGGGGTAAAAATAGAAAAAACACTGTCCTCTAAAAATATTTGTCCGAATGAGCACACGAAAAGCCCTGAGGGATGTAAATATAATAAAACGCAGAAAGGCGTCAGCATTTAACGGTTAATGTAACATTTCCTGTTTCAGGACTAGCAAAATAATGGTAACTTACTCTCTGTACAGTGGCCGAGATAAGAGACACAGGTTGGTGAACAGTTTGGTGGTATTGTCTCGTTTTGCGGCAAGTCCTGCATACTAGGGTGATTAATGAGTAATTTCCACGGAACCAAAAAAACTTCCACACCGGTGAGCCATAACTTTCTTAGAGTGCGGGTAGAGCGTCTCATCTGTCATATCCGACGACATGCTTTTGCGTGGCAGTAGCAGCTGCACTCTGTGACTGCTTGTGTTTTATGACAGGTGGCAACCAGCCTCAGGGTGCTATACTGACACCTACTGTACGCTGAGAAGTCAACCAGATACTGCCGCTTGATCATTTACGGGCCACATTATCACACGTGTACTCTTCATTTGAAATATTACGGTTATCTGCTGTGTGAGAACTGAACTGAGCTGGACGATGACAATTTTTTGCAGAACTGCTTTATAGATGAAATTAACTAATTTGATGATCTTTACAACGGAACTGAATCGACACTGAACTGACTTCAGATGAACAGCAGCCGAAATGCATAATTTTCCTGTTTTCACAGTAAAGGCTCGTACACAGCGGGACGAATATCGGCGCGCGTTATTCGGCAGCGTTTTTCAACGCGTTTTTTGTGTTCACACCCAAGCGATTTTGGCTGACGATGAGCCGAGTGAACATGCAAATTCATTCCCTGACATTAGATGGCGCCCATTTGCTCTGCAATACCACTCCATAACAGTTCTCTTTTATCAAGGTTTTTGTAGTCGCTGTCGCGTTTGTCATATAGTTCTTTATGTTCCGACACCAGCAGCTCTACATTCATCTTGCCTTGCATCTTCCTCGTCTTATTTCTTCCCGGCAGTGTAGACGCTTGGCGTATATCTTCTTCGCCGTTACGTATGTGTGCTCGGCAAGACCGTTTTGTGTTTGAGCGCCCCCAAGTTGTGTTTTACTGTAACTTCAGAAGCTCCAGATACGTGAGCAAAGGCGCCAATCTCATTGGTCGGATAGTTTTTGACGCGGCGCGTCAAACTAAAAAAACAAACCCGAGGCGTTTTTAAACAAATGACGCTTTTACGCGTGGCGTTTTTCGTGTCGGTGTGCACACTCATTGGCGCGCGTGAAATTCGTCCCGGTGTGAACAGGCCTTAAAGCTGCTCTGAAACTATCTGTATTGTATAAAGCGCTGTATAAATAAAGGTGTCTTGACTATGGCGACACCCCTAATTAACGCGATAAAGATATTTAAATTTTTTAAATATCACGGTTATCGTCAATACCGGTATATCACAACACCACTATAGACAGCAATTCATTATTGATTCTGTTGCAAAGTGTGCCTTGTTAAATTTGGGACAAACAAGGAAGGAGAACATCTGATGATGTCTCACCTGATCCGTGACATCATAAACCACAATGATACCGTGAGCCCCTCGATAGTAACTGGAGGTGATGGTTCGAAATCGTTCTTGCCCTGCAGTGTCCCACTATGAGAGAGAAAGAAAAAAAAACAAAGAAAAGAAGATAATTTATAGTAAAGTCAAACCATGCATGTTTGTATTAAACCATTTGGCCACATTTTCACATGTACAATGCAATGAGTTACTAGATTTGTCTATTGTTCCAAGAAACAAGGTCATCCTAATGTACTGGTGTGCATACTAGTGACTGTCATGCTGTTGCAGAACTTGTTAAAAATGACTATTCAGTGTGTAATTTATGGACTTACAATCTGTAGCTTAATGGTTTTGCCATCAAGTTCAATCGTGCGGATCTTGAAGTCCACGCCTATGGTGCTGATGTAGCTCTCGGTGTATGTGTCATCCTGCAGGATCAAAACACACACAGAAAAGAGAATGAAAACTAATCTGTGCAGTGTGCCTATTTACATTTGTGGATATAAAATAATCTACTATAAATACATTCAGTCAATTCTATAGCATTTCGTAGACTGCATGACTTCCAACGATCTTTTAATTGACATTTGGCAGCAAAAGCTGACAAAACAAGCCATCTGTGCCTTTACTCACAGCAAATCTCAACAGAAGACACGACTTTCCAACTCCAGAGTCGCCGATGAGGAGCAGTTTGAACAGGTAGTCGCTAAAATGGAGAAACACAATAGCAGTTTATTAAAATACATCAACAGGAATATATACAATTTCAGTTTCGGAACAAATTTAACCTTCTTATGACATTCACCGGTCAGATGAGTTATCACATTATAGACTTTATTCACAGCAGCGCCATCTATGATTTGTAACGGGAATGAAAGTGAGGCTGTGAGGGATAGACATCTCTTCTTCAGTGGGTTGTACTGTTATTTCATGACTTTTTGGATTGTTCTGCAGATGAAATATCTTTACAAGACATTTCAGAAGAGAAAGAATCCCAGACAACATGAGGTGTGGAAAATTATAAGTGATCTAGAAGAGTTATATTACAGCGGCTGCCATTGAAAACACAGTAAGTTTATCCCTCACAGCCTCGCCTCATACCTGTCATGGCGCTGCTCTGAATAAGGTCTAAAAATACGTCAGGTTTTATTGCATCACTACAGTACACTCTTATTTTAGCATTGTTTAAATAATTATTTTTAGCATTATTTTACTATTATAATATTTGATGATATTTTGAATTAGGTTTTATTTTATTTTAAAAGTTTTTGAAATTTTGTTATGCTTTTTTTATTTTTATATATTTCTATTTAGTTTTATTTCCGTTTTAGTTACTGTAGAACTTCAACTTATTTCAGTTAATTCGGTTTCAATTCTAATTTGTTTACATTGTTTAAATGAACTTTTGTTTTTCATCAAATATTAATACTTTTACTTTTCACTATTTCAGTTCATTTGGTTTCAAACAATACTAATTTTTGTTTACGACGTTATATACATTTACATTTTTTTTTCCATCTAATATTTATGTTTTATTTCTGCTTCATTTCAATTATGGAAAATAATTCATAATACTTTTATTTTTCATTATCAATGACAGCAATGCTACAGTAGTTCCATTACTGATGATAGCCTAATTAAACATGACAGATCTAACAGGTTGTTTCGCTCATGTGAACATTAAACTAATTCTCTTCTTGCACACACACCTTAAGACCGACAGCAAACATGTTGGTATTGTCAAGAGTTCTGTGTGTAAACGGACTTTTAGGAATGGTGTTAGTCCAGTTATGTTAAAATATTAACGACACTACATCTCATAGTATTGAAATAATCATATAGCACACCACATCTCGCTCTTAACTGATCTAATAAATAGGTGCCATTAGTATTGCTATAATGTTAACTGGTTTGAAAAGACAACTACATCAGATTACAAGTTGCAAAATCAACAGCCATTTCCAAGAACTGATGGTGAAGAAGGTTCAAAACAAAATCAGCATATAAACAAAGTATCCCCTGCCACCAGCTCAAAATACAGCTGAGAGAATCTAATTCCAACGATGACAGTCTGTCGCAACGGTTTCTGAGTTCAAGTACTAACATTAGACGAGCTGAGAAACGTTTTATCACGTGAAGCAATCTTGACTGAGTCTATGTCAAGAGGAAAACAAGGTACAAACAATAAGAAAAACCATCATCTCAGACAAGAAAAGCATTTATTTTATTGTTTTAACAATTGAATTTTAAAGCAAGCACTCTGGCAATGAAAACAAACTGGATAGTAGTGGGTTTACAAATGTCAATGGCCAGTGATGATCCAGATATATTTTGATATATAGGCCAATACAATTTAAATATTGACTTTTACAAATTAGGCAACTGGAATGTAGGCCTACTTATTAATATTGTAAAGTGTATTAACTTTGCCATTCCACAATACAGAAATGAAGTGAAATTGTTTGAGAATCCTGACAGGGTCTGACAGAATAACATCAGCTCAACCAATGGCAGGAGCTTGAGGCGGGGACTATCTGTTCAACTGACCAATGGCAAACAGGGGAGTGTTGGAAACATGTTTGTGGTCTTTGTTGCCAGTGAATTAGCATTTGAAATAGTGCTGATAGATATAGAGACCAAGCAATAAATCTCGGTTTTTCCATCACTGGGTAGTGGGTATCCATGCAATATTCATAATTAACTTCCCTTCAATTCATAACACGTCTTCATTTATACAGACCAATAAAGTTGGCCACATGCTACTAAGAAATCAGGAAAAATACGAAGCTTCTCCTCTTCGTGACCTCTTCCAGCTGTAACGCTGACTTTCAATTCACAGGCCTAGTGAAAAACACATGACTCTTGAATGCCTCACAATGACAAGCTCGAGTCGTGTATGGTTCAAAGCACCGTGTGCATAATTATGCGATATGCAATATTGACAGCTGGATTCAGCCTCACTACAGACTAATGACGTCACTCCGTCGCAACACACCACACCAAAAATTACGTCACGCAGTACGGCAAATGCAGAAATTACGTGCGATAAAAACCAAATAGCGACGGTTTTTAAATTAAGACGTTTAATAATGAACAATGTCATAATTTAGAGTAGGAAACTTTCTAAATAGAGGCTTTAAATGGGTAAATGGCCTCTGAATTCGCAGTTAAAACACCGGACGTTGTTAGCCGTTAAGGCTAGACAAAGCTACACGCACTGACGCTTCATGATTATGCAAACACTGACATCCGCAACACAAGTCTAAGCGTCAAATACTCACTATTCTGGATTCATGGTGTGTTTGTGTCGTTGTCGTTGTGTTCAGCAGGAGATCGGACTCTTTTCTCTGCGAGCAGACGCGATAATGATGAAGAGGATGACTTGTACGTCTGGAATACCGAGAAACTGGGGGCCGCTTTCTCTGATTTACCCCCTCCAATCACACCTCAACACTGTCTTCTCGTTTGATTCAGTCACTTGACGGACATTACTGACCATATAACGCAAAACACTGTTATTTTGTTCTGCTTTCTTCCTTCCTTCCGATCTGCCCCTCGCTCGAAGTACAAGATGGCTGCGCAGGTGCGGCAGTGACATCAGATGACGTGGCATTACGGACTGATCTCAAAGACACATCCCAGAGATTCAAGATATTCTGGAAATATTTCAACTTGGATTTTTTTTTTTTTATTGCATATGATTACATTTCTAAATTACCCACATCAATTGGTGCTGTATCATATTTTCATATTTTCCCACCTCAAACATTAAAGACCTTTTATTATTTATTTATTTTTATTCTCAACCCCATGGCGAGACAAACTTTGTTTAAAAAGGATTTTACACAAAACTTGTTATAAAACAAGCATCTACCTACTGCTCATGTGTCCCTCATAACAATTGAATGACTTCAAATGTAACATTTATGCTAATTTTCATATTTGTTCAAAAGTTAAAAATGGATAAATTGTGTGTGTGGTCTCTCTATTTTGTTTTTTACCCTCTGAGCCCCTTCATTTCTGGGTCACACTTGGTACCTTTGTGCTCAAAAGTGACGGAAGCCTTGAAATGTAACTTTTTTTTATCTCCAGGAAAATCAATGCAATATTTTTGTTCAATAATATTTTTTGATTATTATTTAGAATTTTGAGGGGATTTTATAATGCTATGCAATATTTATAAAATTGTATGAGCTATTTTTTTCCATTAAAATTATTTAAAAAATTTAAATTGTTGATTTTATTTTACACATTTGCAAGATCGTGCTCTTACAATTTAATAGAGTCTGCTCTGTCTATTTTGCACGTAAAATGATTAACCCCTTCGTTGCTGTGTTTTTTTTTTTTTTGTATTGTGGTTGATTAGTAGTTTGCACCACCAAAAGATTCTCTGAGTTTTTGTATTTTTTTTCGTATTTCTCATTTATTTCCTGTCTGTCATTTTTGACCTCGAAAGTCATCCCATTCCAATGAAGCAAAACAACCAATGTCAGCTATTTTTGACCGCAAAGTGTTACTTTTTATTTTTCACGATTCTCCCACAATTCTGAATTGACAACTAAACAAAATAACATGACGCTCTCATTGTAATAATAACATTGATGAAATCTGAACTCCTGCAATCTATTTAAAAATCTATTTACTTCATTTTTTTTAAATCGTTATGGGTGATTCAATGACTCGCTAATACAGACTTCATAATTGGTTTCATAAATGGATGAATCAGTGATTTTGATGATTCAATGACTAATACATTTGTTCAGAAGTCTTGTCGCCACCTGGTCTAACGATGTAATCAATCTTTATTTGAAGCAGTAACTGTCAAAAGATGATTTACTCCATTTCTTTTCTCAACATCAGTGTTTATATCAAAACTATAAACTTTTGTCCCACTATATCTGTGATAATTTGAATTATTGTAAGATAGAAGTAATGATACTGTGTGTTTGAATAGACTGTTTGTGAAGCCGTTTCATAAGACAACTCTCTCAGGTTCAACAGCAGCGCCAACACAGATCTCAATGTTCACTGTGATCGTACTTGTCAACAACAACAACAACAAAAAATCATTTTCATTTTCTTAAAATTTCCTGAGCTGTTTAATTTGTGATGTCTGGCATTTTCCAAACCTTTCAACATTTGGTATCTTTTGATATACAAATCACAAAAATACAACATTTACAGTGTAATAAAAATATGAATCGCAATGAATTAAAAACAGTTCTCTCGTTTCCTTCTAGCAATGGAAATGATATAGTTTTATATGCAAAGTTTTATGTCATTAGAAGAACTGAAATCTCATCGTAATACTTTAATATGGCCTAGTGTGGATCACACACACTTAATTGCACCGCAGACGTCCCTCCTCATCCAGGGACACGCACAGCCACCAACAGGTTACACCTCAGTCTCCAGGGCCTCTGTGCTGTCCCGGTGACCGCTGGCCTCCTCCAGCCCCAGGCTGATGTCGTGGGACTCCCTGCTGGCCTCCAGGGGTGGAAGAGCAGACAGAAGCGCTTTGAGGCTCTGGCCCAGCTCTCCAAAACCTGGCCTCTGAGAGGGATCTCTGTGCCAGCAGCTCAACATAACCTCATATCTGACAGAGAAAGAGTCAAAGGAAAAATGTAGGGAAAAAAAGAAATCATAAAAAGCACTACAAGACTGAATCATCTTCCAGATCTGCAGTTTAAAAACTACTCTTGCCATTTATGTTTCTAGACCATGCACAAAACATTATTATATATGCCCTGATTTAGTAATCAGCTTCATAGGCACACAGTAACTGCTGTGACGAAGGATTCCTAACAGACCTAAACTGTACTTACTAACCTTGATTTCATTGTAAGTCTTGCAACAGACAATTGTTGGTAAAGACTTAGTCACAGTTTCCTGATAAAGAGTAGTCTAATAATCTTTTTTTTTTAATGTAAAATAGGCAAATTCCTTACAATTTGCTGTCAATGTCCCCTTGTGTGAGACGGTGTCCTTTTTCCAGGAAGTCCAGGAGCTCATAATTGGAGACACCTGGATAAGGTGTCTTCCCCCTGGATGTGATCTCCCACATGGTTATTCCGAAAGACCACTGTGAGACATAAGGAAGATCACAGTTGATAAAATTGCTTGAAGGATGTTGGTGGGTGAATCTCACAAAAAACATGACCGGGTCATACCCCCCCAAAAAATCTATTTCATTTCAACTTTAAAAAAAATAATAATTCTGTTTATAGGACCATTTCCACCCAAATAGTTCATTTTTCTTTAAAAAAAAAAACAAGTTTGTTAATGTTGTAAAATGTTTTATTATATATACAGTATACACAATATTTATATATAAATTGCATTAATCTGCTCAGTGTTTAATATTCAAAATATAATTTCTATGTAGGCTACCCCATGTTCTTGAAGGGTTTTTGAGAGATTCACCAGTGGGGAATTTGTAAAAACATAAAGTACCTATTTCCCTTATTTCTACAATAAAGCAAAAAAACAAAAAAAGAAAGAAAGAAAGAAAGAAGGAAAGAAGACTTCATGTCATCAATAGTATTACACAAACTATACGTGTGAGTGTTGAAAAGTAATGTATTAAAGGGGCTACATCTTTATGTAAGAGTTTTCATGTATTAATCGCTTTCTTACTGCCAATGTATGAACAGCTTGTAACAAAACTTAAAAAACGAGAGCCTGTCTATGAAAGACTCTAGATGATTTTTATGTGAAAGACTCGTGACGTTTTTGCCGGGAAAATCAGATGTGACGTTTGCACTCAAGAACGTCTCTTCCATTCTGACACATGAAATGACTTAGGCTTACAATGTTAATGTTAATGTCGAAAGAGCTATTCTGTACTGTAATGTCAATTTGTCATGCAAAGAAAAGGGATTAATTCAAACTATAGTTCCACATAGTCAGATCTATATAGTCTCAAATATACTTTAGAATCAAATTATCATAAACAGTGTCATTTTAATTAGGCAACTTCATCTGTTGACATGATGCCGGTGAATTGCAGAGCTTGTACAAACATATTCACATCGCTATGATCAGATGCTTTCTGAACCGCTGTCTTTTTTGTTGTGTTTATATTGTTATTGAGAGGACAATTAGGCTACAGCACAATTACAAATTCATCTAAACGTAGCTCTCAGCAGGACGGCATCGGGCTGTTCGTTAACAGTATGTCGCTGCAAAGGTATTTCCAACTTCTTTCATTTTACTTATAGGCTAAGAACGAAAAAGAACTTCGCCGCGAGTATATCGGGGCTTTGAATCATGTTCAGTCTCTTGTGTGCAAGTTTCTGGCTGCAGTTCACTTAACGCCCACTGGTGTCGCTATTAGCAAGGGTTTCTGAATCTACACACAGTTATAGCCATAGATATACATAATAAAGGCTAGATGTCTCGTCCGCGCTGCTGGCCAATGGAGGTCGACGTCCGCACCTGGCGGCCATCTTGTCACGGGCAGCTCGCTCACTCGTAACATTGTGTTTTAATGGTGCATGTACTTTTTAAATAACCATAACTTGCTCAATTTTCTACCAATTTTCAAACGGTTTGGTTTGTTATAAACGTCAAAGATGTAGTTATGACACTGCACACTTAGTGTATCAATTAGTGTATCAATAAATAATCATCCAGAATTATAGCCACGTTCATAACGTTTGTAAGAAACCAAACCGTTGGTAAATCCGTCAAGATTTCAACGAGATAAGAGTATTTGTGTTCGTGCTGATCACTCATCTTACATCAGGTACCACAGAGCCCGCCAGAAAGCTTGCCTGTGACAAGATGGCCGCCGGTGATGACGACAGAGACTCCGCCGTAAGACATCTAGCCTTTATTATGGAAATCTATGGTTATAGCCCCTTTAATACTGTATTGGATGAGAAAATAGGACTGACCACATCACTCTTGGTGGTGAATATGTTGTCAGACACACTCTCTATTGCCATCCACCTTACAGGCAATTTAATGGTCCAGTTCTTATGCCTATAGTAGTTACTTGAATAGATCTGCTTAGACAGGCCAAAGTCAGCCACACAAACACGCAGGTCATCCCCCAACCTGTAAAAAGTGATTTTGGGATTTTGGGAAACAAGGGATTTTGTTCATTAGGCGTGGCTTCTCAAAGACAATGGGAGTATTAACAGGATGTTGTTGTAAAATGTGCTCTGTGTTTCCCTCCTGTGGACTCACATGCAATTGCGGGCAGCCAGATCTCTGTGTAAGAAACCCTGAAGGCTGAGATACTCCATTCCTGCAGCAATGTCAATCATAAAATGTAGAAGTCTCTGATAAGGCAAACACTGCAGAGAAGAGGTCAGTTTAAATAATAGGAACATATATGATCAGATTTGTGGTTATTTTACACTTAAACTTTTATATAAAAAGCAAGAGTCAAAAAGACAAGTCCATAAGAAGGGGTTGTAAATGAGTTTTTCTCGGTATGAGAGACTCACCATGGGAGCATCTCCATAGCGGGTTGCTTTGAGGAAGCTGTGTAGGTCTCTGTGCTTCATGAATGGAAGAATAACAAGCGGTACAATGATGGAGGACTCTGGATCTCGCTCTAGCGCAACCCCTGTTGGACGCAATAACCTCATAAAATCTGTTCATCTCTAGAGAAACTCCATGATGGACTTATAAACGATAATACTGTCTTATCCACCTTATTTTGCGACGTGAAAGTAAGCTATTTTCTGTGAATGTCCGAGACTTCTTATTCATTAGCCGCTAAATCATATGTCTGTACTTAGATGCCACATTCGACCACTCAAGACTTCGCCATTTTGGAACAGTTAAAGAAGTTTTTTGACTTTTAAGTATTAATATGTGAGCCTACTGTTATAAATAAGCTAGTGTGCTATAAGGTGAAAAATAAGGTGGATACATGCACTACAGTAACTATCTAGCTCTATCCCTCCCAGTCAAAAGTGACCCTGACTGGCTGCTGATTATCACAGTATTGGAAAGATGCCAAGTACATTATTACACATTAGAGTTGCCATGATCCATTTAACTCTTACAATGATACAATTATAATTAGTTGATATAATTCAGCAGGTCAAAGACACACAGGAGGTAAAAGTCAACCGAATCCCACTGTTACTGTGGAACTAGTGGAAGTTCACACTTTGCCCTCAGCTTGGACAGACCCACAGGCCCACAGATGACCAGTTGCCATGGAAACGGCTGTGCCATTTGAAATCAGGTTATCCAAAATGTTCCACTCCCGCTAGACATAAATTATACATTTTAGCCTAGATACCAAACAGTAAATAATGTAATTCAACAGAGACATACCAAGCAATTTAACGACATTCACATGATCAAAATGCTTCATAATTTCTGCCTCCTTGAGGAAGGACTCCAGGTCTTCTTTACTGTAGATGGGTTCTGCAATTCAACAGAAAACGCATGAAAGAGGTTGATTTAATAACCGTGTAAACGACATTGTCTCAAGCTAGTGATTTATTCTAAATAAAGACAATACTTTGTAATGTATTATCAGAAATGTTCACTGTCACTTGCTCTTTGCACTACCTTTTGAGGTTTTCACAGCCACTCTGATATCTTGTCCTTTTTGAGGGGAAAATATGCCTTCATAAACGGCCCCAAATTCTCCTGCAGATATATAGAGAAACTCCAGTATGAGAGTCTAAAATTAATTTACAGACTGAAAGATGACACTCAAACAGTTTTCCAATTGAATGTGAACCTTATGCAACTTAAAATAAAATAACTTTTATAATGATAATAATAAATAATAAAGTTATTACAAATATTTGACTTTTTTTATAACTTATATGAATGTATATGTGGAAGTGTAGGCCTACTACCAATCAGTTAGGACTCTTAAATAAATAGAAAGTTGAAAAGAAGAGCGTTTATTTGAAATGGAAATAATTTGTAACTAGGGATGTCCCGATCAGGTTTTTTTGCACTCGAGTCCGAGTCCGAGTCATTTGATTTTGAGTATCTACCGATACCGAGTCCCGATCCGATACTTATATAATACATAAAAAAAAATAAAGAAGAGAGAAAAAACAGATCCAGGATGTTCCTTATTTTTTTATTTAATTCACCTTATTTTAACATTCAACAACTCTGTTAACAAACAGAGCACTTCTGTGAGGTAGCTTGAACAATCAAGTAATAAATAACATAAAATCTTCACTTTTGGACTTTAGTGCAACAGTAAATATAGAAAAAGTCTAATATAAAAACAAATAGCACCTCAACTTAAAATACCCGGCAGGCATGTAAACAAAAAATAAAAATGTTTTAAAAGTGTATAAAAAAATAATGAGAATATAATATAGGCCTACATTCAGGGACGTGCACAGGAATTTTGTGGGGCAGTTGCTCTGACCTGAAAAAGGGGCACAACCCCCCCCCCCCCCAAAAAAACTCACGGGCTATATGAAGGAATATATTAAATTAAATTTTGCCCATACAAATTGCCTTATCTGATCGTGTTTATGTCCAAACGCAATGCCTCATATTATGGTCTTATTATTATTTATGAAGATTGCAAAACGTCAGAGATGACAGGTTTATGATATACAACTTTGTAAACAGTATACAAAATGTATTAACAATATGTTAAATGTCACCAAAATACACATGAGAAAAAGAGTTCCTCATATTATTGTTTATTGTCTTTTTTAATTATTATTATTTATTTATTTTTTAATTTGAAAATAAATAATCTGGATTGAATTGACAGATGGGGAAAAACTCGCTTCTAATAAAAATAAAAAAAACGCTTAGATTTCGGGAAAAAATACAATCCTTTTTTTAACCTTTTGGCTTCCCGTACATTCAATTGTGCTTTTTGCTCGAATTCAGTTCTGATGGTACGTATGGTAACTGGGCAACTACGCATGATTTGTAGTATGATTGCGTAAAGGGAACAGGAATTCCGGTAGGGAACAGAATCGACTGCTAAACCCAGTGCCGATCCTGACCTCCCCCTGGGGCCCTAAGCAAAATTCTGCTAAGGGGCCCTCTACCTGACCCGTGATGTCGTGAGCTATGTAAACCATTTGCCATTGCCACAGTCGCACCTGACACTTCAGTGCTCCCAATACAATCCTCCCTCCTTTAAACAAAACAGTCAAAGAATAAGTACAACAATAGTATAGAACAGAATGAGGTTCAAACAAACAATATTTATTGAATAGAGTATTTTCTATAGAATGTTAAGATAACAAGTGAATATTATTAAGTAAGTGAATATTAACGTAAACATAAATAAGAAGAAAATAATAAATTATAACCCTGAGCTTTGGCTTTTGGGATTAACTTTGGTTCTCTCTACAGCCTGGGCACTTTCGGCATCAGTATGATTTTTTTATTTTTTATTATGCATGTTGAAGCAATTCTTGATTTATGGTTATTATTTACTGAGGGATGTGCATCCATATTGACCAGTGTGTCCAGCTAATCAACATTTTAAATTCAATATAGCCTATAAATCAATAGTCAATCAATGTCAAATTGTCAATACATTGCTTTCTATCTTGCATAATCAGTGTAGTTGTTTAGTTTAACACTGAGACTAGATAATCAGTGTCTTGTTTTAAAAGTATAATGTGTACTTTGATTGGGAGTGCCATCATTCACGTGCATGTATTGTACAGTATGTCTGGTCTCCACATATTTCTGCTTGAAAAATGCGCGTTTCATTTCATGCACGCGCATTTGAACGCACGATAACACACACGACGTGGTTATGTGTTCTGAGCTGCAGTAAACAAACACCGTTGCACTTTGTCGTTTATCAAAAACAAACGTAATAAATAATTGTATTTTACTCTCACTTTTGTCAGGCACAAAGTGATGCAAGAGATGCACTGCCTGCCCAGCTAGGTTAGCAAGACCGAAAAACATCAAACTTTGCTGACATCAAACTTAGAGAGGAGAGAACACAAGTTTACCTGATTGTTGTTCCCGCAATTCACTCTCATGGTTTTTTTCTTCTTCCTCTTTTCGTGACCAGAAGGATAGTTTCGCTTCATTTTGTCATGGATGTTGTACACATTAATTGACGCGCTATGACACGAGATGGAGGCGGGGCCTTAAGTAATTTGCGTGGCCCTACGCCGGTCTCGTGCAGTCAATGGTCGCGTGCAGCGCTACAGCCATGTAAACAGTTTGCCCTTCCCTTACTGACTTTCACTTTCGGCGAATGGAAGTGAATGAGGCTTTGCGATTATTTTTTTTATTTTTTTTTATATAGGCCTACGTGAAATTCTGCATCCATTGTACGATTTTTTTTTTTTTTTTTTTTTTTTTTTGGAAGGGCAACCTGAGTCGAGAAGGGCATATGGGCAGTTGCCCGGGCAACCTGAGCAACCCCCCTGTGCACGTCCCTGCCTACATTAGGGGTGTAACAGTTCACAAAATTTGCGGTTCGGTTCGATAGGATACAGCAAAAAGAAAGAAATGCCAGAGAAATTTCCTATTTATTAAAAGAAAAACTATTTTTGTAGTTTTCCTACATCTTGAAACTTTCAGGTTTATAAATGGGGGTAATCTTTGAAGGATGAACAAATAATGTTTTGGTAATCACATTAAAAATAACATTTAAATATATATTTATATAATATTTGAGTTTTGAAGTGCAACATTAAATCCATGTTCATTCACGGCACAATGTTTCTCCTGCTGTCCACGTCAGCGCTGTTTGATCTAATAGAGATCTACGGTTAATAACGGAGAAATGTGAATGCTTCTCAGTTCTCACTAGATCTCGCAGCGATGTTATTACTTCAGTGGCGAATTCAAATGTTTTCTTCACTGGATCTCTTCGCTTGATCTCGCGCTGCACAGATGTTGCTGGTCCGAACTGATAATGGTCCGTTAAGCACAATGTAATGAGAAGCGCAGTTTCGTTCTGCTTTCATTACGTTTGCCATAATGTTGCGCAACGTTGTGGTGATCGCGCCAGCGCGGATTTTGTCTGCAGGAAAAATGGTCCTAGGAATCGTTCGGTATGCGTACCGAACCGGAAGCCTCGTACCGAAACGGTTCAATAATTATGAATACATGTACCGTTACACCCCTAATTTACATATATCCGAGTCCTGATCGGGAGGTAACGTCCGCTTCCGATCGAGTCTGAAACCACGTGATCGGGCCCGATTTCCGATCGCGTGATCGGATCGGGACATCCCTATTTGTAACATTATAAATGACCCCAAAACTTTTGAACAGTAGAGTTTATCTTAGGTCTTATAACTGGTTACCATTTCATTTAGGTTTATATAATCTCACATTTTGGTCGTCATTTATGATTTTAGATCCAGTAGTGGCTACAACTGATGTCTGGGGGGAATTGGTTATTAATGACCCTACAAGTTTGAATAAACCATCAAAATAGAGGAAAATATTTTGTATTTGCATGTGTTCATAATTCCTTTGTATGACAGCCTGGCCAGAAATATGGCATGTTTCACCGCGTTATCACAAATTAAATAAAAATGACACAACTACGCATTAAGCTTACAATCTTAAACTTAAAAATCGTTTTAATTGTTTGAATAAAGGGTAAAGATGTCAATTTTCCTATGCCGGACATCACTTTTGGCCACTATTGTATATGTGTAATGCTGCTAACAAGAGACCTAAGGCAAATTTAAGTCAGTTTATACCTTTCCCAAGTATTCGACACATCGTCAACTTTGTGCGTTCCACCAGCACATCTCGAAGACCACACAGCATATCACTCATTCCTTCCAGCATCTGAACTGAGCCTGACACTGACAGACAGGTGGAGACACAGGAGAAAATGAAGCGTGAAGCATGAGAATAATGTCTGGGTTAATAAACCAATTATCTAAAATATGACAGGTCTGTCTTAAACTGTGCTCAGAGTTGCCAAGATCCCAAAGCCGGCATTCTCACCAAATCATAGACCTAATCATTTTATGATGTTATACTCTTAAGACCCATTCACACCAAGAATGATAACTATAAAGATAGCTATATTAATGCCGCGCACAATATAGTTCTGTTTATTCGAAACATTTGCTGCAGTTTCCTCGTCTGCAGCTTTAAATGTTCGAGCTCTTCAAAGCCGGATAGATTCTGATTAGCTCTCAATGTTTTTACCATTTATCAGCTAAAAAAATCATTCTGAGAGTGATTCCATCGTTCCTCTGTGCCATTATAGTTAGTGGTGGTGTGGACTTTTATATTTAAAGCTGCCGTCGGCAACAATTTTTTGATCATATTCAGTGAAATCGACACTATAATCTGACAGAACAACATAAATAAAGTGGTTTTAGAAAAAAACCCGAGCTTCTAACTCCACCTGGAGCGTGTTATTTGTTTTGCAAAAATCCACAGCTCCCGGTTCATCATGTCCAATCAGCGCAGGGGGGTGTGAGATCTGACTGTCAATCACAGATCGGGCACACGCCACCCCTCGCGCACGTTACAATCACATGTACACGCCTGAAGTTCGCGGAAGTTCGCGCAGTAACGAAGAGTGATGGCGGAAAATCAAGTACGCTCATTTAGAGTATAAATGACGTTAGCAATTGCAATCTATCGGTAGATTAGCCAGGACAGCATACCTCCAAATACTCCATGGTGTTGATGGATGCTGATGAGACGGGCGCGTTCCAGGGCTCTCAAGTTTTGAAGACAGGTAAGAGCGACACCCAGCCGACGGGGGGTTGGATACATTTTTGTCATTGATTGTTGCGTTAAATCTTACCCAGATACAATAGTGCTATTTTCTGATTGGCTATTGTGTAGCTCGACGAACAACACCAGAGGAAACACGCTTGATTCATGCCGGTTCCACAGTGAGAGCGGCGCGGCCAGAGTTTTGGGCGCTGCGGCATATTAAATATATTTCAAATAGTTTTTCAGCGTGAGAAAAACAATGTGTGGCAGGAGAGCGTGACAAAAGACCGAAATGAGTGACTGTCACGCTCAATGCGTGACACTTGAGAGTCCTGGCGTTCACTGAAAATCTGGTGCACACGCACTGACGAGCATGAACTGGGTGGGAGGGTATCCGTTGATAGTGGGCATGAGAGTTGTAAACATTCAAAATCGTCGTTAATGTACATGGCTTCACCCCGTGCTGTTTTCACTCGGGTTAGCTAAACGCTAGCTAAATAAATACTATTGTATTATGTGACATAGTTGCCTAGACAACGGATAACGTTACAACAAAATAACAGACTCAACGTGATAGACACTTCTACTTGATTAACGTTCAAACATCAGCTATTATTCAATGAACATAAAAAAATAATAATAATAAGCAAGATAAAACACACATCGTGCAGCTCTTCTACCAGGAGTTGATTCAAAATTGTGCTCGCGCGATTAGAATGTGCGCGTCCGGTGTGCGATACCTGGAGTTGTCCTAGACGTGGCGCGACGTGGCGCGACGCGGCGCTGCGCTTCTCGTCCGGTGTGCGACCCACTTTAGCGTCCTTGATGTGAACAGGCCTTTACTGTGTGAAAACTATGTAAAGATTTCATGACATTTCAACTATTTAAATAAACATGAAATAATGTTAAAGTTCTTCTAAAGGTCCCTTGGTGTTTTCTAAATATGCTGAGAATAAATTATTAAAATTGAAGTATTTTCAACCCGATCTCACGGCAATTCGTACGAATTTAACGAGGTGGCTAATTCGTACGGATTCATTCGACCTCACTCGTTTCGTACGGATTCATTCGACCTCACTCGTACCAATTCGTACGATTTTTGCTTATTCGCACATATTTTACGAGTTACCAAATTTGGATGAATTCGTACGGATGACCTACTCCTGACCCCGCCCCTAAACCTACCCCTCCCGTGGGTTTAGACAAATCGTACGAATTCGTACGACCGAATTGGCCACCTTTTAATCACTCGTACGAATTCGTACGAATTGGTCGTGTGATAGCGTTAGTATTTTCACTGCTGGTAACATACTTGGTCTGAGGTTAATGAAAGTACAGAAATGAATTGAAACAGTGACTTATCACACTCTAAAAAATGCTGGGTTGTTTTAACCCAAATTTGGGTCAGATATGGACAAACCCAACTATTAGGTTAAAAATTGTATTTAAAAAATGTAACCAAACGGCTAGGTTCGTCCATATTTGACCCAAATTTTGGGTTGAAACAACCCAGCATTTTTTGGAGTGTACTTGTGCATTCCTGCTGAAGTGGGTCAGTATGCAGTCGCTCACATCCACAATCCCACTGAGACGCTCCCTCTCCATGTGTTGTACTTCTGGGAGGATGAGGCATATATTCGCCACTCTGATTTGCTTCATTTTTGCTGCCCGCCCAATAAGCTGCATGAAAATAATTATTTTAATTGTGGAAACAGAATTTGACAGCTGTGGATTTGCAAGACCCCAAATTATACTCTTACTGTATAAGGCTGAAACTATTTTTGTAAATAGAATTGTTTCTATTTATATTTTTCTTAAGGATTTTTAGGAGAAACACAACTGAACTGAGTTATGAAAGAGCAACATTCATACATTTTATACAACATTTATCCTAAGCATTCATGCATTATAAGGAGCTGAAACAGATGAAGACTCACTATTGACTAGCTCAGGGTCAGCTGTGTGTTCTTGTTGTTTAGGACGTTGATATCGAGTCACACCAGACCTGGATATGAGCTCTGTTTCTTGACCCCCACTGAACACACACACACACACACACACACACACACACACACACACACACACACACACACACACACACACACACACACACACACACACACACACACACACACACACACACACACACACACACACACACACACACACACACACACACACACACACACACACACACACACACACACAAATCAGTAACAAAACAGTCAATATATATTGTATGCAAACAATTCCCTTCCCTTAAAATCGAACTATTGTCATGCAAACTAGTTTTAGCTCAGAGCCACAAACAGACTAAACAAATGTAAAGCTATAGAACCAGAGAAGAGTCTGTATTGTAGAATCAACCAATCACATGCTTCCCAGGTCAAACTGGACAATTCTTTGTTATTATTCATTGTATATAATCTGTTTACAATGTACAGTGTATCATTACATCTCTTACAGTCATAATATACTGCTTTTACAAACATTTAGAATAAAAGCAGGATAAAATTATCATTATCCCAGAGATTTTGAAGTATTGAGATGCAAACATCTGCATTTTCAAAGAATTTTACCTGAGCTTGTGACGCCTTACAAAGATGAATAGAGCAGCTATGAGAAGAAACAGGACGCCACACACTGGAACAGCAGTTAGGACAGAGAAGAGGCCCGGTCTGGAATCAGCATTTGGGTCAGGAATGAAATCAGCTTTTGAGTTAGGACTGGAACCTGCCATTGGGACAGACCTGGAATCAGCTTTTGGGACAGGATTGGAATCGGCTTTTGGGACAGGACTGGAATCGGATTTTGGGACAGGACTGGAATCAGCTTTTGGGTCATGAGTGGGCTTTGTGAATGAATCTCTTCCTGAAACACACACATAAACATAGTTGCTGTAGTATTAGCTCAAAGGGGAAATATGAATAATTAATCATAACTTATTATAATTAATTATTCATATTTGGATCAGATAATCGGATTAACTTGATGTAGTTAAATTAATATTACAATCAATTAATCAGTTCATCCAGCGAACACTCAGTATTGATTATTTATTAATTCTAAGAAAGGGTATTTTTCATGGTCACATGTACAGCTCTTAGAGCGTGTAGCAAGACCAGGAATCGTTTAAGGCAGATTCAGGGAACTCACATGTGTCGCACAAAGTTTTATGAACTAAATCACAAACACATAACTAATCTAAACAAATACATACACACAAATCACACATAAGTGAAAAGTGAATGACCGGACAGAACAGGGGGAATGAAGCAACGAAAAGAGTCATTTAACCACATGAAAGAATCATCTTAGAGGATTTCACCGCTTATCCTAAACCTCCCCTTGTGACAAAGAAGTGTGCTTCATTGTATTGAAAGTACTTTTTGTGTACTTCAAATCTTACAAGTATACCTTTTAAAAAGTGCCCTTACAGATAATATAATATAATATAATGAAAATGAAAGGCCACTTAAGTATACTTAAAGCTGCTGTAGGTAGCTTTTGTAAAAAATATTTTTTACATATTTGTTAAAACTGTCATTATGTCCTGACAGTAGAATATGAGACAGATAATCTGTGAAAAAATCAAGCTCTTCTGGCTCCTCCCAGTGGTCCTATTGCCATTTGCAGAAATACACGCTCCCGGTCAGAAACAACCAATCAGAGCCAGGAGGAATGTCTTAGCAGTGTCAATCACGCTCGTGTACGCGCTGATCACACCCCTCTCTTAAACAGCGCGAGCCGTCGTTCAAACTCAAGATTGCCGGCGTGCTGCAGCTGTGCTTATGACGGAGAAACAACCTAAACTGCCAATTCTCGAGTGACACCTGCTCATAAAACAAAGAGGTAAAAGGAAAAAGACTGATGACGATAATAACATGTAGATAAAATGTCACGCACTCTGCTAAGCAACAATTGAAACCTGTTAATTCACTGGCTTGTCATGTTGCTGAAATAATGTACTAGCACACCTTATCTAGCATTATATATCGCTAGAATAATTACTTACATACTGTAACGTTAATTACCGTTATATTACCGTTATCTTACTAGCTATTTATAACTTATAGAAAGAGTGCAACGTTATAAAGTTACATGTAGGCTATTGGAAAATACATAATGATTTGAGGACCAAGTTTGTAGTCAAAGTATGGGCAGGCCATAGTCAATGAAAAGCATATTGTTGACGTTTAGTCCCTATTAGTGAATGTGCCATATAACTTTTTATCCGCCGTTATCGGTGGCCCTGTTTACTAGCCTGCGCGTTCACGACAGGCTCCGCTGTGGAGGACGAGCTGTGGAGGGAGGGCTGTAGCGCAGCAGAGAGCAAGGGGGCTGGACCTGTAAGTTGTGCTTGTTCAAATTTTCAGGCTAAGTCAACGTTTTCTCAAAACTCCCTACTGCAGCTTTAAAGAGAATACACTTTTATGACAATATTTCTTAACTCAAATAAGTGCATTTTTTAAAAATGAGAAAGTTACTTCAAGAAAGGGATCTGTGCTGGGGCTTTTTTAACCTCTGAGGATGGTCTCTCCTCCCAGGGGCCAGAGAGCGATAGTTGCAAAAGTTTTTTCTTCCCTATTCTGACGTACACTCACCTAAAGGATTATTAGGAACACCATACTAATACTGTGTTTGACCCCCTTTCACCTTCAGAACTGCCTTAATTCTACGTGGCATTGATTCAACAAGGTGCTGAAAGCATTCTTCAGAAATGTTGGCCCATATTGATAGGATAGCATCTTGCAGTTGATGGAGATTTGTGGGATGCACATCCAGGGCACGAAGCTCCCGTCCCACCACATCCCAAAGATGCTCTATTGGGTTGAGATCTGGTGACTGTGGGATCTGGTGACTGTGGGACTGTGAACTCATTGTCATGTTCAAGAAACCAATTTGAAATGATTCGAGCTTTGTGCATTATCCTGCTGGAAGTAGCCATCAGAGGATGGGTACATGGTGGCCATAAAGGGATGGACATGGTCAGAAACAATGCTCAGGTAGGCCGTGGCATTTAAACGATGCCCAATTGGCACTAAGGGGCCTAAAGTGTGCCAAGTGTCCCCCACACCATTACACCACCACCACCAGCCTGCACAGTGGTAACAAGGCATGATGGATCCATGTTCTCATTCTGTTTACGCCAAATTCTGACTCTACCATCTGAATGTCTCAACAGAAATCGAGACTCATCAGACCAGGCAACATTTTTCCAGTCTTCAGTTCAGGAGATTGTCTTGACCAGGAGCACACCCCTAAATGCATTGAAGCAACTGCCATGTGATTGGTTGATTAGATAATTGCATTAATGAGAAATTGAACAGGTGTTCCTAATAATCCTTTAGGTGAGTGTATATCCTAATGAAACGACTTCTCGAACAAGAAAAAATGTTGGGCAGGACTTGATTTTGTTCATGGGGAATTGATTGGATCATTGTGGTTTGCTATTGGTCGATATCATGTGAGTGACAGGTTGCCCCGCCCTCACGCCAGTAAACACATCATATCATCAGAGAAGAGATGTCACAGAAAGAGGGAGGGGAAGTCGTTTTTAATAAAGAGATTTTGATTAAAGATTTGGGCATATTAATAAAAAAAAAAAAAAAAAGGTAAATCATAATAAATACTGCAGTATTACATAAAAAAGGAGTCAAATTTGATTTCATTTTTACTTTAATAAGGGTAGTTCACCCAAAATCTTTACTATAACCTTCACCCGTATGCTTCTTTTTTTTCAGTGAAAAGCAAAATCAGTCCAAGCTGCTCTTTTACAAACAACAAAAGTGGGTGGTCATTTAAACGAGCACAATAAAAAAAAAATTCCATACAAATTTATTCTTGCTTGAAAAGCCATTTCACTCTGATATAAGAGTTTCATGCCAACTTAATTTTTTTTTTTTGTATGAGTATGTTAACCCCCCCTTAAATATAGAATCTGCTTAGATCGAACACAAGATGCTTGACTCATAAATAAATGTTTTACCTTTGCAACTGTTTCCGTCAGTTTTGTATTCTGCACCACAGACACATGACCCCTGCGGTGGTGGACCCCACGTCCCGTTTGATCGACACTCCATCTGCGGGCTAGAGATCTCCACAGAACCGTTCACACACACTCCTCTCCTCAAACCTCCTGCTACCGTTTCCTCAAATTCCATTTGGTTCCATGCAAATGCTGGACATTTCATGAAGAACACCTGGATCGAAGCAATGTAAGTGCACTTACCGCGGTAAGAAAATCCCAGGTGAAAGCCATTCTGAGAGATCTTTCCCAAATGAAGGGCCTTAGCATGGCTCAGGTCCTCATCCCGAGGAACAGTATCGGCAGGAAATGGATGACCGACTGTGATCCTGAGAACAGGTCTTCGTGCTCCTCTAAAGTGTTTCTGAGGTTGGTTAGATTCTTGCACATAGATATATAGAGGCTGCTGGTCCTCTTGGGCAAAACTTAAGTCAAGTAGAAACTCTTGGGCATCTTGTTTGGGGATCCAGTTGGTCCATAATGTTTTGGTATTTGTTGTGAAATCGGGGTTACAAGCTTGGTAGATAGAGTGTGCATAGTCCTTTCCAAGCTGCATTTGTGTTTCCTTCCACTTACATTGACCAAAAGAGAAGCGAATTGGTATTTTGATTACAGGTTTTTTTGTTTTTTTTTGGGTTTTTTTTTACATATAGGCCCTACCTATATTAAATAATTCATCTGTTAACATGTTTTAGCTTGTCTATTATATGTACATAAAATACACACTACTATTCAAAAGTTTGAGGTCAATAAGATTATTTCTTTTTTGAAAGAAATACTTTAATTCATAAGGGAGCATTACATTGATCAAAAAGACATTTATAGTGTTACAAAACATTTCTATTTCAAATAAATGATATTCTTTTTTTTAACATTCTATTCAAAGAATCTTAAAAAAATCGTGTATCACGATTTCCAGAAAAATATGAAACCGTTTACAGAAACTGTTTTCAACATTGACAATTGTAATAAATGTTTCTTGAGCAGCAAATAAGCATATACGAATGATTTCTGAAGGATCATGTGACAATGGGGACTGGAGTAAAGAGGCTGAAAATTCAGCTTTGATCACAGGAATAAATAACATTTTAAAACAATAATTAAAATATCAAAATATTTCACAATATTACTATTTTATTGCATTTTTATAAAATAAATGCAGGCAGCCTTGGTGAGCACAAGAGACTAAAAACCTTTTTTTTTTTTTAAATGACTGACCCAAAACATTTGAACTGTAGTGTATTGTATTTATATTTGTATAAATTAAACAAATAGTAATAAAAGTAGCGTATACAAATATTTATGAAAATGGGTAATTCCCAGAAATGGGTGCCTTTTTTATTGTGAAAAGAGTCATTTTCTTTCTTAACACTTGATCAGAAAAATATGTTTTTTAGATGTTAATAGATGGCTCTTCATATAAATGTGTATATTGTATATTATATATATATATATATATATACATATATATATATATATATAATGATAGCTATTCCTTAAACAGAGTCGACAGTTTACCTTAAACTACTAGCCAATGCCATGCTAGCCATACTAGCAACTAGTCATAACTCAATGACCACAATGGATTTATTATAGATAGAATTATTACTGATATTTCTACAGACATCCTGCTGTTATATATAAAATAGTTGGGCATGGAATTTTTGTAGAAGTATTAAGAAAATGCACACCCTATTATAAAACATAGTCAAATTTGCCAGCCTTTCATTGTTTAAAGTCATTGTTTATAGGAAGAAAAAAACGCACCCTTGTTGTGGAATAACTCATTAGCCTATTTAAAATATTAAATAAATAAACTGCCACTTACAGCTTTTGTTGGTGAAAATGTCCATTGTAGTTTGCTCTGTTCGCTTGAATCAAAGATTTCTTCTAAAAAAAAATAAATTTTTATATTTATTTATTTCATTTCCATAATAAAAGCACTGATGTGAAACCTCAGTCTTACCTCTGATCGGTGTTAACTGTGCTGTGGTGACAATCCATAAAATGCTAAATAAAAATAATAACATATTGAAAACCAGGTTCATTTTTGTCTTCTTCCTTTATACTGACAAGCATAGAGGTTTGTATTTTTTCTCCTTTACTTCCTAATAGAGTCGAAAGTTTCAGTTCAGAGTTAACATTTGCGCATGTGCGAATGAATCATCGTTTAAAAAAGAAATCATATTGACTTTTGCTATGATAGGCTATTGTTTTTAAATAAACCCAGTTTCATTTCTGATATATTATTTTAATTTGATTCGAATTCATAAATAATTTGATATGATAAATTATGATAAAGGCAAAAGTCGTTTTAACGGTGTGATTCAGTGTGGCTGACAAAAGAAAAAATGACTCAATAATGATTCAGTTCTTTTTCTCGGTCCTGGTTAAGCAATGCTTTTTTTTTTTTTTTTTTTGTAGAGATGTTTTGTATATATAGTTTTAGAGAACTCGCCTTTGATTATGAAGTGAAACTTCTAGTTAGGGCTCTGCTAAATCTGCACTTTCTGTTACTGGGAACCGTTGGGAGTCTTGGGAACTTCTGCACGTACTGATGAGGACCGCATGCTTCCTTTAACTAAACCGCAGAATAGTTAACATGTAGACTACTTTTGTACATAGATGTTTTGTTCAATCACAACCGAGTTTGGATGCAAAAGAGTCTTAAAACAATTTTATTTCCCAAAGACATGTCAACTGTATTGTATTAGCTGACATCAGGACTTTTCAAAAGCAATTCACTGTTCAACCCAATACAAATAACATGAAATAATAACATTTCAAACAAAGTGTAAACAGGGCCGAAGATAATATCAATGCAAAGAGCTGAAAAATCTCTAAAACAACCAGTCACTCAAAAATAACCATCACACACACACACACACGCACGGACACACACACACTTACACTTTAAGGGAGAAATTCTTGGTTATTCACTGCTGAGAGTACATCTACTTCTGCATTCTGTACCATTCATGGATGAAATATGATGTTACACAATTATAATCCCCAAAATTACTTTTTTCATTCAGGTATTTTAAAACAAAATTCTAACACTCAAAGTGCATGCACACACTCTCTTTAAACGATTCTATGCATTTAACATGTCCTATGTTATTGGAGGCTCTTTCCTGTAACAGTATTTGGTGATTTCAGGCAATATATGGAGACATTTTGTGCCAAATTTTGTCTGTGTTGTCGATATTTATTTTTTAATGTTTTAATTTTTGCTGCATTTTAGGTCATTTAAACATATGACTTGCATAACAATGAAATCACCTCGTTAAAATTGCCTGATCCTTCTTTCAAACTCTGCAAACGTATGATATTTGACCTAGTTTGACATGAGATATCCTAAAATCACTCTGCAGCAAATGACTTGTACACACAAGTTAAACAATGAAGTAAATAACACTGCAAAGGCCACATGACCTATATTATTTTTTTACTGAAAACGTAAAACAAGAAGTGTTGTCAGAACACCATTGACCAACTCTCTATTTAACTTTTTCAAACTAAATATTCTGAGACTAAAATGTCTCTAAAAGGAAACAACTCTTAATTGATCTGAAATGAGCATTCATGCTGCTCAAACCTTTCAACATGAGGACTGAAGATTAATCTAGTCACAGTCTCCTTGTCATATGTTGTAATGTCTGGTCCACACACACCTCAATAGTCCATGAGGTCAGTGTTTAAAGGGACAGTCCTGTATAAAAGCAGGTGCACCGCATCCCTCACTGTAACACACACTTCTCTTTCCGACTTCCATACTTCCTGCGTCTCATTTCTAGACCTCTCTCCAACCTCTCGTCCTCTTCAAGAGCCCTTGAGGATGAGAACACAGAGAAAGTCAAAAAAGGAGAGAAAAAGAAAGAATGAGAATAAGTCAGAGATCAGTCTTCCGCCGGAACTAGACGCGCGTACGGCCGTTACTGGAAGCCAGTGATTATAGTTTATAAACTTATATATATATATATATATATGGATATTTTTCTTAAGAAAAACGTATCACTTCGCTTCAGAAGGCCTTTATTAACCACCTGGAGCCATATGGATTACTTTTATGATCGATGGATGCATTTTTACAGGATTCAAAATCTCAGGGACTACTCACTCCCATAATAAAGCTGGGAAGAGCCAGGATATTTTTTTAATATAACCTGTGTTTGGCTGAATGAAGAAAGTCATATACACATACGATGGCTTGAGGGTGAGTAAATTATGGGATAATTGTCATTTTTGGTTGAACTAACCCTTTAAAACTCTGATATTCTGGCTGTTTTACACAGAAGAGTTAGACCAGGAATTGACAGAAAGTACAGAGTATATGTTGTTATTTGAATGAACCTCACCCTCTCTCTTTGGCATCTATGTCATGAACAAGCTCGTCCCTCTTGTTGACTAAAGACACCAGCTCCTGCAACAACAGCTGCTCTCTGGTTTTATGAGCCTGGGTTTTCTTCCATTCTTCAAAAGAAAGACAAAAATATGGATAATGAAGATATTTAGCCACATGCTACTGATGAAACTACTTTATGTGTGGCAAAACATCTTTAATATGTACAGTATATGTATATGTATATGTAAAACATGCAGATGCGTATATTCTCGGTCGGTCACAGTGATTTTGCCAAGTAAGACATGTTCCTGGATCAACATATTTAGTGGATCCTGGAACAACATTCCTGCCTGAAAATGTTGTCCTAATCCTATCCATACCTAGCCTTGGAAAACCCAGACAACTTCCAACAAATTTAGATTTGCTCTGAAAGTTAGTCTGGCAAAGAGCTCATTCAAGCCCATTTCCAATCCGTCGAAATCGAGGCACCAATCAGAAACGTTGGGGCGGGCTTTACACGATGACGACAGCGCTGGGATTTTGAAGCAGATTTTGTAGCCTACATTACAAAGATGGATGCCGGCGTCGAACATCACTCGTTCGAATCAGCTATCGCATCTGTTTTAAGCGATTTGAACGTTTCCTTTTTGTTAAAAACCGAGCAAAGAACAACACTCGGAGATGTTTCTCCGCCGCTCTGCATACGTCATCTCCTTCATCGCTCTGATTGGTTTTAGGTCTATCCGCGACGTCCGTTGGTGACGCCCCTCTGGAAATGATTCGTCTATGACGCTTTGCCAGACCATAACTCAGTTACAACTGAGAATGGTCTGGTTTTAACCAGGCTACTCCATACCCACAACTTATACCTAAAATCATATGGAAATGATAGGCAAATAACACTGATGTAGGAGCACCTAACCCTGGTTGTAAGCCTAAACTTGACAGAAACTGTAAACTTGTCCCTCAAATCTGATTGGTTGTTTGGAATGATGTTCCAGGATCAAAAAAGATGTTGTACTTGATGAAATCACGTTCACCAATTCTTAGATATAGTTCTCCATTTTACCAACAGTCGTACCTTCCACAGCCATTAGATCTTGCAGTTCTTTCTTCAGCAGCTCAAACCTTCTCTCCAAATCTTGCTCTTCTTGTCTGTCACACAGAAGAAATGATAATGTTCAAATGATGCCTTAGAGGCCATCATCTAAATGAGTAAAGTGACTGAGAATAAGTGTGAAAAGACATACAATAACTGTAGCTGGTCTTGTCTCCTGATCAAAGCGTTCTTCTTGTTGACCAGGGTAAACCACTCCTGAATGAGTATCTCTTCTTCTACACGATCACTACCTGGAAGTGCATGATAAAAGCATTTAAATTGATTCAATTGATAGCAAAGCTAAATTTTCATCATCTTAACACCAGTCTTCAGAAATCATTCTAATATGCTGAGAAACAAAATTTCTTCTTGTTATCAATGTTGAAAACAATTGTGCCAAAAAAAAAAAGGAATTTTCAGGATCCTTTGATGAATAGAAAGTTCAAATAAACAGCAATTATTTGAAACAGAAATCATTACTCCCACGTTTGATACATTTTTCATCCTTGCTTAAATAATAATTAATTTCTTTAAAAAAAAATCACTGACCCCAAACTTTTGAACAGTAGTGTACACTACCTTTCAAAGGTTTGTGGTCTATTTAACAACGAATCCTGGGGAACGGTTTGCATAGTTTAAACGGTTTACACAAAAATAATAAAGGTGCAGTAAGCGATTCCTGAGAAACACTGTTGATGTTTGAAATCAAACTAAACAAACACACACACTCCTCCCTTCATTGCTCTGCCCTCAAAATGCACAAACACTCAATGCAAGAGTGGATGTCACTATATTATAGCTCAAGTGAAGCAAAATCATGCTTAAAGAACCAATGCAGGAAAATATAGTTAATATGCGCAAACAGCGGGAAACTCTGTATATTTGTGCAGTGTGCGTATGTCAAAAAATCAATTCCGATTTTAAGCTTGTGACATAAACGCGCACACCAACCCGATCTTTATTAAGTGTTCATGTAGGCTAAACACTACGCTCGGATTCATCAATTGGAATTAATTCAGTTCCGATTGAAAAAAGGTGTGCATGTAAACATAGCCACAAGATCGTTTGAATGGATTGGCCGAGATTTCAATTGAGCACCAAATCTGTTGCAAATTGGATTACTTCAAGAAGAGTTTTCAGCAGCCAAAGCAAGAAAGGTCCTCTTTTAAATGGTGAGTCAACTGTATTAATTCATTACATCTGTCTTAAGGCAACAGTATAGGTCAATATGTGATAAATTGGCTTTTTTGTTTTGTTTTTTAACGTAGGGGGCAGCATATTCCTTTTTTGCCCAGAGCACGGATTGTCTTCCCCTGGCCCTGGACTTGACTATAGTCTATCTTCAAACCTCCCTCTTGCTCACTTTCTGTCCTCCCCCATCATGAGTGGACACGCCCCCTACTGCTGATTGGACAAGTTGTGCTGCTCAGTGCGATCCACTTTCAACAGCATTTCTCAGAAATCACTTACTGCACCTTTAAACAGCACAGTTGATTTTTTAAACATTGGTAATAAGAAATATTATATATATACTGTATATACAGTATGATTTATGTTTTTTTAAGTTATACAATTTTTGAGCTTTGATTTGGTGCTTGGTAAAAATAGGCACTCTAACTACTGTACTCATTGACTTACCAGATTCCATAAGTCTTCTGAGTTTCTTCTCCACAATGTCTGCTCTGCGATCTATCTGCCTCTGTTCAGCATCCAGCGCCTGCATCTCACCAAGTACATATTGACTGATATCCTGCAAATAGAAATAAAACCCATGTATATGCATTTGCAACTTTTTCAAATATTGGTTTGGAGCTAACATGTATAAACCAAACTATGAAAGACTTATTAGTTTAGGCAATGTTTCAACTGATGTTAATCATCAAGTCACAAATAGAAAATCAATGAATGACCTGGTTGTCTCCTGCAGTGGCCTCTTCAACAATTTCTACGTTTCCAATTAAAAGCAAGACAGAAGAACATGATCAACAACATTTCACAATAGTTTACAATACAAAAACTGAATTTTTTTCAGAAATTCTTACACTCTGCAGAAAACATGTTCAGCCTAGGTTATCAATTTGACAGTGTAAAAAAGTCTTTGAAAGGCGTGTTCTGAGTTAAATCTTACGGGACTCTGAACCTCCTCTGGCTGCCTCGGTTTCTGCTTGGACTGATGCAGTCTGGGTAAAAACATCATAATGTACAGCAGCTCAGTAATATAATACTGTTTATACAGATTAACCATGAAAATTGAAAAAAAATTACTCAAAAAGACGAAAAAAATATATAGTACACTATACATAATACAACCCAGCTTCAAAAACAATATATCTCTCATTTATTACAATTTAAAAGAAATGTTTTCTATTTCAGTATCTTTTGAAATGTAATTTATTCCTGTGATGTCAAAGCTGAATTTTCATTACTCCAGTCTTTAGCATCACACGATCCTTCAGAAATCATTCCAATATGCTAATTTGATGATTTGTGGAGAAGCATGTGATGTTGTAGACTGAAGTAATGGCTGCTAAATGACTGCTTTTAACTAGTAGAGTATGTTTTTAATGTTATACCTCTGTACTGCTCTGCTGTTCGTGTGGTTCGGGCTCATCCAGTGACTCTCCCCGCAGCTTCGATCTGCGTTTTTTTACAAGATCTGCATCCTTGACGTGAGAAAAAGCTTTTGAGGCGTGAGTTCTGGGTGGTGCCACCGGAGGCTGTGCAGACCCTGAACCTCCATCCTGGCTCAGGCCCTGTGTTCGCTTCATTCTTGGAGGTGGGACCAAGGCACCGACCTTTCCCTCCCTTTCAGGGAAGCTTCCATTGGTCTCTAGAGTGAGTCCGCTGCTCTGAAGCCTTTCGGCACAGTAGCGAGCAGCGGCTTCAGGATCGGCTTCCTCCCTCTTTTCACCAACAGCATAACTGGACTCGCTGCTGTTCTTCTCGATCTGAATGACACTGAGCTCCTGGCCCATGAAACAGGTGCGGATCTGGTTGAGATACGTCATCACGATGAGCCTGTCGGGAACTGCCAGCAGCACCATGTCAGTGGGCTCTATCAGCCTGGAGATGCCGAGTTCAGCAAAGCCATCAAATGCCTACGAATAGAAAAATCTTTATTTTTTACCATTTCCTGATCACAGGGAGAAAAAAACAGTCATTATCAATTATTAAAAGGGGTGGATCACCTTCTTGTTGTTGCGTTTAATGTCATACGGATCCAGCATTTCATAATTCCTAAAGACAAAATAGCAAACAAACATGATATTGAATAAGATTGAGTTGATCAAATATACATAAACCATTTAACATGTATGCCTTCTTCCACATTAAAACACCCACACTTTATTTGGATGGAAGTGATGCAGGATGGCACAGAAAGCAAGGCCGTTTCTCCACGAGGTGCTGAAATTTGTTATTCGCACACCCTTGTAACCTTGTGTGACCTTTTGGCACCATTCCAACAGAGACTGGCTTGAATTCACCAAGGTCGTAATCTGGATTTGAACGCAGAACAAATTAACCACCTGCTCATTAATATGGTAACAATCAACATAATAAAAAAGCAGTAGATCCATCAACCTCTATTTCACTGGTCGGCGATGTGTGAGCTGTGAAACTTCCCTGAAGGTCCATGGCATCTGCTGCAGCTCTACGTTTATTACGAACAGGCACTGTGGGCTCAGTATTAGCCTTTCCTGAAACCTGAAGCTGATTGGCTGATTGGCTGACGTCTTCTGGGAAAGAGGCACTTAAACGTTTCTTCACGCGAGGCATTGGAACAGGAAAACTTGAGGAGTCTTCAGCTGCTTCTTGTCTAGATAAAAGAAACAAAAGAAATATTAAACAAAACTGCTGATTTCTACATCTAAATAAACCAATATTGCAAAAGCTATTCCAACTCATGTAAATACATCTCTTTCAAGCATAAAAATAAATTCAGAATTAGTTTCACAAAGCATGACATCAAAATTAAACAAACGAGCACCAATGTCTTTATCTTTATCATACATTCATTTATTTTATTTACATTTAGCAATTTTTTCATAAAGACAAACAGTTTAACTTAAAGGTCAAACCATTAATGACTAAATTAACCATACATTGGCATTGTTTTTGAAACCCCAACATTGAGGAAGCAACATTATTGGTCAAAAGACAGAGCACCTCTAGTGACCAGTTACAGCACTTATAGAAAATAAAAATGTGCAAGTGTAATGTCTACAAATGGGACAGTCGGTCCTACAAAACTTACCCCGACACATCTAAGACAACGCCTGAGTCATCTAAAGTGTCCATGCTCAAATCAACCTCATTATCTCCAGAATGTACAGCATCCTTTTCTTCCTCAACACTTTGATCTTTTTCAATTTGTTGCTCTTTCACAGGAGACTTCTCCCCATTTTCCTCACAATGTTCACCAAGTGGAGCACCAGTCTTGTGTATTTCACTGTTTACTGTCACATCAGGAACTATCTGTCCAGTGAGGTCTAAACCGGACTCCTTTTTGTTTAGCTCTAGTTCTTTTGCAATTGTGGTGGATGAATCCTCAAGGCTGTTAATCCCTGATTCTGCCCTCACCTGCATGGGCACTTCGACGGAACATTGTTTATTGTCTGAGAGAGGAAGGACTTCTACGTTAAGAGAATCTACAGGAGGAGGTGGACAAGTCAAGGGATCAGTGAGATCATCTGGAAATGAGCAACTTAGTCGTTTCTTTACACGTGGTACTGGGACTGGCAGAGTTGAATCTTGATGGTCTTCTGTTGGGAGAACAATGTTGTCTGAATCTGCTTGAGACACAAGGGTGGATGAAGGGGCTGGGAGATCATCTGGAAAAGAACCACTGAGACGTTTCTTTAAACGTGGTACTGGGACTGGCAGAGTTGAATCTTGATGGTCTTCTGTTGGGAGAACAATGTTGTCTGAATCTGCTTGAGACACAAGGGTGGATGAAGGGGCTGGGAGATCATCTGGGAAAGAACCACTGAGACGTTTCTTTGAACGTGGTACTGGGACTGGCAGAGTTGAATCTTGATGGTCTTCTGTTGGGAGAACAATGTTGTCTGAATCTGCTTGAGACACAAGGGTGGATAAAGAGGCTGGGAGATCATCTGGGAAAGAACCACTGAGTCGTTTCTTTATACGTGGCACTGGGACTGGCAGAGTTGAATCTTGATGGTCTTCTGTTGGGAGAACAATGTTGTCTGAATCTGCTTGAGACACAAGGGTGGATGAAGGGGCTGGGAGATCATCTGGGAAAGAACCACTGAGACGTTTCTTTGAACGTGGTACTGGGACTGGCAGAGTTGAATCTTGATGGTCTTCTGTTGGGAGAACAATGTTGTCTGAATCTGCTTGAGACACAAGGGTGGATGAAGGGGCTGGGAGATCATCTGGGAAAGAACCACTGAGTCGTTTCTTTATACGTGGTACTGGGACTGGCAGAGTTAAATCTTGATGGTCTTCTGTTTGGAGAACAATGTTGTCTGAATCTGCTTGAGACACAAGGGTGGATGAAGGGGCTGGGAGATCATCTGGAAAAGAACCACTGAGACGTTTCTTTGAACGTGGTACTGGGACTGGCAGAGTTGAATCTTGATGGTCTTCTGTTTGGAGAACAATGTTGTCTGAATCTGCTTGAGACACAATGGTGGTTGGAGGGGCTGGGAGATCATCTGGAAAAGAACCACTGAGACGTTTCTTTGAACGTGGTACTGGGACTGGCAGAGTTGAATCTTGATGGTCTTCTGTTGGGAGAACAATGTTGTCTGAATCTGCTTGAGACACAAGGGTGGATAAAGAGGCTGGGAGATCATCTGGAAAAGAACCACTGAGGCGTTTCTTTATACGTGGCACTGGGACTGGCAGTGTTGAATCTTTATGGTCTTCTGTTTGGCGAACAATGTTGTCTGAATCTGCTTGAGAGACAAGGGTGGATAAAGGGGCTGGGAGATCATCTGGAAAAGAACCACTGAGACGTTTCTTTATACATGGCATTTTCACTGGCAGACTTGAATCCTGTTGGTCTTCTGTTTGAAGAGCAATGTTATCTGAATCTGCTTCAGAAGGAGGTGTGGATGAAGGGTCTGGGAGATCATCTGTAAAAGAACCACTGAAACGTTTCTTCACACGTGCCATTGGAACTGGAAGATAAATGCATTTGTTTCGCATTTTCACTTCAGACATATCAGGAACATTCAAATCCAGCTGTACCTGATCTTTCATGTTCAGTTCATTACCAGCTTCGGCCTTTCTTGTCTCTTCAGACAGAGACATATCGCTGATGACAGAAGACAACATGCTCTTTATTTCAAACTCTTCATTGGCATCATTTATGCTGGTTTGAGCTTTACTCTTCCGCCTTTGAGGAGCACACACTTGTGTGACTTTTGGAGGCAATAGGGGAACGTTTTCTCCATCGTTGCTATGACAGGATGCTATAATTTCTTGGGGTGTGGGCTTCTCTTTGGGTGCTGGTGAACAAATCTCAATTTTGGATACCTTTAACTCATTTTCAGCTGCTTCTTTCACTGAAGTATCTACAGGAAAATAAGCACTTTCGCGTTTCTTGGTCCGTGACAATGGGACAGGTACATGCGTTTCTAAAGATGTACCTTCATCTGCCGTAGTTGATGAACTTTGGATGGTGGTGAGGGCTGTAACTGGCTGTACACTGTGTGAAGTACTCTGAGAATTCTGTCCAGTTTGTTTTATGACACAGATGTTGTCACTTTGAGCATTTGGTTCAGCTGGATTGGAAACTGGTGTTGATAACAGAATGTTCTCTTGAAGAATATCCTGCCTCTTGCTCCTTCTTGGTGGCAAAAGTTCTTCTGAAGTTGAAACATCAGTCTGTTCTGCAACAGTCTTTGGGTTATTAGGATTATTTAAAAACAGTAAAGACATAGGTGTTTCTTCATCCAGCAATTCGTCCTTAGTCCTTTGGATGAAAAGAGAGACTTCTTGCACAATATGCTGTTGTGGCCTTAAGGACAAAAATACAGTGTCACTACATTCATTTTTGTTTTGAGATAAGTAACGAATACTGCTTTCCAATGACACACTTATAAACCACAGCCAACAGATACATACTTTTTTATCAAGCAACATTACCACAGCTTAAAGTACAGCCATCAGAAATGGCATACCTTTGCAACATGCAACGAGTAAATTAAAGTCACAACAGATGCAGATTTTGTAATAACAGCACAGATATCACAATCTTAGCTAAACAAACAAATGTCTTTAAGGGTGCAGTGTATTTGTTGTTGTTGTTGTTGTTGTTTTAAAATACTTTCTCTTCCCAGTTATATGTGAAGATATAACAGTAAGTAAAAACTGTGGCTCTTTCAAAATAGTTCCTGTCTGCTAATGGTATTATTTGAATGCTGACAACTCATTGGGCCACAATCATTATTTCTCCAATTCCATTTTGCGCCACTAGGGGCATTAAAATGGCACAGTGCACCTTTAGGGCAAAAAGCAGAATTAAACACATGGACAATTTGTCTTTCTTTCTTTTTTAATTACAGCCATTTCACTGCAAAATGTGTGCCAATGTGAGGAGGAAACCGCTAAAATAAAATAAAACATAATATAGCCATGCTGCTGTTTGCAGGACTGACGTTGTTGGGTTTGAATGCAACACTCTTGATTAACTCACCCCTCCTCTTGAAATATTGTGGTGGACACCTCATCCCTCAATGTCTCAAACATTTTACTTTCTGTCACAATCTCATCATTACAGGTTTCCTCTTGAACATATGTTATACCCCCTTGAATCAAGGAGTCAGCACATGTGTTATCCTTCTCTTCTTTAGTTATCTCATGAAGGTCAGCCTCCGTCAGGGGGGGCCACTTCCGCATTAGGCAAAATTCTTCATCTTCAACAAACCAGCTTTCAGATTCTTTTGATGACAGTGATGTTTCTGAACAACCACTAACCAAACGCCACATGTAGGGTTCAGCAGAATCGAACACCTCAGGCTCTGCTGCCTCCAATGACTGATAACTTCCACTAGCTATGCGAGTCCCGCTGCCCTCGAGATCCACAGAGGATGAAAGGCTGTTGAGAGGATCTAAAGCGTCCGTTACCGATCCAGAGCTAGAGGGCTGCAATATTGCTGCAACGGTCTCATAACTAAAAGAAAGCAACACTTAAAATGTGAAAAGTAAAAAAAAAAAAAAAAAAAAAACAGTTTTCCTAACAATAAACGGCAAAATATGATATTACTGTAAATGAAAATAAATTGCTCTAACAAAAGAAAACATTTGTATATGGTTAGGAGTCATTTTATTGATTTCTCATTACATTTATATAAATCTTACAAAACTTAAAACAAAACAAAAAACATTGACCTACATAGATTTTAAGTGTTTTTCTCCAACAAATATTCATCCCAACATGCTCAATTTTTTCACTCAGTTATGTTATTCGATCTTACCCTCTGTGAAAGACATCAACTATACTCTGAACAAGACCAGAAGATTCTTCCTTTTCTGTGGAAGTATCCTCTGCCTCCAAAACCTCCCATCCTAACATTAGAGCAGTCTCTCCTGGCTCTGCGGTATCATGGGTTTTACTAGTGGACTGCTCCCCGACATGTTGCTCCTCTAAAAGAGACTTCTCCTGATGGTTTTCAATACTGATACAGAATAGTTCACGAGTTAAAAGTGAAGTCTGCAGGGTCTGTGATGCAATTCACATGCACCATGCGTATCTCTCGTACACACACCCAAAATCTTTAGGGTACACCATACAGTGAGATGATATAATAGTGTTAGTGCGAAACTCATAGCCAGTTAATTCAAATCATGTTGAGGCATATTTTATTGGATTATTTTGAATGACACAATGGGTGTTGTCTTTACATGAACAAGCTTGCATAAAGCTTCCATAAAGCCAAAACAATGTCAAGATCATTATAATATAATTTAATATAATATAATATAATATAATATAATATAATATAATATAATATAATATAATATAATATAATATAATATAATAAAGTAGTAAAACAACTGTAAGAAATGTGGTCTGCAGTTACGTAAAGCAAATCAAACAATGTCAAAATCTATTGCAAATGCAGCAACAGAACACAAATAAAAAACATGCCATGTAACTCACCCTTCAACCAAGGGCATCTTGTGAAAACGTCCTATTTCTTTAGGATTATCTTTAAAAAAAATACATTTAAAAAATCTTAACATTTCTGAGAATACATTTTGTTTAATGTTAAAGCCTAACTCTAATGTTGGGTATCTTACCAGTTCCTGTTATGTCCAGTGATTGATTCCTTTCTGATTCTATGTATTGAGTAAATTTGGCATCAAATTCAATGTGTTCTTGTGGTAGACTTGATGGAAAAAATGCATATGTAGAAGCATGTGGGAAATCAGGAAGCCTCGCTTCAACTGGAGAACATGACACTTCAGTGGCCAGGTTATTGAAACCTATTTCATCATTTGCAGGGAATGAAGCTTCTGAAGATGGCAAGACAAATGTCATCACATGCTCTTCTTGTTTTAGACTTTCTGAGCATGGAAAACCATAATTGTTGGCCTTATTAGGGCAGGTAGGAGTAAGCAAGAACATAGTTTTTGAATACTCTTCATAATCCTTTGTACAACTTAAAAAGAAAACTGGTCTTTCTTTAAGAGGTTTGACCCATATAGGCTTCTGAGCGGACCATATCCTTTCTTGAGACTCTTCTATGGGCATAAGTTTTACTGTAGGAACACCTTCGATACAAGAAAGAATTGGGCAAGAATGCAAAATGCTGACTATGTCTGGTTCTTTACTGAGATAGAAGCCCTCCACTTTAACCTGAGGAACAGAGGGAAAACCAGGTATGCATGCTTCTCTCGGGCAGGTGGGCACTAGTGTAAACATCCTCTGCAAAATATATTTGTCTGTTTCTTCATATGGAGTTGCTAAATTAAACTGGAAAAGCAGTTCTGATCTGGTTCTCAATGGACTCTTCAACAGGGGTGTTTCATCTGCAAACCATGGTCCTGTGTTTATTCTCTCATATGATGAGAATCCCATGATTCTTGAAGCCTTCGGAACACACTGATGAAGATCAACCATATTGGGAGGAAGTGTAGCTTTGCGCTTAGGTGCATATGGAAATCCTGGTATTCTTGCCTTTGATGGACAGGTTGGAGCCAATGCAAACATTATTTTAGTTAATTCACTGAGCCAATCTACTCTGTCAACAAGAACAACAGGTTGTTTTTTAAAAGATGCATTGCACAATGTTTTCTTGTCAATAGACCAATCTAAATGCTCTCTTTTAGCAGAAAATCCAATAACAATTGACTTCTCCGGGCAAGCTGGAAGCATGCAAAGCATTATTGGTTCGGGCACAGATGGAAACCCTGGAATACAGACCACTGATGGACATGTAGGTGCCAGAGCATACATTCTATGACCATTTTCTTTCCATTTCTTGTCCATGTCCAAAACAACAGGGAGTTTCTTTAATTGACTTGACCACAAAATGACTGTACTCATAGGCCAATCGGACGTCTTTGGGATCTGGATGCTCGGACAACCAGCTACATTTGAAACCTTTGGGCAAGAGGGACAAATGTTTTGCATGTTCAGCTCCATCTGTGACTTAGGTTGTGGTCTAGATGGAAAGCCAGGAATACATGACGCTTGTGGGCATGTTGGTGCCAGAGCTATAATCTGTGAGTCTTTTTCATCTGTACTGGGATCAAAAATACCAGTCTGTCTATCTTTGAGTACATTGCAAAAGATTATTGATTGATAACTAATGCACTCCTTGCTTTCAAGGACCCTTAGAGATGGACATCCAGGGATTCTAGAAAGCACCGGACAGGATGGGAGAAGCTCCAACATATTTGGCTCAATTTGGGTTTCAGGGGTAGAATCTGGAATTTGTGCAGCGTTTTCAGAAATGAAGTTTAATATCTCATTCGCAGGCTTGGAATCATCCCTTTGTTTAGAATCAGCAACTGTAGACTCTTGAATGTCTAATTTATCACATGATTGAGTAATTATTTCTTCACTGTTTGATGCAGATGGAAAATCAGGATTAAGTGTTGAAGATGGGACTGTGGCCACCATCATTACAGGGATCTCTAAATACTCAACTGGGCTATCAATGTCTAAAACTTGCTTTGGCTCAGGAAGTTCTTCCAATAATGATGTTTCAATGCTCAGCCACTCCTTGTGATGCTTTTCTTCTGGAACTGGGGTCTGTGAAGATGTGTCTACAACAATGGATGTTTCTGGGCAAGATGGACATGGGGCCTCTGTGAGTCTTTTAGCAGATGCAAAGCCAGGAATTCTTGCTTCATTTGGACATATGCATGTCAGGGACACCATTTTTGCCTCAAAGGGGGATTTGTCGAAATATGGCATAAACAAAATATTTTTTGTTGATCTACATGGCTCATCCCAAATTACACTTAAATCAGTTGGCCAGTTGATTAGGTCTGTTTTGCATATGCTTGACAGCGCTGTAGATGGACATCCAAAAACTCTTGAGAACAGTGGACATGATGGAAGAAGATCTACCATGTTTGGTACACACTCTTGTTGCAGTCCTGTAGGTCGATCTTTTGCTGTAGAAGGGACCAGACTATTGTGATCTTCTGTAGTCTCTTCTTCTTTCTGTAAAGCGTCAACAAACTGTTCTGTTCTGTCTTGTGCAGCCCATAATATACCTTCAACCACGTCCACGTTTTCAGTCAGAGTGTCTCCGTAGTTTTCAGAAGGTGGAATCTGAGCACTTATGCTTTGACAGCTGAGAAAAATAAGCATATAATCAGATCTCATATGACAATACAAGACAATTTGACTGCATGCGTCATTCCATTTGCTGGCAGCCAATTAACTGTTTCAATGAACGTGTCCTCCTGAACACTTCATGAACTAACTGATGGGCTCAACAACTACAGCAGGCCTAAATTGTCTTCACTACACATCGTTTGCTGTGCCTAGTTTTCACACCATTAGGCATTTATCAATTTAAAGGCATGGTTGACCCAAAAATGAAAGGGTCAACTTTGTAGGGTCTACTGACTAAATAAGAAATTCATACAGGTTTGGAACAGCATTTTTCCTTTTGGGGTGAACTATGCCTTTAAGAGCACAGTGGATAAATGTTATGCAGACGGGAAAATTCTGATGCAATTAGGGCAAGGCAAAGCAATAAATTAATACTCTATCTTATGTTTCCTTGCCAAACTCACCTCTCCTCAACAGTCAGTAATAGTGGCATGTCTGGTATGGAGTGCCACATTCTGAAATGCATTTTCCTAGAAACAAGTGTCAAAGTATTTCATGCACTATCCACTGATAAGCAATTCAAAATGAACTTCTCAACTTCTGAACTTACCCCCTCTCCAGAATTCCCTTTTGTCCTTCCTCACACCTTGCCCAAAAGTTCACATTCTCCTTGGTCTTCTCTAATGCAAAACTACTGCCAGACTGTTTTGCACTGGACAGGTCCATTTCAATTTCTGCTGGACCAAGTACAGCTAAAGTTTCTTGTTTATGGCAAACATCTTCTATTGACGCTTGGCTATTATTTGTCTGATAAAGAATATGTGGAGATTCAAAACATGTGGATGGAAAGCCAGGGACACTGGACCGCTTTGCACAGGATGTCAGCATCATAGCCATGTCTTCTACGTCTGAATTCAGGTGATTGTCATATGTTTGATTCAAGTTTGTTAAGGAAGAACATACCATATCAGACTCATTCTTTGAGGTCCTCCTGTACAGTTGCTTTGCATCCACAGGCCATGCACTTGAATCCATTGCTTCATTTCCTAAATCAACAGATGGCATACCTAATACTTTTGTAAAATGTGAACAAGATGGCATGAGGGAAACCATATCTGGTGCCTTCTTAGTTTTTAGTTTTGGGGCAGATGGGAAGCCGGGTAATTTAGCACTGGTTGCACAACTTGGGCGCAAAGCTACCATATCCCTAATGATAGCTTTATCATTCATTTCTCTGTACTGAGGTGGAACTGCTTGCATGGACTGACATTTTCTGCTTAATTGTTTAACCCATAATGGCCTTTCATTTTCAGGCCACTGGAATTCCACTTCAGATATTACACTTGATAGCATCCCAGGCACATTTGAAAATGTTGGGCAAGAAGGGAAAAGATAAAGCATTAATTTGGGCTTTGGTGCAGATGGAAAGCCAGGAACACTTGCTTTCACTGGACAACTTGGCAAAATAGCATACATTTCTTTAAAACTCTCTTTGTTCTGATTATAAATGTTTAACCTGTCAGATGTGAACATTGGCGAACACCTTCTCGCAAAAAAGGCTTTCTCCTTAAAAGGCCAATTATTTACCATAGCCTTATCAATTTTGCTTGGGTCTAAAGAGGGGAAGCCTGGAGTTTTAGCTGTCTGAGGGCATGTTGACAGAGTACCAGACGTTATTTGTGTTTTAGGCACGAGCCACGGTGCAGAAGGAAATCCAGGTTTTCTTGCTTTTCTAGGGCAAGATGGTATCAATGACAGCATATTGTTAAAAATAGATTTGTTTTCTGTAACTTCATACTGCGCTGGATATGGACAGATTAAATGACATGGCTGAGATGTTAGTGTCTTCATCCAAAATGGTTTAATGTCCTTTGGCCACTGCTTAAGTGAATCTGATGTGCTTGGAAGAATTTGTATAGTTGATATTCCAAGGACACAAGAGGCTGTTGGAGATGAAGGTAGGAGTTTTGTCATACAGAATGCAGTGTCTTGTTTTCGTTTTGGTGCAGATGGAAAACCAGGAGTCCTCGCTTTTCTTGGGCAAGATGGTACTAAGCTCACTATCCCGGTTAACTGGTCCTCTTTCAATATGTTTACAACTTGAGGCAAACTGGACTGGTTCTTTTGTGCTATTATCAGAGATGTTTCATTGTTGGTCGGCCATTGTTGGATGATATTTTGACTGCCAAGTTCTTTTGCAGACGGAAATCCAGCAATGCAGGAAACTTTAGGACAACATGGTGAAATCCTGACCATACTTAGTGGAACTGGTTTTGGAGCAGATGGAAATCCTGAAATCCTGGGTGCTTCCGCACAAGATGACCTCAACGCAACCATATTTCTTGCAGTTTCAGAATCCACCTTCATTGAAGATGCTGGCAAAATCTGTTTCTTACTTTTCTTAAAATAAAATACTAAATTCTCTTTAGGCCAGATTTCATCTGTGCAAGTGATTGGATATCTTGAAGGAAAACCTGGAACTACAGAGACATCTGGACATAATGGTAGAAGACTGACCATATTGTAAGGCAAAGATGGGAATCCAGGAATGCTGGCAGTTCTTGGGCAAGTTAAATGTAGTGATATCATATTTTCCACAGGGATCCCATCATACAATGAGCAATCCATATCTTGAATACATTTTGCTGGTTTCTCTTTTTGAATGTACTCTTTCAGTATCTTCACAGACCCTTCCCAAGGCCACTTAGTGTCTTGAAAGTTAATAGATGGCATCCCAGGTACAAAAGCAGTTTTCGGACAGGCTGGAAGAAGATACATCATGCTGGGAACAGATGGAGAACTGTCGATTAGGGGGAGAACACTTAATTCCTGGTTCATTCTAGGTAGTCCATCTACAAACAAGTCTCCTTTTTGATTTTCAACTGTTTTATCAACCAATATGGATGGTGACCAAGGAGAATGTGATACTTTTGGGCAAGAGGGCAGCAAAGCGGCCATGCTTTTGGCGCTGAGGGACAGGGACATTAGAACAGAGATCAGAGGGAGGATGTAAAATGGATTTATAAATAATAATAATAAGCGAATGGACCGCAACACATATTAATATAGCATAATAAGCATAAAATGTAACACAGTAACTATATACTACCAAATTTGACGGACGCATGCAGAACATACTTACCCTTCATCAATTTGATCTGACTGGGACATTTCTGGATTTGAGAGCAGTTGTGGCACAGGTTCTTCTTGCTCTTGTATTTCCGCTGATTGAAAGCTACTTTGAAACGGCTCTGTTTTGTCTTTACAAGGAATCATCTTGTCTTCTGTCTGCTCATGTGCAGCTGGGAGTAAAACGGCCTGCTCAGCAGAGCTCTGTGAAAACTCTGACTGATTGATCTGGACCTTAGTTAATGGGGCGGCAAATGTAGGGGCTGGAGCAGGTTCTGGGACAGTTTCGAGGGCTGCAGTAGTGGATACTCTAACGGTATCAGACAGCTCTGGTTTTGGCAGCTCAAAATGTGAGACATCAGTGACATTGGGTGACATATGTTCAGTGGGCAGCAGAGAGGTCATACTCTCTGGTCTAAGAAGAAAACACATCAGAACTGATGAGGAGTGATGAGATGATACCAAGGAAAAGTTTAAATTATACTGCATGGCATCACCTTAAACCAATGTCAATTACCTTTCTCTGAATCAATAGTGTTAATGAAACACCATGCTGAAATGCAAAGTCATTTTAAACCAATTTTAAACAACAATTGTTTCATGCCCCGCTTGGTATGAAGATAAAAATGCTCATTTATTATTTTTTCCTCCATTCATCATGGTGGAACTTGTGTTTTAACATGCAAATTAATACAAAAAGCAAATTAAGGGACTTTGACCCTGAATTTACACCAAAAGAAACCCAATAGCCTCAAAATGTCAATAACCATTTCTATGAAATTAAAAACTGGTTTGTTGCTTTAGTCACCTTGTGGGAAGTGTTTTTTTTTTTTTACTAAATTTATATAATTTTGGTTTTAATGCAGGGTTAAAGTCCTCACAAATGTAAGTGGCCATAAAAATGTATGCAATACAGGAAACCCCATTCAGGATAATTCTAAAAAATATATAAAAATAAATAAAAGTAAATAAATAAAATAAAGAATGGAATGGAATGAAATGAAATAAAACAAAATAAAATAAAATAATAGAAAAAATAAAGAATACAATAAAATAAATAAAAGTAAATGAATCAAATAAAATATAAAATGGAATTAAATGAAAAAAAATAAAAATAATAATAATAGAAAAAATAAAGAATAAAATAAAATAAATAAATAAATAAAATAAAATATAAAATGGAATGAAATTAAATGAAATAAAAAAGGAATAGAAAAAATAAAGAATAAAATAAAATAAAATAAAATAAATAAATAAAATAAAATATAAAATGGAATGAAAAAAATAAAAATAAATAATAATAGAAAAAATAAAGAATAAAATAAAATACAATAAAATACAATATTAATAAGAAAATAATAATACAAATAAAATAAAAAATATAAAGTAAAGTAAAGAATGAAATTAAATGAAATACAATAAAATACAATAAAATAAGAAAATATAAAATATAAAATATAAAATAAAATAAAGAATGAAATTAAATAATAATATAAATAATAATATTTATATAAAATAATAATATAAAATAAAAAATAGATTAGGTTGTTATTTTTGCATCCAAAAAAAAAAAAAAAAGTGTTCACAATAAAGTCATCCATAGTAGTAAATGCAACACTAAAGTATTCCAGATATTAATACCAAATTGTCAGTGCATTACTGATGTCAACAAACAACTTCACTCCATCAATGCACTTGCTATTGACATCAACCAATTTTCTGCATATTACTCACCCTCTTGCAGGCCGGACAACCTCAAGTCCAAAAACAGGCCGTTGCTTGTCCATAGAGTTGTTTGGTCTTTGGCTGGCTATACTGATGACTCCGGCTCTGCGAGGGTGAGGTTCGTGGTTCTGAGGAACATCTGAAGGTTTGGCGCTTGCATCCTCATCAGCTGCAGAGATATTCACAGAGATCACAAAAGAATTACTAATATGTCAAGGGAGATTTATTTATTTATAAATGTATAAACAATGAGCAATAGCAATAAGAGCAGCTGTAGTGAATACTCACCAGTACACACAGTATTGGGATATTCCTCTTCTGGTAGTACACTTAACTGTCTGTGTGTCTCTGAAATATAATATAATATATATAATATAACATACAGTATAATTTTTTATATATTTTACAAAATATTAAGCACAAAAGAGGAGGCATCATTCAACAAGCATTCTACTGATGCATTATCTGTTCCATCTGCTAAAGTTAACAGCACACAATATGGAATGGAGAGAAAGCTCAAGTCTTGTACATTTTTGTTAAGGTACCCATATGCTTGCAAGATCAGTATAATAAATCCAAATCATGCAAATTACATGTACGGTACCTAATTTATCATGTGAACTATGCATCTGCTATGATGTTCAAATATTTGGGGCCAGTAAGATTTTTTTTAAAGACAATACTTTTATTCAGCAAGAATGCTGAATAAAGAAATGTATAATTTTACGAAACATTTCTATTTCAAATCAATTCTGTTAGTAGTTTTCTTTTCAGCATATTGCAATGATTTCCGAAGGATCATGTGATGCTAAAGACTGGAGTAATGATACTGACAATTCAGCCTTGTCATAACAGCAATAAATTACTTTTTGCAATTTTAAAATAGAAAACAGGTTTTTAAAAATCATGTAATCTTTCACAATATTACTGTTTACACTGTATTTTTCGATCAGATAAATGCAGCCCTGGTGAACATAAATACAAACCAACCCCAAACTTTTGAACACTAGGGTGTTACTGGGTAGTTTTTTTTTTCATGTGTCCTCCAGGGGGCATAGCATCATGTAATTTAAGACTTATTGCATATGAGTTATCCGATTGTTATTAATAACCCTGTTTCATTTCTCTTTTTGTACTATTGAAACTCCTGTATGTTTATGGGAAACGCAACACTAGAATACCAGTAATACTCAAAAACTAGAATAAAACTTAAAATAATTGTTTAACTGAATGTTGCTAGTATCAAAAACATTGTATCAGTTAGTCAGAAATACTGTTTTTAGCAGTTTTATAGTTATGATGGATGTATGCAATCCACTGGGAAGAATGGAATGTGTGGCCCTTCTGACCCTGTGCTGTTATGCAAGAAATGTTGGAGTGTAATCTAAAACAGATCTCACTAGCTCAAGCCATGTTTAAATCTGTTGATCAATGTAAAACACACAATAACTATAATGAACACACACAGAATGAGAATGAAACACAGATAAAGGTGAGTACCTGTGAGTGAGTCAGAGGAAGGGACTGAAATGGAGGCAATAACAGGGGCTAGAGTGGATGTTTGTGTGTGAATGTGGGGGTCAGGGATCATGGAAGAGGGTGAAGGAAGAATGAAAGGAGAGGTTGGAGCATCTACAGGAGAAGGGGCTATTGGCCTGCGCACATTAGGTCTAACCACTGTGGGCACAACCTTATGTCTCCATTCGGACGTCTGGACCTCTGGGAGAGGCTCTGGGGTTGGCAATGACCAGATGAGAAAGGAAGATGATAGAAAAAGGAGAGAAGGATTACAAAGGAAGAATGGTTGAGAAGGATGAGATGAGTGCAGAGAGGTAAAAAATTAAAAGGTTTGGGTTCACCCAAAAAAACATACAAATTATATGCAAAATATATGAGAGTATGCATCTGTACTCTACTGCTATTTCTACAGTTCCTAGATGTGCAACACTGAATATCCACTGAATCTGTGGAAGCAAATTTGTCAAGCAAAATAAAATGAACTGAAAATGTTTTATATAATATATATATAAATAAAGTAAATTAAGTTTATTTAAATAAAAAGTGTATTATTTTATTATTATATATAATAGTATTATTATATAGGCTATATATAAAAATAAAATATATTATATTAGTATATAATAAAGTAAAATTATTAATTGTAAACAAAATAAAATTATTTATTTATTTTAATAACTAGCGAAATACCTTTCATTTGAGATCTTGTTGAATGGCAGCCACCAAAAATGCAATTCTTGAAAATGTAATGCATTAAAATAAGGGTTATTATAGTTAACTAAAACTAAAATCATTAAATAAAAAATAAACAACTTATTTTATTTCAGCTATTTGCCAAAGCAACATTTCTCATTTTCTCTAAGAATAAAAAAAAAAAAAAAATCAAGCACAAAAATTACCAAAAAACTAAATGACTAATACTTGTTTCAATTCAAAAGAAAACAGAAAATACATTTAAAAAATATAATAGTAACTCAATGATAATAAATTAACACGGATTAAAATGCAAGCACTGTTGATGCAATGCATTGTTTTTTGTTGTTGTTTTTTAAATTTGTGCGATTCAACATATTTTGTTATCATATTTTGTCATAATTTTACTGCCATAGGCTCATTTAATTCCCTTCTTTTCAAAAGCCAACAGGTTCGGAATATTATAAGGGTGAGTAAATGACAATTTTCATTTTTGAATAAACTATTCAGACAGCGAGGATTAAAGCTTTCACAATATTCATGCTCCATTGAAAGAGCAAACGAAACCCTTTCACAATGCAGATGAATGTTTTCATCTTAAACTCAAAAGATGAAAACTGATCAATTCAACAGTTTAACACGTGCAAACGAGTTTAGAACAGTCGTCCTAGAGTCTTTGTTTGTTCTCTACCTGAGTCAGAGACAACAGATGCTGTGACCACAGGACCAACATCAGGAGAGGAGCATAGAGGAGCACCAGAATCAGTTGGATGAGGAGAAACACAGGGATAAAGGGTGGACCGAGAGCTAGATGAGGCAGCAGGAGCAATAGAGAGAGAAACCAATGATGCTGAAGGAGGAGCGAGGATGGCGGCAGACATGGTTTGAGAGCCAGAAGTAGAGACAGACTCGGCACTGAGCATCTCAGAGGAAGGAGCTACACTGGGAGACGTTACACCAGGATTGGGAGTAATAGCAGAAACCTCCATTGGCTGAGGAAGCACATGGGATGAAGACAATGCAGGAAGTGAGGAGTTAATCGAGTTTGGATGACGCTGCGGGTTAATGTGTTCTGCAGAGGTGAAGGGAGCAGGACATAGAGCAGGGTGCAGCTTGGGAGACCTCCACTCTTTTTGCCAAGATGCTGGTGTTGACCATGGTAAATAACAGAGGTTGATGAATGGCAGAGTGCATGTATAAACAGACAGGGATACAAGAGGGAGAAGAAAGAAAAAAGACATTTATAATGTTACCAAAGATTTCCATTTCAAATGCTGTTCTGTGGAACTTTCTATTAATGAAACAATGCTGAAAAAAATGCATCACAGTTTCCACAAAAATATTATGCATTCATAATATTTTCAACATTGATAATAATAATAGGAAATGTAACTTGAGAAAAAATAGCATCAGCATTTCTGAAGGATCGTGTGACACTGAAGACTGGAGAAATGAAGCTGAAAATTCAGCTTTGTTATCACAGGAATTAAGGGAATTTTAAAATTAAAATAGAATAAAAATAGATTTTTTTCTATTTCACAATATTACCGTTTTTACGGCATTTTTTTAAATCAAATAAATCAGGCATGGTGAACAAGAGAGACTCTTTCAAAAACATAAATCTTACCAAAAATTTGAACGGTAGTGTATCTGGTAAAATTTGATTCAAGTTTTAGGAGTATACAAGCCTTAAAGCTAACAGACATGGACTAAAAGCCATGAATCTCTTATTTTGAATTCATGAGGTCCTAACAGCGAATATGCATCTTTTTAGAAATAATTTTTTTAGAATGCCAGGTACTAAATATGAAAAATGTGGGTTCAAAACGAACTTTAAAATCAAATTCCATCTCATTTAAAAACGGTGTTAAATACGAACATCTGCCCATGTACCTGTCTCAGTGGCAGAGGGCATGCTCGAGGGCTTTGTGAGGGCGGAGCCTGGCTCAGCCAATGAGGCGCGGTAGATTTTTGAGGCCCGTGGTGCAGGTTGAGTCATTGAACCATGAGGGGAGGAGCCAAATTCAAAGGAGGAGGGGTCAAAAACAGAAGGGGAGGAGCGAGAAGAGGGGAAGCTTTGAGGTCTCGAGGTCTTGCTACGAGCGGCAGATAAAGTGGCTAAATCAGAGGAGGAAAAAAATGAGACAGAAAGGAGAAGAATGAAGAAAACAAGATTGAATGGAAGTGCAAATAAGCAAAAATACGTTACACAGTTAAAGGCACAGTATGTAAGTTTCGCCAATAGAGGTCGATTATTCAAAACAATAACAAAGGCGTAGCTTGATGACACCATGAATGAGTGAGGAATCTACAGCCGATGGAAAGCTATCCGACGAGACTCAGGCAGAAATCATGTTCACGGATGAGCTAATGTATTAAATGTTTTATTAACGTAACTGTGGTATGTCATATCCACTGTGATATGACGTCACTGACGGGCGATGCATTGACACAGGTTAAAATAGCTGATTTCTCTGGATTTAAACATTGTTGAAAACACTTCTGATAATGTAAGTACACAAGTCAACAAAATATATAACACTTTTCAAGTGGTTTTTGGATATTTTAATCCAAAAATCTTACATATTGTGCCTTTAATTCTAGCTACAAAACAATTATTTACAAGCTACAGCCACCATCTTTTCGGGCAACACTCATTACCTGTCTGGGTTACATCTGGAAGAGGGGTCGGCTGAGGGGATGAGGAGGATTGAGCAGAAGAAGAGGAGGAATGAGAGAAGGGTATGCTAATCCCAGGAAGAAAAGAGAGGGGCTGCGGGAGAGGGACTGAACCGCCCTCAGAAGAGCGACTGCTCTCCAGTAACTCAGAGATAGCAAGACCTCCAGACGGCCTTTGAGGGACAGTTACAGCAACTTATAGGAAGAAGGAAAAACGACAGTATGATGAGAGGTAGAGGGGGGAAAAAGGACAAAGAATGTAAAGCTACAGCTTTTGTAAATCTGTTGATGTGTGCGTTTTAATGAAGGCAAAAAACACACATTGTATAAAAGTAAATAAGGTTCATTAGATCAAGTTGTGACAGAGCATGAATGCTCAAAGTCAGGAGCGTAATATACAGCTAGCTTGATGAACAGATTCACAGGGTGCTTCATCAGTTGCTATGGGGATCTGGCTGTTGCTTCAATGAACAGCAGCTGTAAAATGTACTTGTTTTTTTTATGGGGCAGTTTTCCAAAAGTCAATTAAGACTCCTTTTAATGAACCTAGAAGTCAAGTATGTAAAAAAAAAAACTAATTGTATAAATGTTCAAAACATGAAACCTCTCCAGAATAAGGAACTATTTCAGAAACAAATATTTCTAATACATTTCTTGTTTAAGTCTCTTACGTTATTTATTAGGTCTTTAGAATTGTATGCAGTTATTCATGCAGGAATTTCATGTAGATATTCAGCATAAATTCAGTTAAAAAAAGAAATAGTCAAAATGTAAGATATAAAGTCAAACTGTGAGATATAAAGTTCTGATTGCAAGATATAGAGACTTTATGAGACACACTTGGTTCCAAAGTTTGGGGTTAATAAGATTTTTTTTTAAAGAAACAAATTAATACAACTTATTAATTACTACAATTAAAGACATTTATTATTGTAACAAAATATTTCTATTTTAAGGAAATGCTGTTTATTTTGAACTTTAAATCCTGAAAAAAAGCAACATATTCAAAATTGATTAAAAAAATTGTTTCGTGAGCACAAAAGCAGCATTCAAGAATGATTTCTGAAGGATCATGTGACACTGAAGACTGGACTGAAAAATTCAGCACTGCCATCACTGGAATAAATTACATTTTAAAATATAATATAACAAACATTGATCAAACAAATGCAGCCTTTGTGAGCATAAGAGACTTTTAAAAAAAACAATTAAAAAATCTTACCGACCCCAAACTTTTAAAATGTGGTGTATAAAGTTATTTTATTTACTCCAAAAGGCGAAAATGTGCTTCGATGGTAACATTCAGTTCTTTAGGTCTAAAATATTTTGTAATTAATTGCTTAATGCACCTTTAAACCAAACTATCTAAAAATATGAATGATGGAAACATGTACTGTAAGTAATAACACAGTAGAGTGAGTGTGTGGGTGATCTCTGAGGTATGGAGATGCATTGCCCCGGGTGGATGAGTGTTTGTACCTGAGCCAGTCGGCGGATGGAAGATTTTGGGCAGGGCAGGTGGATGAGCGCGTGTGAATGCGGGTACAGTGAAGGCGTACGGGGAGGCTCGTGTCTGCGGGACACGGAGGGGTTGGACACGGGAAGTGGAGAGGATCGGGACAGAAGGGTCAAGAGCGGTGCATGACAGGGGGTACTGGAGAGGAACGTTAGGTGTAATGAAGGAACAGCTCATCCGATCCGGTTCAGAATGAGCTGAGAGAAATGATGATGATGAGCATGGAGAGGAACAGACAAAAACAGAGGAAGTGAGAGTGGATGTGTAGTTATTTAAGTAGAGTTAAGAGCTAGCTGACCAAAGAAAAAAATGTATTCCATGAAGACAAAGAGGAACTTAAAGGGGACCTATTATGCAAAATTCACTTTTGCATGGTGTTTGGACATAAATGTGTGTTGGCAGTGTGTGTACTGTACACAACCACCCTACAGTGATAAAAACCCACCCACTCCTTTTTTTAAAATCCCCATAAATCATAAGCAGCGTCTCCCAACGACCTGTTTTCAGAATGCGGCTTTAGTGACGTCACTACAGCCACAGGCCCCGCCCACGATTGTTGACAGACACTGCCGTTTTAACATAGAACCGCCCTGGGGTGCGTTTCCCGAAAGCATCGTTAGCCAACTGTGGTCGCAAGTTCCGTCGTTACCAATAGAGTTCAATGGGAATTGCGACCAACTTGCGACCATAGTTGGCTAAAGACGCTTTCGGGAAACGCACCCCTGATCAAGTTCACATAGATATACATAATAATGGCTAGATGTCTCGTCCGCGCTGCTGGCCAATGGAGGTCGACGTCCGCACCTGGCGGCCATCTTGTCACAGGCAGCTCCCTCACTCGTAACATTGTGTTTTAATGGTGCATGTACTTTTTAAATAAACATAACTTTCTCAATTTTCTACAGTTAACCGTCTAACCGTAGTTATGACACTGCACACTTATGAATAATAAGTGTATCAATAAATAATCATCCAGAATTATAGCCACGTTAATAACGTTTGTAAGAAACCAAACCGTTTGTAAATCCGTCAAGATTTCAACGAGATAAGAGTATTTGTGTTCGTGCTGATCACTCATCTTACATCAGGAACCACAGAGCCCGCCAGAAAGCTTGCCTGTGACAAGATGGCCGCCGGTGATGACGATAGAGACTCCGCCGTAAGACATCTAGCCTTTATTATGGATATTGTACACATCCGCCATTGCTGCACTGACGAGAATGTCTCCCAAGCGTTGTAACATCCCAAGGATGTAGCAGTGCCAACTGTTCGTGATCCAGCTACACATCTAAAAGTAAGTATTACGCGTTTGTTTTCCAAATTGCCTTTGAATTTGTCAAGCTCATAATAACATATTAGACTTATAATAAAGTTTGTGATAGCACCATGAGTCCAGCTATGTTGTTATTTTTTTATCGCGCTGATAGTGGAATCTTTATTTGTAAAGGACAGCACATCAGAACAGAGCAGCCAAACAAGAGAGATATTGCTTGCCAGACAGACGCAAAAAAGTCTGAAAAGTGGGGCGGGAGCAGCAGCTCATTAGCATTTAAAGGGAAACACACTAAACCGGTGCGTTTTTGCACAAGCCCAAATTTGGCAATTTTAAAATGCTATAAAAAATGATCTGTGGTGTATTTTGAGCTAAGACTTCACATACACACTCTGGGGACATCAAATAATTGTTTTCAATCTTGTGAAAGGGGGCATAATAGGTCCCCTTTAAATGAGCAAGGAATAATTCAGAAGAGAAGAAAATGAGTGAAACCAGGAAGAGATGCAGATCTCAGATAAACTGTCACATTCACAAAGTTATGAGCACTGGTATGCTGAGCTCATGGGAATGTGTTTCTCTGACAGATACAAAACAAGCCTAAGAATCCAGTCTACCCAAACGCTGAATAGCAACACGAGTTAGAAAATGCATTTCTCAGTATCTGATAAAACGTAAAGGTGACGTGAAACAAGAATATATTCAATTTGAAATAGTTGATGTGATATTCATGATCTTTGGTTATACGTTTTTAGAACTAGTAACAATATTGTGTTTAATTTAAACTAATATACACTTAAAAATAACCCAAACTTTGGCTTTACATTATTTACAACGGTGAAATGGTTCTAGTACATGCACAACATTTACAAAAATACCCATGGTTTATATATAAAATATTATTAATATAAAATATAAACAATAAGTAAAACATGAATGTATGGATGGATGGATTCAAAATAATGCAAATGAATGGATATCAGCCAACAGTTATCACTATCAAGCCTACATTTTTTTAATCATTTACTAATCTGAAACCGTCATGATACAAATCGAGCGGTATAAAATTTGTACTTTAACGCCCCATAATATTTCAATTGAATGTTCTCATACCAAAAATAAATTGTTAATTCTAGTTTAAAGGAAATGAAATATGCCAGTGACGAGTGGAAAAAGCCAGTAGCACCTCAATGCAGTACATAAGATCCACAGGGAGGAGTCGGATCAAGATCCGAGGGGTGGAGATGGGTAGGATTAGGGGTGGGTTTAGGGATTAGGGGGCGGAGATGGGTAGGTTTAGGTATATGTAAGGTGGGAGGAGTTGGATCTGGATCCGACTCCTCCCCGTGGATTTCATGTTCTGCAGTGAGGACCATCTCGAAAAAGCAGCCAGAGCAGTTAGTAAGCTACCTGTGTCAGAGGGACCCGTGTCTACAGCAGGTCTCCAGGCCGTGTCATGTATTCTCCTAGCAGGAGGAAGAGGAGCTGAGCACACACCAAAAGAACAGAGCGACAGAAGGAAAAAGAAAGAGACCATTTGAGAAAAGAATGACAAAAAGTCTACTATGTGAATGAGACTAAATATTTTGAGATTCTATGTTTGTCATGGCCAAAGCTACTTTTGAATCTGAAATACAGCATTAAACTAGAGCAAACATTAAATCAACTCAACACGACCAAAAACAGCAGATCTAAAAACAGCAGACAACCACCAGGCTATCTAACCCCGAGCCAATTCACCTAAAAAAAAGGAAACAATGCATAAAAACTTGCAAATAACATTTTTAGAACAGGAAAGGCCTGTTTCTAAACTTGTTTCCACACTTCTGGTTTTAGCTTAAAGTTGCATTAGTATGTGGGGGTTTATGTCAGTATTACCTATCACTGCAGTGGCCATTTTCACTGCTGCACTCAGTCTTTTGTCCTCCTCTTCATCACTGTCATTGAAGTCCTCCAGGTTTCCAATGTCAGACTGCTTCAAACTCATCAGACTCGCCAAACTTTGCATGTCTTCATCACTGAATACAGAATACAGCACTAACACTTAAAGCAGTGGTTCTCAACCTTTCTGACTCCAAAGCCCCCCATTGTCCACAACAATATTTAAATATTCTTGAAATCACACCTTTATACTTGGGCTTTCTCATATATCCAGCTTTTTTTTTTTTTTTTAAGACTGAGGTGGGAACCCTAGTTGTTAAGAGTGTGAATAAAATAAGAAATATCTTGATTTTTAGTAATTTTATCTTATTTTAATGTGTGTTTTGTTTTGTTTTAAAGTCTTCTTGAGGCCCTCTGGTTGATATCCACTGACTTAAAGTCACCATGAAATCATAATTGACCATTTTTAAAAATCTAATATTGCAGTATTCTTTATAAATGATTTATCTGTGCAGATAATATATTTTTTACTCATGTGCCCTCGTAAACTTTAATTAAAGTGGTCATGAGAAATCAAATATGCCTTGATATTTTGATATATAAGAGATCTTTGTATTAATTAAAGCAAATTTGTCGACAACAGGATAAATAGAAGAGTGAAAGAACGTTAGCTTTGACGCGTCCCGTAAAACAGCTTGTTAGCGTCTCTCTACAGACTTCAGAAGGATCCAGCATAGGAAACAAGGGGATGGTTTATTTTAATTGCGTCCCAGATCGCATCTGTGGATTATATGAGCATTTTTTTTTTGTCAACGAGGCACAGTGTAACGCAGAGTTCGCAAATCAACTTTTGTTGAAAGATGAAGCCGTCAGCAGTATAGGATCTGACAGCAGCTCCATCACAAACTGTAAGTAGATGGTTTCATAATGCTTTGTCTGTAAATGATGATTTTATAGGGATAATGTTTTACTTTACAAACTCATGTGCAATAGCGAGTAGGCATTGATATTGTTTACTATGCAGTGACGTTAGCCTAGGGCTGCACGATTAATCGAAATTAAACCGCATGCAATTTGGCAAAGGCAGCTATTTTTTTAATGCGCAGCTTGTCAGTGAAGCACGGCTCTGTGAACAGTAGTAAATGCTGCTCCATCTGAAAGCCAGAGGGCGCTCTCACGCAGAAACTACAAATATGCCCCTCAGAAGCACGATAACGCACGTCGTTCCAGGAAATCCCAATGGGCATACTATCCCTCAATTCACTTTGATTGATTAAACATGACTAATAAACACACGACTTCGACATTATATGGTTTATCTGAGCTTTTCAAGCCTTCTCGGGTATTTTCATGATAATTAAGTATATTTATACTTCAATGCTTATCGACAGTGGCGGTCTTAACATAGAGGCATAGGTAGGCGGCTGCTTGGGGCCCCCTACCAGCGGTCGTAGTAGGGGGGCCCCCATCCAACCTCAAAAAAAAAAAAAAATAGAAAAGAAAAGAAAAAGCCCCTTATCATCATGAACGCTTCAAAAGCATAGTAAATGTTATTAATATTCTTAAGAAATACGTTGAAATGTTAAAGTAGTAGTTAAAATGTCAGTTCCAGTTCATGGTTATCTGTCCCTACACATAACACCCCCTACTTTCACAATAAAATGGACTAGTCCGTAACGGTGCGTGGGGCGAAACCGCGAAAGATAAACATGACAGGAGGACTGGGAAGTACACAACGAAGCAAGACGAGTCTAAATGCGAAAATGAAACGAAGTTACCCAAGCGGCTCAAATAAAAGAAAAAAAGACGCCGATGTGTATTTGGCAACGCTGCCAAAAATGACAAACTTTTTTACGCCTACTGTTGGGGATACATGCCGCTACAGCAGCAGCTGTGAAGTGACGCGAGTTGAGGATAACGTGTATACATCCTGTTAGACAGAAAGGGCGAAAGTAAATATGACATTTATTATGGGTTTATCTGATGATTGTTTTAAGTTCACGTAAATTAAAAGTTGTTATATATTTTTTGAAACCTAATAAATGTAAAAAAAAAAAAATTGCTTTCAATTACACTGTAATGTTGGATGGCTATAATTAATGTTTAAAATTAGGGGAAACAATATTTTTTATCCAGACATCAAAAGCTGTATTAGTATCAGTGATATCGACCTTCATTCATAAAAAGATGCCATTAAACAAGTATTTAAAATATACTATCTTTATGTTGTCTCTACATTCATTTGTAGATTAACTGTGAAATTATTACATTATAAAATATATAAACTAATACAAACCTATAAAAATGTTTGTTTGTAGAATGTTTGAAATGTCAATCTCATGTGCAATGCCAATTCCAACCTCACTCACTCATACATTGCAAAGTCAATTATTCATCTTGGCAATATTTGCTAAGTATATGGCTGTTTGTGGGGGTTTACCCTAACTACTTGTCTTGCTGGTTATATTTGATATTGATTTGATCTTAAAAAAAGAATAAACAGTGCTGGGTTTCCTGGCATTTTGGCAAAGTTATCTGAAACCTTATTCGCTGTTGGGGAAGGTTTTTTTTTCTCCTCTCCAACCTTTACTTCCCCGTAGATTAGCTTTTCCTACCATTCAGTCGGTACATTTTTTTTTCATTCTCATAAAGATGGGATGGGGGGGGGGGGGGGGGGGGGGGTTCCCATACATACCTTCGCTTTGGGCCCCCAATTTGCTAAATCCGCCACTGCTTATCGACATAGCCTTTATCACTGTATAGAGTACTGTGAAATAACATGTTGTGTGCCTTATTCTGTGTAAGAAGCCACATCATCTCACATAAGGATGTTTTCAAACACTTTGAAGCAAATTATGAATGTTATGAAGCGAGTTTGGAGTAAAAATGTGTGAAAATTATATGAAAATCATGTTTTCCTGCATAGATTTTTTTTTTGTGCAAAAAAACTTCATTAACATTATAAATGAACCTTGAGGGACATATTAGAAATAATTTTTAAAAATCCAAGTCATGACCCCTTTAAAATAACTTCCCCTCCCTCTTGCAGCAACATCTCTTCTCTTCTCTGATGACCTGTTTACTGGTGTGAGGGCGGGGCAACCTGTCGACCAATAGCAAACCACAACCATCTTATCAATTCCCGATGGACAAAATCATTTCCCATCCTACATTTTTTCTTGTTCGAGAAGCCGGCTTCCTAAAACAGACTATAGATCAGTAAAGTAAATAAAATTCTATTGGACACTGTATGTGTCTTGTGCTTGGACTGATGTTTCTGCATCATTACACAGATCTAGGATCAGAAACACTCCTTCCTAGTGAAACAATGAAAACATCAGAACTCACGTAGCTTTGCCCTCCTTCAGGAAGATACAGGACAGGGTGAGTTTAAGCTTGGCATCCAGCACTTTCACAGACAGAGGCTTTAACGTAAGCACCAGGTCAAACTGAGCCGGGGTAGCACTCGCATACTTCTTCATGTTCACATCTACTGATGCTAAAACTTTCCTGTGGCCCTTTGTTTCCTGTGGATGTTGAGATGAGATGGGGTTAGATTGCTTAAAAAGAGAACAGCGTACTGGCAAATCGAGGCCAAAATGTTGCAAAAACGCAGTACAGATAAATGTGACAACCTAAGCTTGTTAAACAGCACAAAAAGAGTCAAAACAGAAATGCTAAAATTGCTAACAGTACCTTTAATAAACAGGGTGAGATTATAAATCAGACATACTCACATTCTCTATGATAAATGTCCAGTCTTTGTCCTCAAATTCATCTGCATTTGGATCCTATAGGGAAAGTGAAAATTGCCGATGTTGGTTTCATTATTTTACCTCATGTTTTCAAATTTCAATAATGGACAACAGACATAAATCTGAATAATATTTATATAACGATGACAAAATTCAGGTTTACAACTTAACATAAGTTTATTATTAGTATATTTAAGAATAGTCAGTCACAAATGACCTTCATTTTACAGAGCCCTGGCCTAAAGGGACAAGGTGATGGAAACAAATATGACATGGGAGTGAAAAAAAAAAATTCAATGCATTTGCGATTTCTCAGGGGAATGCAAACATTTAGCGAGCGATTTTAAAGTTTCTCGGGGGAACGCAAAACATTTGCGAGAGAATGCAAAAGCATTGACATATACGTTTTCCTTCCATCTTATATTTCTTTCCATCACCATGTCCCTTTAGGGGCTCCGTACCATTTCCTGTCATATACATTACCATTCAAAAGTTCAGGGTTGGTAAGATTTTTGAATGTCTCTTATGCTTACCAAGAATACACTTAGATCAAAAATACAGTAAAAACAGTAATATTGTAAAAAAAAATATATAAAATTTTTATTTAAAATAACCGCTTACTGGTTTAATATATTTTAAAATGTCATTTATTTCTGTGACGACATCATTACGCCAGTCTTCAGTGTCACATGATCCTTCAAAAATCATTATAATATGCTGATTTGACGTTCAAGAAACACACTATTATTTTCAATGTTGAAAACAGTCGTGCAGCTTAAAGTTTTTGTATAAACTGTGAGACTTATTTCAGGATTCTCTGATTCAAAAGAGCAGCATTTGTTTGAAATAGGCTTTTTTGTAACAATGTAAAAGTCTTTACTGTCAGTTTTGAATTTAATATGTCCCTGCTGAATAAAATAAAAAATATTACTGGCCCCAAACTTTTGATTGGTGGTGTAAATGGATTTTTTTTAAAATGGTAATGCTTGCTGTACCTTAAAGAGAGTGACTGTGATGTCCACGCTCTCAGGGACCTGCCAAACCACAGTCCCCCTGTATGGGTTCTTGATCCCCGGTTGCCAGCCATGAAGCTGATGATCACAATGAGAATACTGCTATTAACACAGCTGGTGATACCCAAACATATGTTAACACAATGAAAAAATAAAGTCTTAACATGCAAAATGATTATGCATGTTCTTTCATGAACAAAATCACGATGTATGAAAGGATTAGAATTCAATGCAATCATTCCACTGTATTTGTGAAACGAGCAGAACTATTTGTGTTGAAAGTATAATGACATCCCATTGCCACCAATTGTTTTGTGTGTGCTATAGGAGGGAGTATTTCCTTCTACTGTGCAAACATCAATATTTTCAATGCGGTTACTAATGACACAAATATTGAGAGTTATATTCCTCTTTAAATTTCATAAAGATTCAATTTAAAGAACACATCATGACTTTAATAGCACAATTCTATTTAAACATAACCTAAAACATGATTGAATAACTATTATGTGCTGTTCTGCATTTATAATCGTGCTCTATCTTTACCATTCAAATAGCTACTAAAACATTAGCTATTTAAATTAGTTTGTTAGCACTACCTTTGATTAATATATATCACTTGTTTCAGTCTTATTTGTATCACTTTGGATAAATGTGTCTTGTAGATGAATAATCGTCAAATAACCACAGTCATATCTTTACATAGTACTTGAAAGTTATAAATGTGGAAACAGTTACAGTAACACCTCTTACCTTGGTGCAGATGCGTCTGTTTCGCCTGGTCCAAACCACTCGCAGTTTATCTGGCTGCCTGTGAATAACGAATAACAAACAATATAACACAAGCACAGTGCAGAAACACAAATTAAAGTCTCATTTAGCTTGATTAGTGAGCATGTAACATTGCTTAAAGCTATATTGCCCTTCACAAAGAACTGAAATTTGAAATGACGCATAAAACTGTGAAAATATCATTAGGATTTTCAGTCATACACTTAAGGGTATTGCTTTATGGAGGTTAAGCGTGTAGAAGGGGACTACCATCACGCGCACTCAGTTTGGTTATTAGGTTACTCATCTGACCCACATACAGGAAAGCATTATCCAGCTTCATTGCATGGAATGCTGCAGCTTCTTCAAGAGCAAGTAAAACACACTTATTCCTGTTCTAACAGGCTAACGTTGTGTGCAATGTGAGTGAGTAACCACAGATACATTTTTTTTTTAAGTAACTGAAAGACCAATCATGGGATGACAGGCCAACAAGACAGGCCAACATCCACCACATGACTCATTTTAAAGGGTTAGTTCACCCAAAAATGAAAAATCTGCGATTAATTACTCACCCTCATGTCTTTACCAACCTGTAAGACTTTTGTTCATCTTCGGAACACAAATGATGATATTTTAATGAAATCTGAGAGATTTCGGTCTCTTCACTACCACTACCACTTTGACGCTCCAAAAAGTTCATAAAGAGATCATAAAACTAATCCCTACAAATGTAGCAGTTTATAACCAATGAGGTGCAATCTCGTGTTACGCATCACGTTTGAGCTTCTGCAAGAACCAATGAGGTTCATTCTCGTGTTACGCAGCACGTTTGAGCTTCAGCAAGAACCAATGAGGTTCATTCTCGTGTTACGCAGCATGTTTGAGCTTCAGCAAGAACCAATGAGGTTCATTCTCGTGTTACACATCAGGTTTGAGCTTCTGCAAGAACCAATGAGGTTCATTCTCATGTTATGCAGCACGTTTGAGCTTCAGCAAGAACCAATGAGGTTCATTCTTGTGTTACGCATCACGTTTGAGCTTCTGCAAGAACCAATGAGGTTCATTCTCGTGTTACGCATCACGTTTGAGCTTCAGCAAGAACCAATGAGGTTCATTCTTGTGTTACGCATCACGTTTGAGCTTCTGCAAGAACCAATGAGGTTCATTCTCGTGTTACGCATCACGTTTGAGCTTCAGCAAGAACCAATGAGGTTCATTCTCGTGTTACGCATCACGTTTGAGCTTCAGCAAGAACCAATGAGGTTCATTCTCGTGTTACGCATCACGTTTGAGCTTCAGCAAGAACCAATGAGGTTCATTCTCGTGTTACGCATCACGTTTGAGCTTCAGCAAGAACCAATGAGGTTCATTCTCGTGTTACGCATCACGTTTGAGCTTCAGCAAGAACCAATGAGGTTCATTCTCGTGTTACGCAGCACGTTTGAGCTTCAGCAAGAACCAATGAGGTTCATTCTCGTGTTACGCAGCACGTTTGAGCTTCAGCAAGAACCAATGAGGTTCATTCTCGTGTTACGCATCACGTTTGAGCTTCAGCAAGAACCAATGAGGTTCATTCTTGTGTTACGCATCACGTTTGAGCTTCAGCAAGAACCAATGAGGTTCATTCTCGTGTTACGCAGCACGTTTGAGCTTCAGCAAGAACCAATGAGGTTCATTCTCGTGTTACGCAGCACGTTTGAGCTTTAGCAAGAACCAATGAGGTTCATTCTCGTGTTACGCAGCATGTTTGAGCTTTAGCAAGAACCAATGAGGTTCATTCTTGTGTTACGCAGCACGTTTGAACTTTAGCAAGAACCAATGAGGTTCATTCTCATGTTACGCAGCATGTTTGAGCTTCAGCAAGAACAAATGAGGTTCATTCTCGCCTGATGTCCATTGTCTGTATATGTCAGGAATTATAGCCTTAAATAGGACACTATTTGAGGGGACAGCCATTTGTAGTGGTGTCTGAAACCATAGTGGACATAATTGAGTGCACTCATTCAATCCCACAATGCACCGCAATAACGAGCGTACAACCGATGTAAGCTCAACGGCTAGATAATACCCATAATATACACTCCTTCAAGCTCAATTCATATGGATTAGATTTACGATCTCTTTATGAACTTTTTGAAGCGTCAAAGGAGGGACAGGAATCATTCAGATTTCATTTAAAAGATCTTTATTTGTGTTTCGAAGATGAACGAAAGGGTTTTAAATGACATGAGGGTGAATAATTTATGACAATTTTTTTCTTCCTTTTTGGGTGAAAACCCTTCAAAATATGTCCATTCCTAAATTTGAAAACAGCACAGCATATAACTAAACAAACAAATTAGAAGGGTCATATCTTGAGGAATCTTTTAGGATAAAAGAGTTCATTGTACTAAGAAAACATACTGTAATTTTCATCTCAAAACTTTCTCCCCAGTTCAAACAGACCATTTATTGAAACAATGTTTCATTCTATTCTCACAACTTTCTGACATCAGACAGATGAATACTTGGCCGCCCACATTTAAACGCCAACAATAACCTATTCTGTATGATTAAAATCAGAGATTAACAATATTTTTGCATAAATTTTGATGCAAAAAAAACCTTACAACTAACATTATAAATGGACATCAGGCAAAAATAAAATAGTAATAACAATAAATATATTGACTTAATTAAAATATGTACCTATTCAAAAGAGAAGTGCAAGTTAATTGTAAGCTACAGTGACTGAGGTGTGAGGTGGGTTTCCTTTAAGCGTGATTGTGGGAAGTATAACCTGAGACTTGCTCTACTTTACCCCTGTGCGTTTGTCAAACTCTCTCTCTCTCTCTACTCTCTCTCTCTCTCTCTCTCTCTCTCTCTCTCTCTCTCTCTCTCTCTCTCTCTCTCTCTCTCTCTCTCTCTCTCTCTCTCTCTCTCTCTCTCTCTCTCTCTCTCTCTCTCTCTCTCTCTCTCTCTCTCTCTCTCTCTCTCTCTCTCTCTCTCTCTCTCTCTCTCTCTCTCTCTCTCTCTCTCTCTCTCTCTCTCTCTCTCTCTCTCTCTCTCTCTCTCTCTCTCTCTCTCTCTCTCTCTCTCTCTCTCTCTCTCTCTCTCTCTCTCTCTCTCAATGGAGGGTGTGGTCTCTCTTTACACTAGCTGTTTAACTTCTACGCCATTTCCTCATGGAAGTGTTTTGCTTCCAGTGTCTAAATTTTTACCACTTTTCTGTTTGTTTTTTTGCCAAATTACCTTTAATCTATTTCTCAAAAGCTATGCTTGAGTACTAGTTTTGACATGACAAAAGTGAAACAATGTTGATTTTGTTTGCATTATTAATGCAATAACTCAAAAGTACAAGCTATGACCAACCATAAACTATTTACATGCAAATGACTATGCAGTTATGCAAATCTCATAGGCCGTTCCTATAATCTTGGAATATGATTTGCCTTAAAGGACCGTTTCCAGGCATCCCATGCAAGCCACCTGTTACATCTATCACTCAATAGCACACCTAGAAAAGTGCTGATCAGACAAATAAAAGGGACATAACGTGCTTTTATAAAATAATTTCCTCAAACTGATGAAAACCAAACGATGGACAGTAGACTATGCCTACGCATGTTAACGGGGTTTTTGAAGTCATAATAAAGGAAAGGAAAGGTGGAGAGAGAGAATCATGGGCCTCTGGGTCTCGTATTGCAGGTCAGTGTCAGCAACAGCTGTGTGAATGGATGCAAGAGGCCAAGCGACTTGGTAACAGTCATGGGGTTAACAGAAATAGACAGGGAAATGGCACATGGATTGATATAAAGCTGCTGAAGCACTGTGTGCTACCTTTATAAAACTGCATACGAAGAAATCAGGTTTAATGCCCACTATTTACACTTCAGGTATTAGATGGTGCCATGTATACACATTTTCTTTTTTTAATGTTATGTAAAATAACACTAAGATCAACTTACCGAGACTGTTTTAGTTGTAGACAGTCTTGTAACACTGACCACATTTGACATTCATAGCCGAGTCATTTAACTGATAGAATCAAACAGCTGTTCTGAGGTCAGTCATGGAGTCACGAAGTCATGTGACTACACAAGACACACTGTCAATGGCCACAGAAGTCAGATGACATCAGCAGAGCAGCTAGTCAAATACATCCAATCTCCTACATTTTGATGAATATAGGGGGAGACCGGGGAGTGTTGTAAGTAACACAGGGTCAGTTGTAACAGTTTGACAAGTCAGAAAAGAGCTTTGGTGATGCCATCAATATTAGACACGCGCATAACTTTTTTGAGCTCACATGAGAAGTAGCATGTTACTGTTAGCAACACTGTACATTTTATGAACAAAAAGACAGATTTTTCTAAATTTATCACGATTATTTTTTGCTTAGCAATCATTGCATTGTAGATACAGTTATTTGACTTGCATCTAAAGTAGCTTTTCTATAGTTTAATTTGATGCTTTGGATTCATGCTAACTTCAAACCCATGCTATTAAGTTATGGCTGTTAGGGGTGGGGATGAAAATCACGTGAGTTTTTTGTTGTGCATTGAGGAATTTATGTAGTATAAATGTTTCCATCATATGCACGTCTTCTTATCAGATAAAAGCATTAATCGCCTCAGTTGAGCACATACGTTGTTTTTTGTGCACATTTTTAGAATGTATGCACATCTCTGTGTTTCCATCCAGCGATTTCCCAAAATTCACATAAAATAGGTGGATGGCAATATAGCTAGTGTAGTGAGCGAACTGTTATGTGACAGGAATACAGCACACACACACAAACACACAATTGTTTTGTGCTAAATTTAAAGTCCTTAAAGAAATACAATACAATGTTTTTTGTTACTTTAAGTTTCTCACTTTAGTAAAACTGATTCTTCAATAACATTCTTGCATAATTTTAGATTGTGTGGATCTTATTTCAGCAAATTAGCTCTCATTGTTACATCTTTCCCCAGCAACTCAGCCCAGTAGCGGGGTAGGTTGTAACAACAAAACTCTTTGTGTTTGACATTAACTCACATAATTTGTGATTGTGTTGTACATGTCCAAGAGAGTTATATTTGTAGCTGACAAATGTGGCTACCATTTAGCAAAGTTTGAGAGATATAGCACAAATAACCACAGAGTAACCGATGCTCAAACAAATGGTGTTACTTTCATTCCAGGTCTCCCCCTATACTGAAATATGCTAATATTACTCAATGTTCCATAAAATACACTATCATTAATGTTAGTATGTTTTTTTTTAACGAAACTATACTTTTATTCAACATGGAATGGAGTGACTGAAAAAAAGAGACAGTAAAGTCTTCTATTCCACATAATTGCAGTTCTTTTAAACTTTCTATTCATCAAATGATCCTGAATGAAGGATCACGGTTTCCACAGAAATATTAAGCAGCACAACTATTTTCAGCATTGATAATAATAAGAAATGTTTCTTGAGAAGCAAATCAGCATATTCGAATGACACTGAAGACTGGAGTAATGATGCTGAAAATTCAGCTTTGCATCACAGGAATAAAATACATTTAAAAAATATTCAAATAGAAAACAGGTATTTTAAATTGCAATATTATTAAAATAAGTCTCAACCGTCAAAAAAAGACAACATGCAGTGTAGAGTCTCAATGTGAACTTGCTTCTGCCAACAATAAAGGCATGTCTACACCATATGATACAATGCTTTCTATGGCTTGTTGCTATTTTTCCATAAAAAACAAAACAAATTAAATAAAAAAAAACATTGACATACTTTCTAATCATTCAAATCCAGTCATTCCACATACTACAAATTCTTCTAGCCACATTTTTCTTTACACAGACTGTATGATGAAATGTAGAGTATGGACTTGCACATGTTTGAGTATAAAGTTATCATTCGTGCCAATTATCATTCGCGATGCGCGATTATCATTCGCGCTTAAAATTATAATTCGTGCCAGTCTCTATTAAGTTGCTGAACGATGTGAAATAAAACTGTGTGAGCACTTCAGCACTTTACCTGTGATCTCAGTGCAATAGGGCAATGTGCAATATATATACTAGCACCTTAGCATATGAACTTTACAAAAACTTCAATACAATGGAGTAATTTCCAACAACCATACTAGCGCTTAAGCACTTGCACTTTAATCCATGGAATTGTGCTGTCAATTATGTCTCTTTTTCTTTTGTCTATATTTGCTTCTGTTTGTAATTTGTGATGTTTTGTATGATGTTCATTTTATGAAACAACTCTGCACTGCGCCCAAGCAAAATTTCCCCTCGGGGACAATAAAGTTAACTCAACTCAACTCAAAGTAAGACCTGGAAACTATTTGTTTTTTGGAAATTATCTGTTGCAGAAAACAAGAGCATTATATGACAAGTTATTAATAATGTTAATGATATAATAATAATCTAATTAATTTTTGTTCAATAACCTGAATCTGAAATAATCTCAATGCATTTAACAAATAAAGGACACTATCACAATATAGAGACATAGACCTAAGTGTCACATGCAAGGTCATTTTGTACTTGTCACACTGTCAATCAAGTCACTTGACTTTATCTTTATCTTTGAGTTTCTCTTTCTACTAAATCTAAAAAATATTATCATAATCATATATTTCCATGCTTGAAAATAGTTTTAGACAAAAATAAACTGCTCTTAATGAACAAACTGGACAGGATAGTAGCCTAAAGGAAAAACCTTTAAAACTGTTTAAATCAACTTCATGCAGTTGAGCAAGAGTGCGAAGAGCTTCAATTTAAACAAAAGCTAGCAAATTTTGAGAAAGATAATTTTTTAAATGGTGAAATACATGGCTGTGGTAAGTGCTCAGAGCTTCATTTATCAACATTTGTAGGACCCTCCCATCTGCAAAAACATCACATTAAAAGTGTCCACTGAAGCTGCGAATGACTGTCCTTGAAGATGCGCTTCAAGTGGAACCGGAGAACTGAAAGTAAAACGGAAGTAAGCGAAGGTAGCCTACTGTAGGTGACTCATAACAAAACTCACTACTACTACTAGCCTACTACAAAAAAGTACTTGGCAGAGTAACAAGCCCTATAGTTCATTCCTGAACTTTTAACTAACCACACCACTCAGTAAACTACACCATCCCTAACGTTACACTGCAAGCGCACGAGCTTCGCTGTTTATAATGTTCTAATTTTATAGCGTCGCGTATAACGCTTGGTGTCACTGCAGCTACGTCAGACTTTAAAAGAAACGTTAAACACATGATACTGTATTTATTATGCATTTATAACGACAACACATGACAATGAAAAGCAAAATCGCATTTCTTACCACTTCTTAGTGCACTCTACGGTGAGTTCTTGAAAGGACGCGGCAAACTGAAACTTCGTCGCTCTTTTTCCAGCGCGCTGAAGTCTCTTCCAAACCGATGTCATGATTACAGCACTTGAATTAGACGATTCCTTACAGAAGAGAATGGTGAATTAAAAAGACATCGTGGGAATTGCTGTGTCACTTCGCCTAGCCCCGATGTCTCAGGGATGGCAGCTCCGCGCGCCACCGCCGCCTCATACACACACACACACACACACACACACACACACGCGCGCTCCAAATGTCAAAGTGAAGATAAGCGCAGACAGATCAGAGGAAACATAACCAAACACTTGCGATGAACTGACATATCCTGCACTCCCATGGACGAGTGGCTGGGAGAACAGAAACGCTGGGTCACCACCAGGCTATATTATTCAGTCATTTATCCAACTGGCTTATTATTCAATTATCGAAGTGTTATATTATGAAAAATAGCCTTATCGCACTATTATTGTAGCCATTTTGATAGGCATATTAATACAATAGGGCTGAGGTTTTGATTACAGATCAATTACAGAAATGATTGTTTGCGGTTTTGCAAGTTGTTTAACATCTTCCTGTCTTGGGAATTCTGGCCTGCAAACTAAAATTCAGATTTTGGGTAAGCAGTAATCTATTAATATAGCTAATAGAAGTGGCCAAAAGATATCCGCCCCTGGAAAATTGTCATCTTCCCCAAGTTTTACCCAAATATAAAAATAATAATTATATATATATATATATATATATATATATATATATATATATATATATATATATATATATATATATATATATATATATATATATATATATATATATATATATATATATAAATTTCTAACATTTTGCTGGTTTATTCAGAATTGTAGGGTCATTAAAAACAAATATCCTCTCCGAACATCAACACCGAACAACAACTTTTTTGCCTCATGAAACAATTCAAGAAACAGCACATATCATGATTTTGTGCTAAATAATTATTTTTTTTATGTTTCACAAACTTTTAAACTGTAGTGTACAAATTATATTATCAACATAATTTAGGTGAAGCATGATATATATATATATATATAAATATATAAACTGTTTTACGGTTTCACAGTCTGAAAAGAAAATTAGGCTGTTTATTGCCATGGGATTCACTGCCATGCATGTTAAATGAAATATAAAAATATTAAGAGGAGCAAAACATGTGATGGAGTGAAAGATAGCACAGATTTTCCCTGCTGGGTAAGGTGAAGTAATATTTCATTGTGCTGGCTTACCTTGCCGTGGGAAGCAGTTTGTCTTCTTGAAGAGAATGGAGGTTGGCAGGGCTATTCAAAACACACTGTTGAAGGTTAAAGGTCACCATTTGTGAGCAGTTTTTACTGTGCTTCAAACAATAGCATAAAACCGCTTACTAATGTTAACAGGAGTGAAATATTATTTTGCATTACTTCTATATCTGATACAGTTGACTGTTAGGTTCAGTACAGCACAGTCATACTGTTTGAACAATGTTTAGGTGTGGCAGAAACAGCAGGTATATTGTGCAGCAGGTAGCCTGATATTATGTTATTATGATGACCTGAGATCAGTTTTGCAGACATCATGATCTGAGCTGATTCTAGATCAGTGTCTGATCAGGCTCAAACTTGCCCTGCCCTGAGTTCAGATAAGCTTTGGAAAGTGTGCCAAGTCCAAAACCAATCTTGGCACGTCAAGCAAGATACAAATCTCTGAAGCTCTGCATTGTTGCAGTCATTGAAAATGATGCCCCAAATTAATCCAACGAGATCCCCAATCCAAAACGCCTAATATAAAGCATGCCAAAACAGGGTGCAAAATGGTGAAGTTGGTGCGGTTAACTTGTTCTATGAGCAATTTCTCTTCTGAAGCCCTTTCTGGGATATGACAACAGATTCATTAAGTCAGTTTAATTTGTTCATCAATCCAAGAATAACAGAGCGATGAAAGATGGATAGGGAAAGGGAAGAGAGAGACGTAATGAAAACTCACACGGATCACGAATAAGGTTCCTGCTCATACACTTCCTGTTAATTGAGCGTGTCGTTGTCTCAGTATTTCCTGTTTTCCTGTAGCATTGACCTCTCCATGCCCAAGTACCAACTGCAGGAAATGTTCTAAAAAAAGACAAACCTAAACAAAGCAGAGCGCCATTGGTATACATTTCTTAAAATACAGTATATTTCCATCCTTTAACCATTTCAGCCGTGAAGATCACGATTTATAAAACGTACACTACCGTTCAAAAGTTTGGGAATTGAATTGATCAAAAGTAGGGCTGGGTATTGATTCAGATGTTCAAATTCGATTCGATTTACAAGCTCACAGTTCGATTCAATTTCGATTCTCGATTCGACTATAATGAATATAGATGTAATACAAATCTCAGTCTAAATATCAGTTATCATTTTTTAGACAATTTTTTATTACATTGATCTCACCTAAATGTTTGTTTTTACAATGGGGTAATTTTTTTTTAAGAGTTTATGCAACACACGGAAGCTTGATTTCAATCTTTGAATTAAATTGAAAAAAGTAGCACAAATAAATACAATAGAATAGGCCTAAAGACACAAATAAAGAGACATAAAAAGAAAACTTTTTGGGTAGGTCAGAAATACTACAGAAACTGAATAAAGTAATCCAATGTAAAATAACACTGGATAGTCTTTTAGTCCTGACTGAATTAAATACATAGGCTATTAATTCTGATTCCTTACAATTAATGCTATATTATGTTGTTTTGACAACAAAATTAATGACAGACACATATGGCTGCGTTCACTTTAAGAACTAGTGCACGGATCCATTACTGTTTCATTATACTGTCTGTCACACGCGTTTTATGCTTATTTAAGACAATCGACTGTCTACGAGGTTACTCACCAAGACCAGAGTTTTGACATCATTTAGCGTGTTTTTAACTGTTAAAGCGATATAATCTACGAAAAAGAACTTTTGTTACTGGCGAGCTGTTTGTGAGGCGGATTTAGGCTTTACTGTATGTGCACGCAATGAAAAACATGCGCGAGTGCGCCGCGAGCACAGGATAGTTTAAAATTGCTTGAATGTTTAAACTGGTAAAACTTAAAAAAGCACGCAGCACCGCGAGCCCTGAATATGGAAAAAATCGATTCGTGGCCGTTGAGAATCGATTTTGAATCGACCACATTTTAAAAAACGATTAATCGAAAAATCGATTTTTTTGCCCAGCCCTAATCAAAAGTGATGGTAAAGACATTTACATTGTTACCAAAAAGTCCATTTCAAATAAATGTTGTTTTTTATATTTCTATTCATTAAAGAATCCTGAAAAATAGTTTCCAGAAACTATTTTTTTTTTCAACATTGATGATAATCAGAAATGTTTCTTGAGCAGCAAATCATCATATTTGAATGATTTCTGAAGGATCATGTGACACTGAAGACTGGAGTAATGATGCTGAATATTCAGCTTTACTTATATGGTCATAAGACATTTTATTAAAATCCACTCCACTTAAAAAGAGAAACACCTTACTGACCCCCGAACTTTTGAACTGTATACTAATGATATTAGCAGCATAACGATTTGAGAGCAGCATGAATTTCTTAATTTCTCAGCAGACTCTGACCATTTCATTAAACGAGATTCGATAAGAGCAGCACCCGAGATGACACGAACTTCAAATGTCTGTCAAGACCCGATAGTCACGTTCTCCAGCTTGATTTGAGAATGATCCAAAGAGCATCTTGTGCTTCAATTGAAGCAAAAACATCTGACCTTCTGAACAGAGGAATCCTCAGCATGCCACAAATGTACTTACATTTCACTAGTGACCTAGAAATATGTCTGATTCACTTAACATTTCTTTCTGTAAAAATCTCAATCTTAAAAAAACTCATTCAATAAGATCTTGAATTTTTCTTCTTAGCAATTCTTACAAATGTAAAGATAAATCAGATCAGTCAAAGTAACTGATTTGAACAATGAAGAAACTGATCAAAAACTCTCTTTTTTTTTAGGAAGGACATTTGAGACTCGCCACAAACCCACAGTCCCGATGTCCAATCTCTCATATGTAACATACCGAGAGCACAGTCTGACAATATGACCTTCATTTCACAGGAAAGTAACATTTCGTGATCGTTCGAAATACATCTCTCTCTCTAGGTGTGGAAAACTACATTGTGGTAATGTTACTCCATCTGTTCAAGATCAGAGATAACATTTAAACCACCATGATAAATATAGACATGCATGTAACACCTGCTGACTGTCAATCTGAAAGAAAGAGCAGTTGACAGGGTGAAACCATTAGACACTATGGTAAAAAGGTCATATGAATATACAGGCAAGCTACATTGGTGAAAAATGTGTTAACGCCGATTTGAATGTTAAAAGTTTGATTTAATGAGCGTTCAAAGAACTGCTGAGGATTGAAAAAGTTTGAGGCCAGCAGGTTTAGGAAAATGTTGTTTATGCCTCATGGTCCTCACAGTAAACAAGCGGGGAAGCCCCTATCATTTCTGCAACTCCTCTGGGAAGTTCACGTCACGCCTCTTTCGGTCAAGGACTCGTGTACTGTGTTTGTTAACAGATGTCAGCAGGTCTGCCATTAGGATAATGTGAGGGGATGCAATCTTACTTGCTATTTTTAACCTTTCTTGGGTCTTAAAATGACAGCTTATTAAACTAACATTTCATTCATGTGACAAAAAATTGGTTGATGTTTTATTACCCAGCACTGCACCAGCTTTACTTCAGTCCTGGTCCCCCTCCCCCTCTCTCTCTCACACACACACACACACACACACACGCACACACAAGAAGCATGTAACGATTTTAAAATGCACCCTGCGCTTCAGCACAAGTAGGCTATACTGCAGAATTGGACAGTAAATGACTGAAGACCATAATAGGAGTGTATGACCTCATTTGCAGAGTGTGTTTATGTCAGACTGGCAGAGGAGAGGCAGTGCTGGGCACAGATTCTGAGTCACCATCCCACACAAAGACACACACCTGCTCCCTGTTGTAACTATGAAGAACAACATGTTAAACACGAACATCTCAATTTGAATAGATTTATTGTAAGAGGCTGAATGTGGTCAAATAAATACTAGAGGGATAGTTCACCCAAAAATGAAAATTCTGTCGTCATTTACTCACCCCTCGGGTTGTTCCAAACCTGTAAAAAAGTCTTTCTTCTGTTGAACGCAAAGGAAGATATTTTGAAGAATGTTTGTAACCAAACAGTTGTGGGGCACCATTGACTCCCATAGTATGAGTAGGAGAAAAAAATACCATGGAAGTCAATGGTGCCCCGCAACTGTTCTTCAAAATATCTTCCTTTGTGTTCAACAGAAGAAAGAAATTCACACAGGTTTGGTAAACGTATTTATTTACTTTTTATTTGGATGAATTTGTGCACTTTTATTTGATGAAAAAAGCATCCAACATGTGTGAAACTTACATGAGATGTGCTTTAACCCTTGTTTTGCAAATCATTATTACATATTCGGGTCTTTAGCGACCCGGATTTATATCTAACATGGATGGCTCTCTAACTGTCACAATAGTACAAAACTCTCTTGATATTTTTATATCAGTTACACAAAAGAATAAAATAAAGCATATTCTATTACATTTTGGAACTTGGAAGGGTTCAATTTGAGCAGATGCTTTTTACCATCATCATTGTCATCGTCAGAGCTCATCTACTCAGTACATTCAGCATCTGGCTCATATTCGCAATCTCAACCATATTCTCAAAACTATCATTGTCAACATTTTCAAAATCAATAGTTTGTTCGCTGACACCTTCTTCAACAGATCAAGCTTAAAGTGACAGTGACGCTAATATCTGATCGCGTACAGTTCTTAAGGGGACATGGTGGTGGAAAAAAATTGAGAGATGGGAGGAAAAATTATAATTCTTTCGCAAATGTTTTGCGTTCCCTTGAGAAACTTTGCATTCGCTCGCGAAACTATATAATCTTGTTTACACCGAGTAAAAAGGTAATTGCGACTTTATATCTCGCAATTCTGAAATTTTTATCGCAATTCTGACTTTTTCTCGCAATTGTGTTTACATCTCACAATTCTGACATTCTGACTCGCAATTGCGAATTATAAATTCAGAATTGCGATAAAAAATTCAGAATTGCGAGATATAAAGACACAATTACCTTTTTTATTTTTTATTCAGTGGTGGAAACAATATTCCATAGTTTTGAAAAGTCTCAATTCTGACTTTTTTCTCAGAATTTATATCTCACGATTATGACTTTATAACATGCAATTGCGAGTTTATATCTCACAATTCTGAGAGAAATAAAGTCCAAAATTCTAGAATTACAAGATAAAAAGTCACAATTATCTTTTTAAATGTTTTATTCTGTGGCAGAAACAAATTTCTGCGTTTGCTCACAAAACTCTTCGCGAGTGAACGCCAAGTTTCTCGGGGGAACACAAAACCTTTGCGAGAGAACGCAAAAGCATTGCCAAATCATTTTTCCTCCTATCTCTTTTTTTTTTCTTCTTCATCACCATGTCCCTTTAGGCGCTCTGTACTTTGGGGGCTCCGTAGACTTCTTTCAAAATCATTTCAAATTCTTACCAACCCCAAACTTTTCAACAGTAATTACTCTCTTTTTCAAAAATATTGTAAAATTAAACACATATAATAATGAATGACTAAGTGTGCCCAAACTTTGACTGGTAGCATGTTTGACAATATTGGTTTTCAAATATTTATAATGAATAATAAATTCATAATCTTTGAATATATATTTTTATATTCATATAATCTGTATTGTAAATGTAACTTGTTTATTAAACAGATAATAAATATAAATGCATGTACCACTCAGACTAATCCAAAGAGTATTGAAGAAAATAAACAAATAGGGCCACCTAGTGTTTGCCAGCTTCTAGTTATTAAAGCTAGTATTGCATGTTATGGAGGCACACCATTCCTGGATATCATTTATACTTTTTACAATGTCCACTTTCATTATATCAGTTATGTAGTGGTAGTGGGAGTGGATGGACACAGATCCGGTTGCATAAACATAAACCCTGTATGGTAAGATTGTGTCTTAAGTATTATTATGACCAACTAGCGTTGAGTCAAGGGGCAATCAGTTTTACTTTCTAGTATCAAATTAGACCAATGTATGTTTTTATATAACTGACTTGAAACAGTTATGAACAGTCTTAAAGAAAAAAATGTGATGATCAAGTTGTGAGACTAGTCTTAGCCGTTTATGCAACCGGCCCCTGGGGAGGAGTTTGGTCTTAGTGAAGGGGAAACATTTTCTTTGGAGGTCGCCATGGGTGGCACGTCAAAGTTTGGTGGCAGCTCTACTGTTGGAGTGGCAAGTGAGTCTGAGAAAGTAGGGGAGATGGTGGATATAGGAAGAGTGTAATGAGGTTCCTCTTGTGGACCTGCCATGTCCCCACTGAGCACAAGCTCATCCAAACCCTCCCCCTTCAGCTCACCCTGCCACGGTGGTCCAGAGAAAAAATGCAGAATGGCTTGAACCTGCTGGAGTTCCCAGAAGCTTTCCAGAACGACAAGCAGGACAATCAGCCCAAGCATCAGGTAACCTAAATGATGATTCAATAAATGAATAAATTACATCATGCATTGGTTTGTTGAATTAACATGTTTTTTTTTTTAAATCCTAAAAGGAAGTGTTGGGACTTACAGGAGGTTGCGAACTCCAGCACCTGACGTGCTGCTTGGCTTTGCGTCCTCCCAGGCAGGTAGTCACCCAGTCCAGTTGTGCTGAGTGAGATAAAACAAAAATACAGCGACTCCAGGTAACTCCAGTGGTTCTCCAGCAGACACAGGGCACCAGCAGGTAGAAGAAAGAACAATGTCGCTGTGCAAAAGGCAAGGACACTGCAGTGCAGCAACGCAGCATGGTTGCGAGACAGTCCCCAGAAGACTTGAAGGTTCTGAATAGGAGTGTGTGTTACCCGGGGCAGAAGGGCACGAGTGAGGCAGGACAGCAGCAGCATGGTGAATGGGATGCCCACAAGACAGTAAACAACACAGAACACACGGCCCTCATCCGAAAGGGGCACAGTGGTGCCATAACCTGCAAATAAATGATACAGTGCAAACTTGTATAAAGTGTGAAGATATCAGGGACTTTGAAGATATCTTTCCTTTTTGACAATTATTAACAAATGTGAGGGTCAAAATTACACTGTATGGTATACTGATAGACCAAATCAATGTCAAACTAATCAAATTTCATTCATTCGATTATCAGTCATTCTTTAGTTAAGATTGAATATAAAAATGCATACATTAAAAAAAAGATAAAGCTTCTATTGAGTGTGGACTGAAATATTAAGATACAAATAAATAAAGTAAAAAATAAACTATAAATAAATCATGCATTTTCTAAGTTGACTGATTTAACAAGTTTTAAAATATAAATAAATAATATATTTTGTATTGAGTGTGTAGACTTAAATATTGAGATTAAAATAAAGAAATAGGCTAGTTTTAACTATCAACTATAAATCAAGCATGCATTTGGTTTGTTGACTAATTAAAGAAACAATTTATGCTCAATCCTACAAGTTCTTAAGGATAAATAAATAAATTCCAAAGAATAAAACAAACAAACAAATGTTTTGTAGGCTACTGAGTGTGTAGATTTAATAATATTTTTAATTATTTTGAACTAAACTATACATGCATTGGTTGACTGTATACTAAAATAAGTTCTAAAGGATAAATAAATTATAAAGGATAAACAATGTTTTGGGTTATTTTAAGGTGACAGTTACATTGTATGCTAATTAAGTACTGAGTAGCCTTATATTAAATAACTACTAGACTTCCGGTTATGGTTAGGGTTTGGTTGAGGGTCAGTTACTTGTAATTATGCATAATTTACTGCTATGACTACAGTAAGTACACCGTACACGTAATAATTAATTAATATTCAAAATGATTTGTTTTGCTTAAAAAGCTACATCGTGCATTGGTTGACTGGATCAATTGTTCGAAAGAAGAAAGGAAAAAATAAAAAAATAAATACATAATGTTTAAATAAATAACTACACTGTCGCATCTTGGCTGTAAACACCACAGTACACATTAGCAATTTAATACATGACATTGGTCCACCACGTCCACAAGTGAGATAAGATAATTGGAATATTAGATGCGGTTATTATTAATGTTTGTGAATTGTGTTCAATAAATTCATAGCGTTAGTTTCCAATTTCAAACATCCAGCCAACATCTTAACTGCTATCTGACTGCTCACCTGTGGTCGTGAGGAAGGTAATGACAAAAAACAGCGACGACGTAAAGTCGAAGTTGCATTCAACGCTGTCGGATTTCAGTGCGGCCACGCCACGTTTACTCGCAGAAAGCACGTTCATTAACAAACTGTCCAAACTGCTTTTCTCAACACACGGGTTCTCTGTCAAAAAAAGAGCTTTTAGTTCACGGACCTCTTGAACGAGTAAATTCTCCTCAGGTTGCTCCAATATCATCAAAACAACAGCACCGAGGATGATATAGAGGCCATACGCCATCATCATGAAGATGAACGCGTGAGCGCGCAGAAAAGTCCGAGCTTTATCCGCAAAAATAGCCATTATTAAACTAGTTTTGTTTGTGTATTCTCTCAGGATGGTAGAATATGGGGTGCTGCATGTGTAACCAAACCTGGGCTCTGACATGGAAAGTTCAACACCACACTGAAAGTTTAATGCAACAGGTTAGCGGACATCTGTGACACCATCAGCCTTCTCAGGTCTAGTACAACAGAACATAAACCAAACTTTTTTGGTTGCCCCAACAGGTTCAAAAGTGAGATTGCACTTTAGTCCAGTTGTCATCAGAACATAACTTTATATCTTAAAGGATTTTTATTTTTATTCTGACATTTAGCTACTCACCATGTTGCTCCAAACCCATTTGATTTTCAATGGAAAATTAAGACACTCACTCCTTCACCAGTTGTTGACAGTTGGTATGAGGTGTTTGTGTTGATATGCTGTGTTTGGTTTTCGCCATATGTGGCTCTTTGCATTATGGCTAAACATCTCCACTTTGGTCTCATCCAAAGAACATTGTTCCAGAAGTCTTGTGGTTTGTTCAAATAAAACTTTGTTGCCATTTTCTTTTTAGAGAGAAGCAGCTTTCTCCTGGCAACCCTTCCAAACATGCCATAAGTTCAGTCTTTTTCTATTTGTACTGTCATGAACTTTAAAATGTAACATGCCTACTGAGGCCTGAGTCTGACGTGTAGCTCTTGTTTTTTTTTTTTTGCTCTGAGCATTGCACGGTCTGACCTTGGGGTGAAATTTTTGACCTTGGGTCTTGAATGTATTCCATTTGGGAGTAATCTTCCACACTGTAGAATGATGGACTGCAAATTGTTCGGAAATGACATTTGATAAGCAGCGCCTGACTACTACTTTCCCTCTTAATTCCTATGGAAGCAGTAAGGGTGTACTTAGTTTATCACGCATGGCTTCTTCATTTTGGCCTAGCTTTTGTTAAATAAACCGGTGTAATATGTCATGTGTTGTTGTTGTATGAGGTATCTGAGGTTGTATTTACCTAATTTTAAGACCTACCAAGGACCAGATGATTTATTATGTCCTGTCTGATACATAGAAATCAAAAGGGTGTACTTTCTTTTTCACATTACTATATTGTTGCGGACAATGGGAGGGACAAAAAGTCAAAAAGGTTGAGATTCACTGCTCTAAAGGGGCATAGTAATGGGGAACAAATATATATATTTAATGGCTTTTGCGTTCAATCGCAATAGTTTTGCATATCGTGTTGTGTTTACTCAAGAAACTTTGCATTTCAACATTCGTGATTAAATAACTAATTTTATGGGTGAACTGTCCTTTTAAAAACATTTAACACGATTTAAGAATTATTCTCTAAAACAATGGAAACATCTCTTTTTTTATTAAATTTTTAACAACTCATTTAGGGTAATGCATTAAGCACAGTTTTTGCTTAATTAAAGGGGAAAATTTGTCCCAAAAAATTAAATCTTTGCCATTATAACAGTAGTTTAAATACAAAATAAAAATATATTGCGAGTACATTAGAAAATGTATTTATTTTTATAGGCCTAAATCAATACAAAAAAGTTCAACATGTAAAAAAAAAAAGGTTGGAACAAAATTACATACATAAATACCCTAATAAACAAGGCGATTGTATAGCAGTGTTTGTAGATTCATCCTGCTATAAATACAGTAAATATAATCTTCAACTCTATTTGGTTTCAAGTTCTATTATACTATTTGCAGTAGATGGTGACATAACTATGAGATAATTCAAAGTTATTGCTACTGATCAGAAGAGTTAGAGTAAAAACACCGGTTATTCATTCAAAATTTCCCCAAAATAATACTTGCCTTATTTGCATAGAGCATATAGAATTTTCCTCTGTAGTTACTAAGATGCAGTCAAATGATGAGATGTCACTGAGTTCACGTTTCTCTAAACGTCACATACATCGTCCTTGGATTTTAAAGAGGCAGATGAAGCGAGTAGTGGGAACACGTCCAGCGGCGCACAGGTTTGCTGACCCTCCCGATGACTGGTAGCTTGTGGGCGTAGGCACGAGGTGGGAGGGAAGTAAGAGGCGGAGTTGGAGTAAAGCTCGTCTGGAAGCGGCGTCCCTGACAGCGTCGTCCCATCTGCCGCCCGCCAATGATGAAAGCGAATGCCGGAGGTCCAGCCTGAGGCGGCGGAAAACGGGCTTTAGGGAAAATATCTCGGGATTGGCTGGTTGAACGTCCTGGACGGGATGAGGATGACCTGGAACGTGAGACGGAAGATGAGGAGGAGGAAGAGCGGGTAAGAGATCTGCAGACACGGGACAAAAAGAGACCACCGGTGAGAAAACGCCTTTTGACCTTTTAAACCTTCGTTAAACAATTTTAAGCGTTTTAAATGACAAGACTTGCTAAAGTAGTGTTGGTCAGTATCATTTAAAGGGTTAGTTCACCCAAAAATTTAAATTCTGTCATCAATTACTCACTCTCATGTCGTTCCAAACCCGTAAGACTTTCGTTCATTCCGAAGAAGAACGAAGGTCTTACGGGTTTGGAACGACATGAGGGTGAGAAATTAATGACAGAATTTAAATTTTTGGGTGAACTAACCCTTTAAGGCAGGACTTAAAGGTCAAAAGGTCAACAGAGTGCAACAGCGCTTGCCCACTTTTTCAGTGGCCTTGGTTCCGGAAGAATTTTTCCCATTAATTTCCCCCAAAGGGACTTACAAAAGAAAGAAGTCTTTGTTTCAGCCATTAACCAAACCAACCAGTAACGAGGTGAATCACAATCTTACAAACTTTGATTTGAAGCAAAAAAAAAAAAATCAATATCAGAAAAAGGTAAAACACTGTTCAGTTTTCACTAAATGTTTTTAATAAGGGAAAGAACTACAATCCCATGATGCATTGTGAATGACAAATCAAATCAAAAACGATGGAGATATGTACTTTTGATTTAAAGATGTTGATATAAATAGGGAGACTGACTCTGTTATGGCATCTTTTGGTGCAATTTGCTTGTGCGGCTCTCTGATTGGTGGATATTTATTTGCAGAATCATGGGTAATGTAGTTTTCCACCAGGAATTCTACTGCATATACAAATTAACAACCTTGTAGCTCACATTAGGTCTATTTTTAAAGGTTTATAAGTTATCATTAACAATCAGTTCCCCTATGGAAAAAATGAATAGGAGTTTTACTTCCAGAACCTGACTGTTGCACTCAAGTGGTTTGACTCGTACCTCCCCGGGCCGGTGGCAGCCAGGCTGGGTGGTTGTGGTTCCGTACGTGGGCTTCCATCTTGCCGTGGGCTTATGTTCATACTGGCCGTGAGTTGGGGCATTTTGCGTGTACTCTCAAGATTAGGGGCAACACTCACTGGCTCTTTCCTGCCCTCTAGCGGTTGGCAGGAACCTGCAGGTGGGGCGCCAGCTAGTGGCGGGTCAGTGCTGAAGCGTACAGCCAGACTGTCTCCAAAAAAAGAGTAAAGTTCACAGTACATGGCAGGAAGAGATACAGGAGTCCACTCTTCCCATGGGCAGCCAGCTTCACCTGCTTGTAGATGACTTGCAATGCCGAGAGGAGGTTCAGAAAGGGGTTCAGGCGGTGGGCTGAAGCCAGGTGAGCTTTCTCTGAACCCCACAGCCCCCGAGGCAGTGCCCGGGAGAGCAGCAGCACCTGCTTCTGTTGCTAAGGTCAAACTGAGTGCCTTCATCTTCAGCAAACGTTCTACCGCCACCTTCAGGCAGGAGATAAAGTGGTCAATTGAGGTTTAGATGAGAGACATTAGGGTTGGGCTAATAGACTGTTGTTTAGAAGAAAGGGCTGCATAATTAATCAAGATTTTGATATGACTTCTACAGGCTGTAATTTAATTAAATGAATATATGAGCTGCTTGTTTCAGAGTGAAGCACTGTGTTCTTTTACATGCAAGCACCTCATAAATCTAGTGTTCTCAGGTTCTTAGAGGGGTTTGGTTTGCACTAAATGCTATTACACAAAACCTCCATCTTTGCAAGCGCTGAGTTTGTTTGGGTCGATTATAATGTGCATTTGGAAACACAAAATGGGCCAGCCATCTTCCCAAATTTGCAATAATAGACTGTTAACAAAATAGAAGCTTTGAGAGCTCCCCATACTTTTCCACCAAAATAAAAGCTTAATGTAGAAATTAAGACAGCTATGAAATAAATATCAGTATTGTCATTTTAGATTGCAAAATATATATATTTTTTTTCTGAAATTTTTTTTTTTTTGTATTTCACAATGACATTACAATAGTAATATTTCTTGTTTTATATTTTTTCATTTAGTAGTAATAATAATAATAATAATTATATTATTTCACAGTAAAAGTCTTATGTTGATATATAATAATTTAAGCCAATGTAATGTAATTTAATAAAAATAATAATGAGTAAAATTCTTTATTTATTATATATTTATATATTTTAAAAGAAAATAACTAAATGTTTTGGCTTCATATTGTGGAGATTTCATATTGCAATAATTTGTATTATTATTTTATTTTATAGTACGATTATTATTATAATATAGTCATATTGATTATATATATATATATATATACATTTTTAAAAATGGCCAAATTGTGCAGCCCTAATAGAAGGTGTCATGAAGACTACATACTGCATTTCAAAATATAACAATGTACTTGAATAAATCAATGAATGTACATCAACATCCTGGAAAGAAACATGTGCACCATAGTCAATGTTTAAAGTATTTTACTTACCAGAATGGCTCCATAGACTTTGTGTCCGTCTGCTTTCACCTGAGCGTTAGACACAGAGTAATCATCTAACACAGCTTGTAAATTCGACCAGTAGGCAGGGAGGTGAGGATACAGCACACGTTCAACAGCCTGTGGCAAACACACACACACACAAACTGTATGACATTTAGGAGTAAGAAGTGTATTTGTGGGTGTTGTGCTGTCTGCGGTTTACCTTCCAGCCGAGAGCATGCAGACCCACTACAGCGCCGTAGTGGGAACAGAGAGGTCGAACTGGGTCAGAAAGAACTTTCTGCAGAGACAGAAGGATCTGATGGTACAGCCCACTCACAAGATCCCCATGTGTCCTACGAGTCAACATGGGGAAAACCACCAGTCAAACCACTTTTATGAAATGGGTAAATTGATTAATTAAAGATTCAAGACAAAAAAACAATATTTTACTGTAGGATGCTCAAGAAATACCAGAAAATATGGCTGAGTAGAAGGGCTGCGTAGTCTCTCAGGGTCCAGTGATCATTGAGGGGGTTGATGGAGGCAGCCAGAGGCTCCAGGATGCAGTACATGACACTAGACACCAGACTTCGCACATATGAGCCCAGATACAGGTACGGGTTCTGCACCAAACTCTTCACCATGTGTAATAGCCTGTTTAACTGGTCCAGATCATGACTTACCGACTTTACCTAAGAAAAAGACAGAATCATGTTTACACCTGATATTAAGATGCGTTTTGGTCGCCTCGGATCACAAGTAGATGAGGGAGACACATTCCCTTTTACACCTGGTGTTTTAATCTGTCTCTTTTGTCCACTTTCAACCACTTCTGTCCTGATTTCTATGAGGAGAGGGTCTATGGGTGGGTAAATATACTGTATGGGCTTTTTCAGATCTTTCAATCTAATGGACAAAATAAGCTCACGTAATTTACGTAAGAATGCGCCCGGAGACGACGGAAAAACACACGGAGAGCAGCAGCTTTCATTTCCGCTCTGACAGCCGCAAGACCAGCCGAACACTGTGAGCGAGTGTTAGAAATCAGGAATGTTCGGTCTTTTGTGGGTGTTTGAACCCATGCGACCACATGAGAGTTTACACAACGAAAGCAATCTGGTCGAATGCGTTTTCTACTAACTCTGGAAGTGGTCAAAAGTGAACAGGGCCATAGACTATAATATGGTTCAAATAACCAGTGGTCATGTAACAAGATTCACTAACTTTTACAGCGATTACAAAAAAGGCATTATTACACAAGGTAAAAATTAATGAATGCATTTTTACATCCTGGACAAAACGTACCCCACTGATGACGTAAACGAAGTAAGGCAGGAGGGCAGCGATCTTCGAATTGGACTGGAGGTCTAGCAAAGCCACCTGATGGACAAAGTAAAACATTATTATACTAGCAAAACAAAACAAAACTGCTCAGTATCAGCTGTGCTCTGATGTATATTTTAATGTTTTAAAATGTACATTTGTGAAATAAGCGCACTACAGTAAAGTACACGTGTCTGTAAGATTTCTTTCTTAAATATTATTACAATTTAAAATATTTACTGTTTTCTATTTTAATATATTTATTCCTGTGATGCAAAGCTGAATTTTCAGCATCATTACTCCAGTCTTTATTGTCACATGATCCTTCAGAAATCATTCTAATAAGCCGATTTAATGCTCACGAAACATTTCTACCAATAATTTAAAAAAAAATTACAGACCCCAAACTTTTAAAAGGTAGTGTAGGTACCTTCATGAGATGTGGGTCCTCTCCTAAAATGGCTCGCGTTATTTGTTGGTAATACTTCAGAAGATCCTCTGATAGAGACTGAACCGCAGTGGGCACTAACAAGAAACAAGCTGTTATGTTATAATAAAACCAACACAGAATAGAGCTGAGAAATTAATTGAATATTTACAGTATATTATTTTGATGATGATAATGGATGATGTGATGTGAAATGGTTAATGTGCCTTTTTAGATTGATTCAATACTGTATTTTTGTAGTATATAATGGTTTTGCTTATATTAGGGGATTTGAATTAAATGTATTATAATTGATTAGCTTCACCATATATATATATATATATATATAAAAAGCCCAGACCTGATACAAATTAAACTGACAAATAATTTTAAATAAACAGCAATTCAAATATTTTGAGGTTTACCTGTGCCTTGAGATTCGAGATTGCCTTTCCCGTCAAGATATGACACATTCACTGCAGATGAGACAAAACAGACTACATGAATCTTTTTAAAAATTGCAGGATCATAAATTTCACTAATGATACCCGCCTTACCTCGAACCAGCGTTTCTGCACAGCCTTTAGGGATGTTGGTAGCAAGTGCCAACTCCACCAGATTTACCTCCCGATCCTCTACAAAGAAAAGCTCTCCTTCCTTCAGTGGACGGAACGGTAAGGCGTCTTGCGCACCGTAGCCGCAAACTGTCTGTAATATGTACAGCAAGTGTAATGTTGCTCTCCATATGTTAAAGTGTATCAAACAACACCATAATGCACATTTACATTAAAAACGAATTCAAAGAGATACCTCAGTATTGCTCCACCGTAGAGCTCTATTGAAGTCTTCCACGCATAGTTTCCTTCTCTTTGCATGTCTCATAAACTGTGAGCTGTTCTGTAAAGGGACAAACAGATGAAAATGTACAGACTTGGGTTGCTTGCTTCTTTGCAGAATGTTCGATATCTTTCCTTACAAATACTTTAGAGGAATAAAAACACATGCATGCAAAACATCAACAAAAGTTAAGCTGAAAACAAGTGACCATGTCACATTTTAGAGACAGAATCACACATCAACACAGCTTTAAAGCAATGGATGTATAAAAGCAGGCAAAACACGAAAAGCATTGATGTTGATGTCAAATAACAGTCATAAAAGCTTCAGATGGAAACTTTCTTAAATAACAGCACATATCAGAATTGCTTTAAAATTATAATCAGACACGTGCATAATGTATGGAAACATACAATGCTTGCACAACATCTGCAACTGCAAATGACAGACGTGGAGATGTAAGTGGGAAAGCTGGCATGGAACAAAAAGCTTCATACGGTAACATGCAATGCATGTAAATGTATTATAAACCCCAAGATGAAAACATGAACTGATATGCGACCTGTGTTGCCTCTCTGAGTCGGTAACACACATCCTCAGCCAACAGAGCTGCCACCTCTTCGCTTAGCTCCACTCCGGTGCTCTCGGCCATCAGTTTGATGGATTCCCGGGGCACCTCGGCGAAGCGCCGTTCCTCCGCCATCTTCCCCTTAGAGAGATCACTAAATAAATACGCTGTGAAGTACAGTAAAGGTTTAGAGCTAAAGCGTGGCATCAGTCTCTATTCAACTCTCCTCGCTAGGCTGCCTTAGCACACTTGTAATGGGGCTAGAAATCACGCACCGTACCTTCTTATTGGCGATTGGTGACGTATTAGTTCATAAATGCAAAGTACTTTCTATTTTACAAGCGTTATGTGCCTATATTAGCACAAGCAGCTAAGCTCTCCAGACTGTTTATATACAACACACTGGTGAACTTGAAGGAAGCGCCTGATTGGCCGTGAGTTTCACGCATGCGCACGCGTTCTTACGACCGCTGGCGATTTTGATTCAACGTAGCAACCGAGTCTTTTGAATCGGTTCAGTAAAGATCGTTGACCCCTTTTTGCAGTTTGCATTTTCTGCCAGGTTGTCCACGAGTCAGTGCTGAGAAGGTCCGCGGTAAAGTACAATTTACAAAATATTTAGAAATAAGTCTTAAATTTGACATGGACGCTTTTTTCTTAAGACTGATCAGAAATTAGAAGTCAGCAAATTTCGCCCAAATAAAACCCTGAAGTGTGGCCCAGATTAGATCGTGTTTGCCAGCCCACTTCCTTTTTAGCTAGAACTAAACTTCACTCATAGTGATCCAAATAATAAGTGGCATGTGAAACCTATTATCTATTTACACATTCATAATTGGTTCTTTACTTTACAGTCTCTGTGAAAACATATAGCCACCTTTAAGGGGGTTCTGTGCACCAAAGCTAGAAAACCTCTTCAATAAATGTCTTTACATCATTTAATCAGTAAGTGCATCATATTTCCATACTCAAGGTAGAAATTAATACCAATTTAAGAAAAATTAGTAGCTTCTATAATCCTTACCTAAAACTTCACAGTACTTTCTACAGACATACCAATAAGTTTAGACAAAGCAGCTTTCAAATGTTCACCATTTGTCACATTTCTAGAAAAGCCAAAAGCGCAACAAATCCTTTTAGGAAGTTTTATTGAGATCCAAAGATGCTGATGTTACTAAAATAACTTAAGTCATTTAGTTTTAAAATCACTTACTTAGCAAACATTCATAGTCAAATCAGTCATATATACACAAGTAAAATAAAGTCTCAATTACAGACTTAGTTCAGTCTGTCAAAAATAAGTGGCCTCTGAAGTACAAGACAGACTTGAATTAAGAAGATAAAAGCAAACACTTGAGAATCAGTCTCAAAAGCAGTTAAAAACAAGTGGCAAAAAGACTGTACACTTACTAATAAAAACAGGTTAAATATAAATTTGGCACATTAGTCACAGTTAAAAGTTTATAGCGGTTAACTTCTGGGATCCCACCACAGGATTCACACTAGAGCGTCTTGAGGACCAGCATTGGTAGCTTTCTCCAACATCTGGAGCCTGAGGGCCAGAGGTAGCAGCAGGTCATTCAGATGTTGGCTGCTGAAGGTGAACGCATTGTTGGCCACCGCTTCCACTGACGGTGGCGTGATCGGACCAGAGCCGTCGGGGAACACCGGCGAGGCCAAAGCAGATGGAGGCGGAGATGGAGACGAACACATGTCCGAGACTGGCGAAATCGATCCGCCGTTGGGCATCTGATGAGGCCAGGATGTGCGGTTCAAGTTGACGCCTTTGATTGTATTGGGAAGCCCATGCTGGAACCGGCAACGGGTGCCATACAGACAGAAACCAAAAGCGCTAAAGGTGCGACAGAGGGCACCGCGAGGCTTCCACTCTTGGGATTGTGACGGAGACGGCCAGGTTCGCTCTTCCTCCCCACCGTCTGATTCAGAGCCACCCTCGACATGAAGGAAATGGCATCTGGTGCCGAAAGGGCAAACCCCGAACGCACGATAGGTACGGCACGGTACATTCCTGCGCCGGGGACGGACGGGCCTTTGCTCTTTAAGGTTGTGCACAAACAGACAACGCGTGCCATAAACGCAGTAGCCGGCGGTGTGGTAGGTACGACACAGCTCGGTTTTGTACTTGGGGTGGCGGGAGGGTACGTGGAGATCGTGAAGGCCGTGGGCAAACTGGCAGCGTTCGGCATACTTGCAGGTACCCGTCTCAGCATAGCGGCTGCACAGTTCGGTCTTGTAGCGGGTGGAGCAGAGCCAGGGGGTCATCGGAGGGGATGATGGAGACTCAACCAGGGGAAGCAAAGCCTCGGCAAGGGACAGGCTCCCTCGCCCTAAACCCTCTGCCTCAGGGAAGAAAGCCTCATTCAGGCCTTCAGTAGGGAACAGAAACAGGTCATCTTGACTGGTCTAGAATGAGAGGAAAGAAAGTTCTTTAGGGTTTCTAGGAGTATAAGCATTTAGTCATACATGAATAAACACCACTGCCTAGAAACCACAGTAGATCTATTTTTATTAGTCATTTTAACATTTGGTTTCACTTTATGATGGTCTCTTTAACACATTCTGTTGTATACAAATAACGTTGCACCAACAGGTCTACTAACTCTCATTAGAGTGTTGGTAGACTGGTAGGGTTAGAATAAGTTGACATGTAGTTACAAAGTTACTTATAGTCAGTAGAGTGTCTGTTGGAGGAGAATCACAATAAATAGATACATCTACTAATATTCTAATGAGAGTTAGTTGACAGACATGTAGTTGTAAAGTTACATAGTCAACAGAATGTTCAAAGGGGACCATTAAAATAAAGTGTTACCACATTTTAACTAGAAATTGTAATAATCATCTCAGTGAGTCCTATTACAGTTACTCACAGCATTTGTTTGAGGGTTAAGACATTTTAGTAATAAAATCAAAACAAGTGGTGCCATGCATGAATCTTAAAAACAAACAACTTACCTCAAACATTGCTGTGCGTTTTTGGACTGCTTTACAAAACTCAACTCAAAACGAGGGCTGTGTCGTTCAAAAAGTGACGTTAAAGCAACCAAAACACCTGACTGACCTCCGGACAAACACTCGACTCCGTTGCCTTATCCCAGGTGGAAGACGCAGACTAAACCCTGTGACTGGCAAGTCCCACGTAGCAACAACTGTTCGGCCTTTGGTTTTAAAGCCGGATTCCATTCCCGCGTTCCATTTAAAATGTGATTCAGCTGTGAAGCGTGAACATTCGAATCAGCCAATCAGGTTTCACGTAAGCGGCCGTCAATCTAATTTGGAAGTGATGATGCTTTTGTCTGCTGCGTGCGGGTGTTTTGAATTTGATCAAATTTGGGATATCGCCGCTGCCTTGTAGGATTTACTGGAATAAACATTTGACAAGGAGTTTGTTAGCCGACTTCAAAGAGCAAACTCTGAATATACAAGCATGCCCATCCTGTATCAATTACCGCTTCACACCTCGAGCTGTTAATTGAGCGTTTGTCTGTGAGTCTTTGTGTTATGCTTATTGTGAGGCTTTAGATGAGGATGTACATTTACTCCAGTCCGCACACAACAAACAATCGAGCATTACAATCTTAAATATCCCACTGAACTGATTTGAAAAGGAAACAATAAAAGATAAACTTAATAGGAGATATTTAAAAATAAAAACATTTTTACAAAATCCATTTGCTATATAAAAGTTATAAATTGAAAAAAAATTTAAATTGAAAACTTCGACTGAATGGATGAGCCTCTGGCCTTAAATCATAATAGATTTTTAGATTGATTTTTATATATAAATATTAATTATATTTTATATTGTTTTTGTGGAAAATGTGCATTTTCAATGTTACATCTTTAGATCATTTAAAGTTACAAAATCGTACAAACATATTGAACCGACTGTATGCCCGCAGACACCCTTTAATTTTTGCAGCTTGGAAGAAGCTTGCTGATGTCAAACCAGTATTTATCCATAGTAGGCACACCGTAACTTTAAACATTTCCCCCCCCCCTGTATTGATTTTCGTCTCCTTAATTTGTTACTTGAGGTTCTGAATTAGACTGTTCGGACCTGGGAGTGACCTGACCATGTTTGTAGTTTTTAACACTTTTTATTCATGTTTGTAGTTCTAGATCCCCCAAAGCGTAATGGGTTGTGGGCAATATAACCCATTATAGTGAGTACGGATCCACACTTTGAAAATACCAGAAATAGTAGACCATCCAGGGACTTCTGGCATACTCTTTTCATCATACTATGCTTTGAGACACACTTATTGTAATCTCACATACTGTTTAGGATGGATAGTATGACCATTGGGACGCAGGGAATATTTCTCAAAATTGAAGCTTGTAAAAAATTACCTTCACTACTCCACAATGAATTAGGGAACTGTTAAATGGACTTGCTTTTCAACATTAACAGAGAACCTGTCCTGACCTGCCCAGCAGATGAAGAAGTTATTGAAGACTTTGCTTCAAAAAACAAAGAAACAAAAGCAGAAGAGTGCCTCTCTACGAGGTCAGGGCCATGATAGCATGCTTAATAAAGGAATAAGACTTGGTCCATTCTTTAGATAATATATTTTACCTTAGTTAAAGTTTAAGTATAGGCCCCGTTAGGGCTTAGACTAAACCACGATTAGGCCTTAGTTCAAATTAGGGCATTTAAGCTTTTATAAAGGTGCTTTGGTATAAAAACAAAACAAACTTTATTGGTGTGATTCAGAGACAAAAACAATGGCACTGACATATTTTAAGATATGCCAGTGAAAATTGCTTTCAGTTAAAACAACTCAAACAAGTATTTTAGTCTGGGACTAGACTTAATCCTTGTCAGTGAATCCAGGTGTATTGTAAAAATATACAAATAAGAGATGTTGTTGTTGTTGTTTTTATTCTGAAAGGTAGGTAGGTGTGTGTGTGTGTGTGTGTGTGTGTGTGTGTGTGTGTGTGTTGGGGGGGGGGGGGGGGGAGGTTTCAATTAAGGATTATCAGCTGCTTCAAGTCCCTGTTGGTCCTGACCCATCTCTTGTCTGCCACACATGATGGTCAATGGCATCCTCCAACAAAATGGATCATCAGATATGCCAGAAAAATTGTGGCAGAGTGGCTGACATTCTCCATGCAGCGCAATAACACCTTATCTGAGGAAATAAAAACAAAGACACTCACGTTAGGATAAATAATAGATAATACATGTGCATGTGATGTGTGTGTGTCCGCTCATACTCTCTGGGTTACTCAGAGTCTTGTGGATGATTTCTGAAGCTGAGATCTCTCACGCTACTTTTCACGCTCTCACGCCACACATCCATTTTCTCACGCAGAGAAAAATTGCGAAGCAAAGAGGACACACTGACACCAACAGACAAGATAGAGCTGGTTACTTTTGATATGAAACAAATTCTCAGCTCTCAGATTCTGTCAATTGTATTACGAAATTCAAACAATACCGTTTTGGCGCTTTTAAATGCGACAGCACGCGAACCGATCATCTCTCTTTACTAGCCTACTAGTTAATAGTAAATAAACACGAATGATCAATAGGTAGCCTATGTTGAAAGATACAGTAGGCAACAATTTACCGATATTGCCTCATACATAATATCAACCAATCAGTGTTTTTCAACCGCGGAAAGAGGTCAATAAAACAGCTGGAGTGACAGTGTGTCATAACGTTACATTTACTACCTCAGGAAAGCCATTTAATAACCATAGCACGTAAGTTGGCTAGAAAAATGAGTATTTTATAATATATTTAGTATTAGTAGCCTATAAATTGTGCTTAATATGTGTATTATATTACATATTTATTATATTTTTTACTTATATCATTAAAATATTATAAAGTTGTTGTAGCCTAATAAAAACCGCATGAGGCCTATATTTAATTTGAGTTGTTATTTTTACCCTTTAATAATAGGCCTACCAGCTGATAGGGCTCTCTGTAGCCTATGTTTACAGCATTAGGTGAGATTTTCTTTCTTGAGTAAAATTAACATCTACTGTAGGCCACCTAATAGGCTATGTATTCAAATTGAATCAAGATCGGAATAAAACCACAATAATTAAATTGAAATTGAAAAATTTGTATCAAGCAATAATAAAAGCAGTAGCCTACCAATTAGGCTATTGCACCATGCTCACTATGTTTAGTTAGGCTACCAAAGGTTTTGACAATCACGATGGCCTACACTTATTGTGATGCAATAAAGTTTTTTTTTTTTTTTTTTACATTCCGCCAAACTCAAAAGTTGGCAGCCCAGGGGGAATAAGTCCTTGCTGATTTCAAACCTATGTTCTCCATTGCCAGCACACCATAGTAAATGATGTTCATGTCTTGGTAATATTTTGCCCTTGTGTCGATCTTTCCTTGTAGACATTACTTGTATGCTTCTGACAGTGACAGAAAAACAACTGCATTGTGTTTTGATTCTTGTTCATAGGATTGCATTATTACTCTCACATAGTTTGGTATTACATGTGTTGTAGATTTACTCATTTCCTATGAAGACATTGGGCTAGACCTCGGTGACAGCTGTCCAGTGCACTCTACATTTGCATTATGCTAAGCTTCAGTTTGAAAATGCTTTGAGGGAAATGGTTTAGTAAGACTGAAAGCTCTGTAGTCACTTGGTCGTTGGATCAGTGGTTACAGGATCGCATTCATTGCCACTGCTGCCCCCTGCTGGCTCACTCAGACACCATCCTCTTCTCTGAGATGCTGTTGATGTCAAACTTCAGTTAAGTTACACATCTCTGTTTTCTGTGGACATGACGTCTAATGTCTTTGGTACTGTCAGATGTTGTTGTCAAACTGTATCTGATAATGTCAGATGTACAGTAAGTGTAAACTGTTTCTGATACACACACTGTGTGACTGACTGTCTGTACGGAGTGTCTAACATTACTGTTAACTTACTTGGTTTACGCATATTTTAAGAGAATACATTTTACGTGGGATATTAGGTGTCATGGCGAAAATTTAAATGGATACCTGGTCTTATCGCATCAGCTTGTCGGAAAATGTGTTAACGGCAGTATGAACTGATGGCGGTATCTATGGACTTTTAAGATAATTAGCTAACGTTAGTTATTTTGATTGCTGGCGTTTTACTCCATTTTAATATCCTAATGTTAGTGAGAAAAAAAACACATTAGATATCAATCAGCATATGCGATGCACATACAGTAGGTTATGATAATCTTTAATAGCTTCTTTAAGGCATCTTGATTAAAACAGCTCATGATTTAATGAAGCACGTTTAAAAGACATGGACCGGAAGCATTGCAACCTGTTTTACAGAATACGGAAGTTTGTTGCACATAACCAGAAAGGTTTATCCACGCTTGTGTGTAGCCTATCCACAGCCTTGTTTTCGTGCGCGAAAATACCACGAATAAGGTCCGCTGCAAGTGCAAATAAATCAATACCCATGTAATTGTTCTAAAGAAAGATGAAAATTTGCCTGTTTAGGACCACAAACAAAAAAATCTTTATTTTCTTATCACAAGATACATTAAAGGATACAGAGACACTGGAATATTAAAAAAAAAAGTTTGAGTTGTGAGTTGAAAGAAACTTGTCATTGATTTGACAAAGCTGAAATCCTTCACACCCTTGAATCAAACCCTAAAATCAACCAGTCTTCCCTCCCCAACTTTTCCCATTATGGAGATTCATGTTAACATGTATTTTTTTTTTTCACGCTTTGCCAAAATATTGTAGGGTCACAAACCCCCCTTCATAAAAAACTGGTGACACTTAAAAGGGGACAGGTTAACATTTATTTGTGTCTTTAGTGTGCAGTGCACGCTCCATTTGTTTAAGAAACATTACAAAACCCCTAATGGGGGGAACAATTTACAATGAAATTTTGTGTTGATGAACCTCAGCAAACCAGGAAATCTGTCAAAATGCTCAACCGTTCAGCTAAAAAAAAAAAAAAAAAAGAAATGACAAGAAAAAAGCTTAATCATAAGGCGGAAATATGTATCAATAT